AATGCCAATGCCAATGCCAATGCCAGTACCAGTACCAGTACTAGACCTGCGATCAGCAGTGAAGAAGCAGTGGCAGTGGCAGCGGCAGCGTTGCCTTTTGTACGAGTATCTCATGGATACATAACTCTTTGTTATTGGCCTTGAATGTCCTAAGCACGGAAAAGAGGTCATTGTCGCATAATACGCCGCCTGTCCAGCGCTTTTGCCAACTGGTGGACAATGACAGTGGCGATTCCAACCCATACCCATACCCATACCCATCTCCATTTTTATTCGCATTTTCATTCCCCTAAGGGGAATTGCAAAATCTATGCGCACTTTTATATCCTCCACCTCGGCGATGTTCGCCTTTTCTGTTTTGAAATTTGTAATTAAAGTAGACACGCATTTTAATGACTGTAATTGAAAAGGGCCCCAGCCCATCCATGGCCATTCTCGATTCTGGAGGCTGGGATCAAAGAAAAACCTTTAGCTACTGCCTGCTTGAATAGATGTGCATGCATTTAAATAAATGGCCAGTCGATGGTTGGCTGGACTTGGGCAACGTATAGGTATTACGCCATTGGATAATGATTTTAAAGCCAACTCATCTTGGCCAGAGCTCATCATCCAGGGCACTTCCTGCCACGATATTTATTTAGCAGCTCCCTCAAAAAACCGCAATGGTCATCTGAATTGAAATCTTGCAGATTGTTTTCGGTTTTTTTCAACCGCTGTCAATCTTTCGGTTCTTACTATTGTTTTTCATTTTTTTTTCATTCGGCTGACTGTGCAATATGCGATGTACAGTCGATTAAGACAATTATCTCTGGACATTAATTCTAGGAAATATAAAAATAATAATCACTATCAAGTTTTTTGCCCGCACTAAACTTTGTCGCCACGATAATTGGCCAACCAGCCAAACATTCAACATTCAACATTCAACTGGCAAATGGAGGTATATGTTATGTGGTATGTGGTAGGAGGTATGAGGTATGATGTATGAGGTATTCGGTTGATGACCTATGATATTGTAGTTCAAACGAAAGATGGATTCCAGCAACCCATTGACTGGGCCAGGGCCAAACAAAACTCATGATTCTATGGTCTAGTTAGCTAGTTAGCCAAATCAAACGCAGAAATCAAATCGAAACTATTTGCATACACAGCGAGAAAGGAACTAATGTGAATATAAATCACAAATATTAGTTCTAGGTGGGTACTAATAATTGTATTTGGGTTTTTGTAAAAAGGTTTAAGGTTAAAATTGTACTTAGATAGATATTCATAATATTAAGTAGAAAAGGTGCATCTTTTAGTTATCTTTTTAAGGTAAATATTAAAGTTAGATATCTATCTATAATATCAAGTTATAATTCTGAACATAAGAAATTAAAGGTCAGAAATTAAAGTCACCTTTTGGAATTATTTTGTGTGTAGTTTTGAGTGAATGCATTAAAAGACAAGTTTTAAATAATGTGCAATATATATTTGTTATAGTGAATCTGCACAAGTAATCTATAAATTATATAAAATAATTTCAATATGTTAATAAAACTTGAAATAACATTAGTAACAACTTCTGAACCTTTCAGTCACCTTTTCGAATGGTCATTTGAATTGGATTTGAATTCTTTTGTGTGTAGTTTTTAGTGAAGTGACAGTGGCAGTCCCTTCTGGCGGTCAGTATAGTCAGTATAGTCAGTATAGCAACTCACGTGCCGGCAATTACAATTAGCATGCGTCACATTGTCAGTGATAAAGCAGATATATAGTAATATGGACGGGATGGGGCAGAGATAGAGATAGGGATAGAGATGGGCAGCGTCTGCGGGAACCAGAGCAGAATCAGTGGAGCGCTCGTCTCATTTCGCAACTTGTTTTCGAATCAACGAACCAGGAAGGTGGCATGGCCATCCCTGCTGTACCGATGATCATTACCTCTGCCCTCTGCCCTCTGCCTTCCGACTGCTGCTCCTCTCACTCGTCTCACTCGTCTCGTCTCGTCTAGTCACTGATTTAATTTAATTTTTCTAAGCACAACCCAAACTGTTTCACTTTGTCAACATTTTTCGTTGTTTGTCAGTTGGCGGCCGCAGCCGCAGCCGCATTGATTAAGCTTAATTTGTTGCTCCAAATGCAGGTCAAACCTTTCGAAATCTCTGGGCATTAGGCCAACTAGCCAGCTAGTCACTGCATCCTAAAAAAAACAACAAGTGGTTTCTCTAGTGGCTGCGATGAACCTTTGCGTCTGATATAGAGTATGCTGTGTTTACCGCATATGTATACTATATGGCCAGATCCAGAATGGATCTGCTATGACTAAGGGGCATTCGCTGACATTTCCCGAATGCCACCTGCTCGTGAAAGTGCCAGTCTCAAATCATAAATATAAAGGCCACATTTTTGGGTCATGCCTGGGCAGACACCCACTTCAGTAAGCGCAGTGCAAGTTAAGTTCAAGTGCGTGCATTGCTCGAACTCGGACTTGGGGCATCCCATCATCCATCCATCCACCATCATCATCATCATCATTCCCAACCCCTCACCCAACCACCTTACCCATCAATCATGTACGAGTATTCAAGTGCAGCCGCTGTAATTAGCAGCTAGTCAGTGTCAGTAAGTGGCTTTTACATGACAATTGCGTTTGTCAAATTAGATTTGCATGAATTTTTCTATTCTATTCAATGGGGAGTTGCTGTACATTCAGCGACCACAAATTGTTTATCGAAGTGGCCCATACCGTGTGTTTGCAAAAAGCAAATTCCAAATGAGAACCAATGAAAAACTTTGAATATGTTAGAAAACACATTTGATAAATGACCTTTTAATGAGTGATAATCTCTAGATGTTATAGATGATTACATTACCAATGAAAATTATAAACTTAAATATATTATTTGAAAACACATTTGAAAAACCCCCTGTTAATGAGTGATAATCTATAGACTTTTATTAAATACATATATTACACCAAGCAACTTTCTAGAATTTTCTTATAAAGTGCCTTGATAAGTGTATACCCGTCGATCTACCATTACCATCCGCCCACTTTCCCGCATTTTCCACCCACATATGCGATTGGAGGACTAAAAACGTACTCGGCAAGTGAGAGTGCGAGTATTACAGCACTCTGCATGGCGATAACAACAATAAGTATAAGTCCAGCATTTAGCATTCAGCATTCAGCAACGTCAACTCAACTCAACAAAAAATTGTCTATTTCTATTTTAAAAGTAGTCGGCCGCTAATTGAATCCAATTTGCATGCATTAGCGTTCGTGGAGCCGAGCTGAGCTGAGATTTGCCCGGCTAGTTGAGCAAATCCGATCTAAGACATAGCCATACATAGCTCTTATCCAATATCCAAGTCGGGTATCCAGATTTCCAACCGCCATGGATCATTTCGTAATCAGCGTAATTGCAGCTTCTTTGCAGACTCATTGCAGGCATTGACTGAGATAGAGCATTATAAGTGATTCTGAATTCTATTGCTAAATAAGTTGATTGTTGTGTGCTATATGTTAGTTATCTTCCCCTTGGATGTCTTATGTGGCGTTGCTCTAAAATCTCTCTAATCTGCAGATAAAAAGTACTGTGAAATGTATGGCCAAGCTATAATTAACTAATCGAAAATTGGCTACTCCCATTTATTCTTTCCGTAAAACCGGATTTTCCAGGGGAAAAACTCCAAAAGCTTAACGGTATATGTTTCAAGTTAAATTATGTTTTGCTGATACCGAACAGTTACCGTTATGGTCATTAGAAAAGAAACCAAAAGCTTTCACTTAACCTGTTCTAAAGTTTATGGTTTTATTCTCCTGTATTCAACTGTATTCAAATATTTGGTTCACATTTTGTCATTTAAAATATCTAAAAGAGTAATTAACCGAGTAAAAGTCCCATACAAACTAATTTCAAAATAACAAAATCCGATGCTTAGCTCTTTTTTAGTTGAGTAGCCCATATAACTGGAGTAACCTAATTTTTTGAAGTGCCTCTAAAAAAATATAACTTTAATGAAACCCATTTTAATTTCTCTTGGAATGCTTTAATTTCGTTTTAGGCAGTATTTATGTCACTTACTTATAGCTTTAAGATCACAGTTTTTAGGTTTTAAATATTAATTTTATTTTCCAATCTTAAAAAAGTCATGGCAGTAACATGTTTTGTAAAGTGTGTCTTATAACATGCTTTTAAAATTTATAAAATTATGTATTCTTATTTTAAAACAAGGCAATTAACTTGTAATATATGTCTTTTGTAATTATAAATACTTTGTAGAAGTTTTTAAACCCCAAAATGGTGATTTTAATGCTACAAGAAATGCAATCAACTATATTTATTAATACGGCTTAATACGTATAATAAAGTTTACCCATAAACTCAACTTACAATTGAGGAATATCTTAGGTTTTAATTTGTGTTGAAACCTATGGTTTTATAGTCAATGTGTACAAGTATTTTAATTTCTTTCTACAATCAATTATTTCTCACAGGGAAATAACTTCTGTATACACAAGGGTATACCGAGTGTCGTTTCCCATTTCTGTTTATTCTAGTTTATTGAGTTCCATGGCAAAAATAACTCAGACCATCATGCGGTTGGCACTGTCAATGAGCTGACGTTTGTGATTTGCGTATTTGCGTGTTCATGCGTCTGTCCCAAATTGTTTGGTTATTTAGATATGATTCAGGGCGCCGGCATTAGCATTGTTTGGTTGGTCGTGTTGTCACCGGACGCTAATTATTATTTTTGTGGAATAACTGACATGCGGTGAAACCAAACAGAGGTGGCTCATCGCGTTCGATGCCTTGGGTATTCAGGTATTTTATGCACGCCAGATGTTTCCGATGATCTTAGGTTCTATAAGTTGTGTACCTTCTATATATTATTGGTATACACTAGCAAAAGGTTCATTGAAGCAAGGTTTGCGACTTGACTATTTTCCAGAGCCGCATGAAAGTATGCTTTAGCTAGATCTAAGCCAAATTCAAATCTACGTCTCATTTCAGTCCCCAAACATTAAACGGCATCTTTTGCGACGCCGGGAAAGCTTGGAACCGGAGGACGGCTTGTCCAATGCCCCCTCCATTGCCCAAATCAATGGTTGTCTGCAGGACAGTGACAGTGACAGCGAGGACTTTCTGCCGGACGAGGTGAAGGACCTTCCGCACGAGGGCAAGGATGTCCTTCGCAAGCTCCTAACCATTGAGCCGCGTCAGCGAATCCGCAGTGTGATGGCGCTCCAAAGGATTGCCCTCTACAAGGGCTACAATCTAAACCCCAAGCAGCTTCTAAGCGTGAGTTTATGCGGGCTTTATGCGGGCATGCCCTTTACTGTTCCCACTCCTTGCTTTCCAGCTTTCGCCCCAAGACATTATAGCCAGAGACGGAATTCGGGTCTACGAGGACAGGCAGTTCGATCAGCCAACCAGGCAGTGTGCCATCGATGCATTCCTGGACTTCTAGCAATCGCGTCAGAAGAGCCAACCAAACAAAATCACAAGGACTTCAAGTTCAGCCATATTTAACATGAACAGTTTCCCCCTTATTTTGGTATTACCTAAACTGTATCTTTCCATTAACATTTTTAGAAATATTCCAATGAACAATTAGCTTAAAAACGTTATACTCTCGGCTCGATTAGCAAATGCCTTAAATTTTACATTTTACGCCACGCTCTTAAACAAAAAATTGTTTAATAATTGTTAAAATAATTGATGCTCTTTTCCATGGTAACGTTAAAAACGCAATATATTCAGAAGCTTATGGTGATAGAAATCAGATATTTTAAAAAAATGGGGTAAATGCAATCTTTAAGCAAATATATTTTTTAGAGCGTGTAGTGTGATTTTGTCTTTTATATATTCGAGCTTGAGAAGTTATGTTTTTAAAAATTAAAACTTTAATCTAAAAGGCCAAAATTAAATGTTGTTATTGTACTTGAAAAAAAAAGTGATTTTTAATTTAATAATACGTAGTACTTAAATGGGTATAGATCGGAAATCTAAATTAGGTTTATTGTATTCAAACTCCATAGGCTTGACAAAAAAATGGCTAAGGCTTTGGAATTCCTTGTCGCAGTCAAACATCTTCAACACTATCGGCATAGGTTAAAAACTCAAAAATAACATATTAAAACGAAATCATCTTTTAAAAGATTAATAATTAAATGGGCAAGTATTTTAAAAAGAGTTACTCTTGCTTAGACTTTCAGTTTGGGAAGTTTCAATAAATAAATGCCTTCTAAATTGCAAGGTTATTATTTATTGATATTAGGACTGTTAAATGAAAAAAGCCAAATTTGTTCATATCAAATGTGGTGTCAGTTACGTCAATGGCTAACGACCAGTGAGTTTTCTGTCGAACGTCATAAGGTGCGTGCGTGGTGTTAGGCCAAACAATTCATGGAAGAGTAAATGAAAGTTATGCCGTGTGTGGGTGGCCCTACATACCCACCACTACCCACGCACATTTACCGCTTTTCCCGAAGCTTTCGCCTTGAAGCTTTGTCAGCTGGCGCAAAGCTTTTTGGTTGGACGTAAGGATGTGAGAACATCCGGAAGGAGCGAGAACGAGATGGCAGCGAGAGAGGACGAGAGGACTCGCTGGGGAACTCGCTGAAATCGGCAGTGGAAAGTGGAGAGAGAGGTGCGGCGGAGGCAGAAGCAGAAGCAGCAGCAACAGCGGCAGCGCAGTTACAGTTATTGGCAACAACAAATACATACACATGCACAACACTCGCACATCGCTATCGATATCCGTATCCAGAAGAGGTCCTTTCTAGAGGCAAAGGAAAAAGTGGACGCGACTCCTTGTCGGATCGGGCTGGAGCATGGAAATTTGTCACTTGCGGTTCCCCGCTGGCCCAGTGACTTCTCGCCGGAGCTAGGAGCCAAGGGCAGGAAACTGCAGTGCAGCCGCAAGAACCCACAAAAGCACACACGCACACACTGACACACGGACACACTCACTACTCGCCCACTCGACCCAGGATACATGGATGGCTCTGCTCGGGATTAGGCAACTGCCATAACACTGAAAACCGCCATGGCACTGGTGCACACATTCCTGGGCACCTGGGAGGTGAGTTTGTTTGCCAATACACCTACACCTACAGCCTGATGTATCTATGTATGTATCTACCCCTCTGTACATCTTAGATTGTGTGCTGCACCTTCGAGGGAAAGCGGGAGCTGTCCGGCCTGGAGGGGTAAGTTGGTCTACCATTTTAAACATGGAACATCTCCCGAACGCCTGACCTTCACCCACCTACTCCCCCCCTCCCACTTAGCATTAAATTCAGATTAGACGACACCAGCGACATTACCTGGTACAATGACCTGGTCAGTCCGCTGCCCGAGTCCAAGGACTGTGGCTCCTTCTGCGAATCGGCCAGTGTGCTCTTCAGTTGCGAGACCTTCGACGTCCACGAGGTCAATCCACGCCTCGTTTTCGGAGCCTTTGCCGGTCACAGCATTGAGTTTAGCGTGAGTATCCTAGTAGGGGATCTCCACCAGAACTCTAATCTTTCAACCCCAACCCCAACACCCCCCGCCCCCTGCTTGCAGACCAACACCTTAACGCCGACCGATACCCTAGTGCTCAGCTGCGAGAACTGGTATGCTGTGGAGTGCAAGCGGCTGCAGGATGGCCAGGCAGCTGGCCAGGAGAAGCAACTGAGCTTCGGCGAGGCCCTGCAGGAGTCCTACTTCAGCGATGTGGTGGTGAAGAGCTCCGGCGGCCAGGAGTATGCCCTGCATGCCTCCATACTGCGGCTGAACGGGTTCGATTGCAGCATGTGCGTGAACAGTGCCCCGCCATCGGCGGCCATCGTCTGCTCCCCGGCCAGGAGCTGTCACAGTGGACCGAATACGCCGAATCCCATACGCATCTCCGTGGCGCCGGCCAACGATGAGGGGCATGAGAAGTCCCTGCCGCGCCTCAATCTCTCGCCCATTTACCTGCAGCCGCCCTGTGACTTCCAGACCATGCCGTCGGCCGGCTTGGGTGGCCAGCGGATGCATCAGTTTAGCAGCAGCTTCAATTGCCTGAGCAACGGCAATGCCGGCGATTCGGAAGCGTCGGTGGTCAGGACCACTGGGCTGCTGAGCCTGGAGTGCGGCAGTGGCGGCGGCGGCGGCGGCGGCATGTACCGCCTGCCACTCACCTCGCACTCGGATTCGCATCTGGAGACATCACAGTCGCATTGCAAGAACATTTTCAACTTTTGCCAGGATTTGATGCTGCAGCCGACGCCCACGCCGTTGCCGCCAAGTGCGGGACTGGCCATCTGCAGCATCCGGAGGCCGCCGTTGTCGCCGTACCGCGCCCGCAGTCCATCGCCCTTTCCCAGCTCCATGGACACGCCGCCGTCGTCGCCGCTCACGCCCGTCGGCGTCCTGTGCAACCTGCCCACCTTCCTGCTGGGCCCCATCCTGCACTGGCTGTACACGGAGTCGCTGCTCCCCGATCTGGACGAGGATGTGTGCGAGAAGCTGATCGGCTTTGCCGAATCTCAGCCCTCGCTGACCAAACTGGTGGAGCCGACCCGCAAGTACCTGCGACTAATACGACTCAAAAAGTGTAAGTATCTTGAATGATCTACCATCGTATGGCATGTAACCCAGCCCCAAATCCTTGTAGTTGTGGTCAACGTTACCATGGACCTGCACGGCATCCTCAACCGGGTTATACAGTGCATAAATCCCGGCAACATTACCCGCGATCCAGCCCAGCTCTATGCCACCTTTCAGGATGCCTTGCGTGAATGTGCCATTGGTGAGATCAGTTAATGGTTTACTCAGTTTCCCGACTCTATATTGGATTGTACTTATCCCTGCAGGCTGCGCCAAGGTGCTGCAATTCTGTAACATCTTCATTACGGATGCCACGCACATGACACGATATCAAAAGAACGAGATCGTCAAGTACATACGAACCCGCATACCCATATTCATGTCCCAAGTTCAACAGCTGCTACGGAACGTACTCGGAGTCTTTGTCGGCCTGAGTGTCGATGAGAAAGCCGAGTTGGTGAACTATCTTGTACCTGAAGTAGGGCAACTCCAACTGATTGTGATGAAAATTGTGAGAATTAATCTATTAATCTTTTGCCCACTACAGATCGAATCAACCTTATTTGTATTGACCGCTGTGATAGAGGAAATCAAAAACTCATTGGAAATCATGTGTAAGGTGAGTTGGTGTATTTGATATGTTTTGTGTTTGTAAACAAGTAAACCAATTTTTGTTAACTTCTAGGACCTTAAGTGTTCCCACTTGGATCTCCCCCTACAACAACAGCAGGCAGACGATGCGATTGTCATGCAATTGCAGATAGCGGACGGAGGTGAACCCTCGCCACGTCCTCGTCGCGGTGCTCCCGTGGGTCTAACGCTCTATGACAACCTCACGGACAAGCAGCGCCTGAGTTCGGCGGAGAATGACCTGAAGTTCGTGCTGTACATGTACGAGGTACGGAAAATGCGCGACATCTACGGCCGGATTGTGGCGGCCCTTGAAATAATCAAGGACAAGAAGTGAGTGAATGTGGCCACATATCACATATATATCCATATATCATCCATGCTCTAATCAATCATCATCTTGTCTGCAGGAGTACATTCTGTGAAATGGATTTTCTGAGCAAAAGCAGCACAATCAACCAGAACCTCGAACAACTGATTATGGACATTCCCGCTTACATCTTCATCGTGGAGAACCTGTCCGATCGGTTGGACGACAAACTGGGCTGGAAGGAGTTCAAGTTCTGTTTCAAACTGGCCACCAGTCAGATAGTGAGTGCCCAAGTAATTGGTTGCCCTGAATTTGCCTAAAGAGTGTTCCTTACAGAATGGCGTGATTGCAAAACTGTTAGATCACAAGGATGCCCTGCGAGATGCCATTAGTCAGATATGTTTGCTGGTTCGCAAACAGGAGTTCACACAGTCCGTAATCGAGCTGGGCTTGTTGGAGGACTCCAGTCTGCTGTCTAGCAATTTAAAAATGGCCGATCATGAGAACAACCTGAATCAGGGGCTAAGCGATAGGGAGGAGATGTATCTGGATCGCAAACAATATTACGATTACAATAGCATTAAGGTAATTTGATTTTGGTTTTTGTTGATATTCTTATTGACATGTTCATGTCTTGTTCACCCCCAAGTTAAATCTCATTCGACATCTCTGTGAGCCACCCATTGCGGCCAGTAGCAATCTGTCGAAGAATGCCCTACGCCTGCTGCACTCCACCCAACTGGCCGACATGGAGTTCGAGGTGCACACCCATGCCGCTGGCAAGGCGGAGCAGGCCGCCAGTGGAGATTCGGCGGCGAGAGTCCTTCAGGTGCACAGCTTCAAGGCGCATCGCGTGATAGTCGCCGCCCGCTGCGAGTGGTTCAAAAAGGCCCTGATGTCGGGCATGCAGGAGTCCATCAATCGAAAGGTCATCATCACGGACACCTCGCCCGTGATCTTTCGACGCCTGCTGCTCTACCTCTACGGAGCACCCATCGATCGTACAGTTGGCGCCGAACAGGTGTGCGAGCTAATGCTCTTGGCCGATCGTTACTCCATAGATGATCTTAAGGTGAGATTGACTATGTTACTATTGAGCCATTACTAATCGCGACATCACATCGGAATAGGAATTGTGCGAAAATACCCTATACTCTTTAATCGACGAGGACTCCGTGGTCTGCCTGCTGGGCATTGCGGATCGCTATATGGCCACGGCCCTGAAGTCCAAATGTCTTTCCTTTCTCTCGCAACATGCGCAACTGACCAAGTGTGAAATATTCAAGGAATTGCCCCAGACACTTCAGGTGAGCATCATGAACGAGACTTTCCCTATATCGATACTACTACTTAAACCATGCCTGTTGTCCTTCCAGCTAGAGGTTATGGATTTGATACATTGGTTTGGACGTGTCTCCGAACCGTGGAACGATTCAAGGGGCTTCAAGCCGCGCAGCAGCTCGCGCCACAGCCTCAAGAGTCCTTCGAAGCCGCGCTCGCGATCCCGCAAGTCCTCGCCCTCCTACATGTGACGCCGACAAAGCGCCATTGAACACACGAATGCCAACTTCTTGTGATAATTTTAGAAGACTTCGCAATCCAGAACCGGATAAAATAGTCAATAAGGAGCAGGGAACGGAGGAGAGCATGGAGCATGGAGCATGGAGCATGGTACGATAGGCCAGGGCAAGGGCAAAGGCAAAGGCAAAGGCAATAGGACGATAGCGAGGAGGATGAGAAAGATGATGAGGATATTGTCGAAATCAGTTACAGGAATGACCGGGACTCTAGCTCTCGTCTCTGCCTTGGAGCAGAACGACTAACCACAATATCAAGCCAAATAGCAAAAGGCAAACATGACCTGATTTTAATGAGTTTTACTTAGTTCACTAGTAGATAGATAGGAATTCGGCGTGCATGACTTACATACATTTAAATTTCACTCTAATTAATTGATTTATGTAGGAAACCTGTTTCCCCAAGACAACTGTGGGTGTTAGAATTAAACTTGAATACTTTGGTATTATACATATACGGACAACTAAAATCGCAACTCAAAAGATCGAATAGATTTAGACAAAAAGGATAGTAACAAACAATTGGCAGTTACGTTATGTAAATACACAAACGATTAGTATAGAAAGGCGTTTCGCAAAACCACTCATTTATTTTCACGTTTTTCATTTTGTGGTCGGTCCACTTGTGAGGTAGGTTAGTTGTACACTTGTAGTCTGACGGGTAGGTAGAATTTAGTCCTTTGGAAAAGCCAAAAGGAATAATTGTTTTGTATTGGGCGAACGCATAGTAAACAACGAAACTTCGGTCCACCGAAGATTATGTGCTACACTCTATTGTAAACTAACTAGTGTATTTTGACATATAGAAACATATTCAATTTAACATTAGACTATTAACCGCGAGACCTATCCCCACATAGTCTTATGGGTTAGGGGCGGATTTTAAGTAACGACAGCAGCGTATTTTTTCATTCGTTTTGAAAGCGTATCAAATTAACAAAATATATGTACAAATATGATGTGTAAATTATATTATTGTACTAATTCAATACATTTCTTGTTGTCTTTTTAAAACATATCACAAATTAACTCTTTTTATTAGATACCGATAATAAAATATACGTGTGTAAGTAACGGAAGTGAAAGACAAAGTTGTTTGAAAAGTTCATTACTCCCAACTCTTGATGGTCGCTTCTTTTTTCTTATTTTGCTGTGTTTTCAAAAGAATAAAACCATTTTCTACTACTTGACTTGGCCCAAAAAACAATCATTATGAAAGAACAGAGCTTGAAATTAATTTGGTTACCAACTTTGTGCGTACATTCCATTAAAAAGATGAATTTCCCTATATCAGCACTTTTCAAATTGTCAACGGTCAAAGTTTGAAATATGTAGCAAATGGCCAGGAGTAAAGAAACGAGAACAATATTCGCTATAAATTGACTCTAACTTTAGAGATAACATAGAGATGTCAACATGTTTTTTTTTATTTTAGAGATATAACTTGTGATAGATTGCAGAGGGTGTAGTAAAGAGCGGTGAACTTGCAAATGTATTTAAAGTTCACAGACGTGTTTCGCATAAATCTTGTTTTTTCCAGGTATGATCACAATTTTAATAACCAAATTCTGTGGTTAAGGAATTTTATCAAATCGCCGGGAATGAAATAAGAAGTATTATCACTTCTTATACATTTACATATGCGTAGTTTAAAAATGCGGCATTCAAATTTTCAACGGCCAAGTTAAAGGATAGGCTATAACTCGCCGGAAGTATTGTAGCGAGTACATCAGTCGCCATAGGGATGGGCGAAAATTTTCTTCTTCCAGTGCCAAAATTCGAGCTCTATCGCTTTCCAGCGGGCCGCGATGCTCTAGGGCTGACCGCAGCTTTTCCACCCAAGTGCGCGCTGGCGAAAACTTGCTCTCTTGCTTGGCGCCACTCTCTCGTCGGCACTCTTTCGCCGTCGTCGCCACTCTCTCGTCGCTGCTCGAAAACTTCTGCTGCTGGCGCAGGAAAATCCATTTTCCATTTTCCTACACGCGGACATTGGCTCAAAGTACCGTGTGCTGCGGACGTCCTTGTCGTGCGTGCGTCGTTTGCTCGCGCTGACGGTGTTTTTTTGAGTTCAGGGAATCGAATCGAGCAACATGGAAACATAACTGGTGGGGCGGAATAACAAGAAACCCCAGCTAGAACACCTCTAAACACTTCATTTTCGCAGTCCAATCAATATAGAGTGGTAGTGGTGCATTAGAAAAGATGCATTTGCATTTGCATTTTTTTTTCAGTGAGATTTTTTCATATTTTTTCCATCAATTTCGGTGAGAGTGCTGTGCAACGAAAGGGAATACGCAGAAACGATTTTTTTTTAGAAAATCGCGAGAGTCCCCGAAGGAGAAGGCCACAGAAACGAAAAGGAAAGGCGAAAACGAAGGAAAGGCAGCGCAATAAGGTAGCAAAAAAAAAAATGTATTTGTTTGTGTGCGAAAGTGCGAACACCGTTAGTTATGTTAACATTGACAGTGAAAATGTGCAAAATATGAAGAGAAAAAGTCGAGCTATCTGCTAGTGGAAAATATGAAAAGTGCCAAATAATACATTTTCACTTGACCCAGACGCTTTTGTGTGTGTGTGCGTGTGTCTTTGCGTGTGTGTGCACACCAACACACAATATGGTGTGGAGAAGAAGAAGAGAGTGAGAGTTCCGGGAGAAGTTGCGAACCAGCTGCTCGGTGGACGTAAATATTTAATTGCCCACTGGATATAAATATGTACATCCATACATACAGTTGTATAAAAGTACGGAAATGTGTGTACATGGTGATTTTGTTTATTGTATATTATTGCAAACTCAATTTCGAATCGTCTGAGAGTCAAAAAACAAAGCTAAAAGAACATTAGGCCCACTGTAACTTCCAATGTGAAGTAACTGTTTTGCGCAAAGTTTTCTGCCTTTGTTGTTGTGCTGGTTGTTGATATTGTTGTTGCACACAAACGCACACCCTCTCAAAATCATCATCAATTACGCCCCCTCCATAGAGAGAGTGTGTGTGTGTGCTATCTTTGCGCCTATCAAAGCTCTCTTTTCGCCCACACACACACACACACATGCAAAGGGCACCCGCAACCGCACACAAACACACATATAGTCCTCCTGTAGGCATACTTTCTCTGATACTGTACCGTTTTAGTTTATTAGCTTGTATTCGTTTGCCCCTTCGACAGTGGTGTTAGTTGGCCAGAAAGTCTGTAAAATTGAGCGGCGGTATGTTTGTTGACTCGATCTACAGTGGAGCCTCGTCAATGGTGCCAAAGATTTTCGGCTTACGTCAGTTGAAATCAAACAAACCTGCGTTAAGGATTTCAAGAGACAGCTGGTCTCGAAGGTTCAAATCTAAGAAGCTTTAATAAACCTTCTTTTAGTTCGGTATGTTTATTGACTCGATCTGCAGTGGAGCCCTGTTAACATGATCATCATTATTTAACACTAAGCTGCAGTTAATAATTTATTTTGAAGGATATTTTAAAATTCTTTGTTTGAGTATCCTCTTTGAGAGTAAAGTAGAAACTTGATTTGATCTCTGTATATAAATATATGTTAATCTGTGTGGATCTGCAAATTGGTCAATCGTCTTTTTGACATTTACATATGTATATAAACCTCTAGTTTATATCTATAAAATTATTAAACATTTTTTTACATGGTTTGTTTAGATTATAAAATCTAACATTTCTTATTTTATATACCACCTAAAAAATTCATATTGCCCTGCTCCCATTGACATTTTCGACTTTTAGCAACGATTCTCATCACATTCCCGTAGCGCTTCTTTTAGCCATATCCCACTCTGATCCACATCGGGTATTGTTTATCTTTTCTTCTTTGTACGCACGTGAAATATTTTTGAACAGATTCTGAGTTGTGTGAGTGCATGATGTGCGTAGTCATAAGTTATAGGAAACAGCCAATTACTCTCTCCTGGTAAAATCATTTAGACGTCTAGTCGAACTATGAACTGCTCTTTATTTTAAGTTAAATCCCAGACGAATGCCAAAACTTCACGCTATATTACTGAAATATGTTGTCGAGGTACATTACTTTTATTATTTACGGTTTAGACAGTTGCTTATGAAGATCTGAACTATGCTTTTGAAATATAAGCAATATGTTTGATGGCACAGCCCTTTTAAATGATATCCAAATCGGAAGAGTACAAACAAATTTGGTTTCAGCGGCAAGTGTACATTCCAAATACAAACTTGAAAGTGTTGATGCCCAAGTGTACGCTGCACACTGTTATTTTCGCATTTACGGCGTAATTACTCAGCCGGATAATGATGGAAGGCGGTGGTGCGATCGCCACTACATATTCATGTGTAGACAGCCGTGTTCACTAAAATAGTGCCCTGCCGCCCATATCATATGACAAGTGGGTTTCTAAACTTCTTCCCCAAAATTGTATCGGCTGAAATTCGAAATATATATATTTTGTGTATTTGAAATCACTTAAAAATCTCTGAAATTTAGTTTCTTTAAGGAAATTTCATTATATGCACCACGAGAAGTTAAAAACTTTGAAGCTGTATTCTTATATAGCATCGTTTTAAATAAATATCCGAAACTTAAAGGCTTTGAAAACAATATTAATCAACAAGTTTTTATTATAGATTTTGTATATATAAGTGTAAATTAATTTCTTATCAAAGCTCGAAATAGGTGCTTAGCTATGACCCCTATAGTAGAAAACACAGTTTGCAGTAAAACGAAAAATATTTCACATAACGCTATGATGATATTTTTGATACAAGATTTAGGGCATATCTTTTTGTATTGTTAAAAGTTTCAATATAATATGTAGTTTCAACAACGCACTTACTTAAATAGGCACACAAAATGTATGCAAACATCAATTTAACCTGACAGTATCTCCTCATTTGTTATCCAAGTAGTTCAGAGATTAACGACTAAATGGCCTAATTAATCGGTTATTAGGAGAACGTTCCAGCATTGTTTTAGTGCACTGGTGCACTTGGAAGAACAAGGTGGGCGTTGCGATGCGATGCGATGCGATGCTATGCGATGCGATGCTATGCGTTTCGTTGCGGTGGCGTCAGTGTTTCGGTGGCCTTGACCAAAGTAATGTGTGGGAGGATTAAATCCTCAAAAGAACGTAAACAATGGGGCATCTTAAAGTAATCCTTTAACAAAGCCCCCCGCTTATGGCAACTCAAGAGCACGGCACAGCAGCCAGCTGTAATCGCATCAACTACGCCGTGCCCACTGCATTGCACTGGATGGTAATCAATATCAATGCAAAGATAAGCTCCTACCACGAACCTACCTCAGTTCTCAGTTCTAAGTTCTCAGTTCTCAGTATTCGGTGTTCGGTGTTCGGTGTTCGGAATACACAGTATTGTAGGCCTCACAGCTAAATGTCGATTTGCATCGCATGCCTAGCTGTGTGCTATGTGCTGTGTTGTGTGTGTGTTGTGTGTGTGACTTAGGACTAAAAGAAAATGGTACTTTTTCATAGTTAATTCCGACTTACCTTGTTTACCCGTTCCTTAAGTTGGCTAAGATTACATGAAGATGATGCTTATGATACTTATTTATATGAGGTCATGGCACAGTGACAAGTGGAATAAATCTGTAAAACGGCAAACTCTCTGCTCCAATAATTGCTATGCATAGCGTCCAGCTCATTAAGTCTTTATTTATTTGTTTAGTCAGTTATTAAGAGGTCCACAGGTGTAGACAAGCAAACGGAACGTATATTTGTTTATTGTTTTTAGGCAATTTATCAGGTCTGTTGCAAAACTTGAATAAAAGTCTCATTGCCGAATTATAAAGGTCAGAATTCAGACAAAGCAATATGGATGGGCGGGCTCGTTGGTTGAAAACTTCATCAATAAATAAAATATAGTAGGAACTGAAAAGCTATACTTTAAACTCATACATATATAATAATAAAATGTGGACAAAACCGATATGCAGCAAATTAATAAACTTCTGTGTGAGTATGTAACAGCCGATGAACTGGGGAAAAAAAAACCTAAGGGCAGCCAAAGAGTCAACAACAACAACAACAACAACAACAATAACGAACGAAGGCAGGAAACCTCCCTCGCAAACGGAAACTCATTTGCCAACAGTTTGAAACCAACTTCCGGCCCAGTAACGACGACAACGGCAAGGGCAGCCGCCTGCGACAAATGCATGACAAAAGTCACATTTAAAAGAGAGTAAAAGTGGGCAACGCAGGGGGCGTCAAAGGACGTTCGAGTGGGGTGTGGGGCAGTGTGGGAGGTGGACGGTGGGTGGTTTTACTGAAAACGTATCGGGAGCAGCTTGAACAAAGCCCAGCGCTACTTATCAAAATTGGAACAGCAAATTTCGTCAAACAAATTAAATATGGCAATCCGAAAAGTGTAGTTTTAGATAGTCTGGCACAGGAAATCCGTAAACCCATTTAAATACCATTATTGTTGGCAGTGTTGGGAAGGGTACTTGTTTTTTGGACCTAAGGTACAAGGTATTTAAGTAAAGTAAATGGTACAAAAAAGGTACAACAAACTTACCTGTTAGTGGACAAGCTTTACTCGAATCTGCAATTAAATTATGTCATTTTTTTATAGGTACTCGTAACTATTTCCGATTATGAGAGATTAAAAAAAAAGGATTATAATTATAACGAGCATGTGCGGTGCAATCAATATACAATTTCGAAAACAAAAAAAAATATAAATATTTTAGTAGCTAAATTCCTAGTTTACCTTTTTTAAGTAACACAAAAATCAATACTTATTTAAGGTAAAAGTTAGCCACATTTATGTTTAAGCGACTATGGAAAAAGTACAACATTTTGTTTCGTAGGTACGTAGAAATAAGTATCTAGGTACTAACTCTGAATTTTGGTTAGATGGTTGTGGAAAGTGTTTATACTTTTTTGTTTTGTTATGAAGTTCTTTAATTAAAAAGATAATAATATTTGCTTCGGTAACAGTTTTTGCTTAACCTGATCTTACATAAGACAAAATAACTGTTACTTGGAAGTATGTATTTTGCGGAACGACAAGATAATCAATTTTAAAGGTCCACATTTTCCGGAAAGACCTCCCACGGTTTCCCAGTAAATTGGTGTATGCAAATGTATTTACGAGTACGTGCACTCTGTCCAGTCCGTTGAGTGGTTTGCCTTCGCCTTCGCCTTCGCTAAGTACGCACACAGCGCACATATTACATAATTCAATTAAATCCTTTCTAATTTGCTAGAAGCAAAAAGTCTTTGCGCAAGGTGCCTCTTCTAATGCTTTCCATGCGACCCCAGCTCCGTTTGATTGACAAATGAATCGATGCGATGCGGAAAAGTGGAAAAGCGGAAAAGCGGCGTGGATAGAGTGCACTATTGATTGGATTGGATTGCCCTGCGATGGGGGCCACTCAGCGGGAGTTTTGCTTTAAAAATTCTATTTCGAACTTGGAAATAACCAATATCTAACCATCGAGCAGGATCCTAAACCCACAAATCCCCTTGCACTATGGAGCACTATAGAGCACTATTACGTAGTTGTTAGGGGCGTTGTTCACTGCAATTTATAGGGCCGTATTGGTGTCAAAGCCCTTATTTCTGCCAATTTCAGCCTTTCAGTCTTTGTTATTTTTAAATGCTGTCATTAAAGGACGCCCCGGCCCAGTAAAGCTGCCACATCGCAGTCGCACGCAACTTATTCTTATACTTGACTGGAGCGGAAAGAGGTCGATAGGGCAAAGTGCGTGTGTTAATGACAAAATGGTTACACAAGTTCGCGGTGGGCACGCACAAACAAATAACGAGAAAGCAAGCAAACTTCAAGCAAGCAAAACGTTTAATACCCTGGAAGCTATTTAACTCTATTTAATCCAAAAAATACTGTCTACTATAATGGTTGTAGGAAAAATTGAAGTATAAGCTATAAAAAACCTTGCTGCTCTAGTCCAATTTGTATACTAAAATACTAAGTATTACCTTTTCATATAAAACAACTTTAAAATTTAAAAAAAATATTTTCACTCTGTTTATCCTTTTCACTTGAATATTTATCCTTTTGCGTTCTATATTCTCGTAAATTTAGTCCGAAGCTTCATTTGACTTTGGATTTTCGTGAAATTTTGTTGAAACCCAAACGATATACACGATACTGTTGATATTAACTTACATTGTTCACATCAGAAAATACAAAATTGAAAAGGTCAAAAATGCGCCCCTTAGCGTTGAAAAATGTTAACTGCATTTTCACTCTCCCTTATTAAATTAAAAATCCCCTTGCAAGCTTTCCTGGAATCTAAACTATTTGTTTTCGGCGCATCAACCCCTCTTTCCGCCGAAACTGGAAGATAAAATTATTTGCTTTTGAGTTAAATACAAATGAAAAAACGAACGTTGAAGCCAAATTGTTTAACTAGTCAGGCAAACATGATTAAAAACAAGATGCGTAATAAGAGGTAGTGCATTTAAATTGATAAACTTTTGCATTCGGCTCTTAGCCTTTTTGTAGGTCTTCACCTGCACACTCCACCTTTAAAGACCTGCTGACCGCTGATGAACAACCGACACTTGGAGGCCATGAAAGCGTGCTATATATGGACAAAAGAAGGAACAATCCATTCAAACATCTTCCCAACATCTTGCGGAGGGTGCTAAACTAAAGGAAGCTGGACGAGAAGGGCTTCGCCTGCGACGGAAGCAAAGGAGCAGCCAACCCGACCGAATCATGAAACATTGTAAGTTTGCCATTTAAGAGTTAACAAAATACACAGCTATAGCTATACAATATTTAAGGGGCTTTAAAAAAAGCCTTTCAGTCTATGGAATGATTTTTCATTAGCTTTCGAGGTGGTCCATGGCTACTTTGTGACATGTGTTGACATCACCCAGTAATTCTAATGAAAACGAATTTAATTTAGCTTTGATTCAAAGAGTAAATGCCAATGAAAGCAATTTTTCTTGGAATCACTATTTGTCAATGAAAGAGCATTGCCTTATTTTTAAAATGTGCTTACATGCGAAACTTTCGCAATATATGTATGTATTTATTTGTGTGAACTCTTTAAGCATTTTAGCTTGAATTTGCAAATTTGTTTCAGCAAATATTTCCATACACAAGGACATGATGGAATTCGGATAACTGCAACCGAGAATTAAGTACAGAAATAGTTATAGGACACTTTCACCGAATAACTCATTTGGCGGTTATCATGAAGCGAACAGCTATTTGCAGCTATTTACGGGAGAGCGCGTAAATGAAAGCCAACTTCCGGAGAAAGCAACTCTTGAGTATATAGAACAACCATCATACCCACAAACTGGTACCAGAGATTCATTGACGAGCAGGAGGAGGAGGAGGAGGAGGAGGAGAACAGGAGGGCACAGCGGTCATGGAACCACCGGGCGGAGTGCCGCCGGACAGGGATAGGCAGCTGGTGCTCCGGCATCAGAATCAGTCGGCTGCCCTCGTTCCCGTGGTGGTATCGGCACCCGCAACCGCACCCACAGCACCGGGGGTAACCAGCAGTGCGACCAGTCCGCAGCCACCGGCCACGTCCCTGCTGCCCAGCAAGCCAACTAGTCTGAGTCTCCAGCCGCATGCCAATCTCCAGGCCATGCAACAGTTGTCTCCCTCCGCCGGAGGTGGAGGAGGAGGTGGAGCAGGAGGAGGAGGAGGAGGAGGAGGAGGCAACAACAATGCCACAGTGGCCATGGCCACGAGCAGCAGTAGCGGGAATGCCAACAGCGGCAGCAGTCCCGCTCTGGCCTCCACCGCCACGGCCATTTCGGCCACCACCCAGGCGGCCACTGCCTTTAGCGGCAGCTCGGTGGGGCACCACCACTTGCAGCACCACCACCAGCACCAGCACCAGCATCCGCATCCGCCACAACTCCAGCCAACGCAACCGCATCCGGCGCCCACGGCAGCGAGCACTGCAGCGCCACAGACGCAACATCACGGCTCCATTTCCGGCACTGGATCCGCCGGTGGACTCATCGGCTCCAGTGGCGGCAGTGCCCATCCGCAGCAGGCCATCGAGAAGCTATCGCGACCTATGGCCTTCGATAAGGTGGGTCAACTGATTGCGAATCCCAATGGTCTATATAATATTCATTTTTTCTACACACAGATGGAAATGCTGGTGCGCGAGATGCAGGATCAGGAACATGGGGTGCCCGTGCGGCAACAGAAAATGTTCCTCACATCCATACCATATGCGTTTATGGGTAGGTTGTCTACTACTTAGATTTCCGGAAACCTTCAGATCGATTTGGTTATACTCTAATTAGAACGTTATTCGATTGGTTTGAACATATTGGCTTAAGAATTCGCGATTCATATTTTTCAAGCTAAATTTATTTTAATTTTGCAAATACTTCTTTGTATAAATACTTTTTGCAATTGAATGGAATACAAGTAGGTCTTCAGCTTAGCTACTGAACAACCTCCAGATCGAGCTGGTTTTATGACCATAAAGTGCTGAAGAATTCGCGATTTATGAGTTATAAGTTTCCAACGAATAAGAAAAAATGTGCAGGTAGTAAAAAAAAAAGAAAAAAACAAGATTTTATATGAAAGTATCTTATTTATTTAATTACTTTTTGCAAAAGCAAAATAAATCAGGAGAAAGCTGTCGTATATACAAGAGCACTTGATAGCATATTACTCATAGATATTTCGCCTGGCCTTTCAGGGTACGATTTGATTGAATGGCTGATGGACCGCCTGCAAATCGAGGAGTCGGAGGCCCTGAACATTGCCAACCAGCTGTGTCTGCACGGCTACTTCTTTCCGGTGAACGACTCAAAGACGCTGACGGTGAAGGACGACTCGTCGCTGTACCGGTTCCAGACGCCCTACTACTGGCCCTGGCAGCACAAGGCGCCGGACAACGTGGAGTACGCCATCTACCTGGCCAAGCGCTCGCTGCGGAACAAGCAGCGCCACGCCCTGGAGGACTACGAGGCCGAGGCGCTGGCCTCGCTGCACAAGAACCTGAAGGGCAAGTGGGACTTCATCTCGATGCAGGCCGAGGAGCAGGTGCGTTTGGCCAAGGAGCGCAAGAAGGGCGACAAGATTGTGGGGGACTCGCAGGAACGAGCCTACTGGAGGGTTCACCGTCCACCGCCTGGCCAGTTCACTCCGCTGGAGCCGTGTCCAGTGCCTTCGCGCGATCGTCAGGGCCTCAAGCCCAACAAGAAAAAGACTGTCGATGACATGCAGCGCGACGTTGACTACTTGAGCAAGTCGCTCAATCGGACGCGGATGAAGATGTCGCAGGCGTGCGAGTCGCTCGTCTGCTATTCGGAGACCTTCACCGAATACGACTTCTTTCTGCAGCCGGCACTGCCCTCCAATCCGTGGGTCACCGAGGACATCACCTTCTGGCAGCTGAACAACACCTTCGTGGACATTCCCACGGAGAAGCGGGTGAAGCGCTGGGCCATTTCCATCGAGGAGCTCGTCTCCGATCCCACTGGCCTGCAGGAGTTCACCGGCTTCCTGGAGAAGGAGTACTCGCACGAGAACATCCGCTTCTGGATAGCTGTCAATCGCTTGCGCCGATCCGCTCACTCCCAAGTGGCGCGAAAGGTCAACGAAATCTACGAGTGCGTAACCATTTCATCATTACACTCTGCCACATTATTAGGTTTTTTTTGTAACCGCTTTTTTTGACTTTCGGATTCCGAGAGTTCTAATTTTGGCTTAGCTCGCATTTTCTTTTGAAAGCGATGTAAGGATTCAATGTAGAAATTGCCAAGACATCATTTAAAAACATGCAAAACAAAATATACCAAACCTTATTTGGTATGTTAATACCAAACACTAATATAATTTATACAGGTTTAAGAGAAAGCCTTTTTTTATTCACTTTTAAAAGCGTAATAAGCCAAATTCGATAAAAGCTTTTGGAATCTTAAATACAAATTGCAGTTACCTTTGCCGTGTTGCAGTGTTTTTTTTTTGTTATATTACCCAATATATTAATGTGTGTCTACATATTGCAGGGAGTTTTTGAAGCCGGGAGCACCCTGCGAGATAAACATTGACGGCAAGACAATGGAGAGCGTGCTGCGCGGCCTGAAGAATCCATCGCGGTTCACGTTCGATTCGGCGTCGGAGCACATATACATGCTGCTGCTGAAGAAGGACTGCTATCCCCGGTTCATACGATCGGAGCACTACAAGCGCCTGCTGGACACCGGCATCCAGCCGTCGTACAAGAAGCGCTTCTTCAACTTTGGCGGCGTCAGCGGGGCGAAGAAGAAAATGACAGCCGCTTTGAGCAGCCAGCCAAATCTGGGGGATGCGGCTAAGGGATCTGGTGGCGGTGGCGGCGTCGGCGGCGGCGGCACCTCCGGCAGCAGCTCCATGATGCAGGCCCCGTCGCCCGGTAATCTGTCCAGGCGACGTGGCAGCGATCGCAGCCTCACCGGATCGGCCCACGAACTGGCCGTCATCGGGGTGAACAAGGATGCCGGCTCCAAGGTACCGCACTCTCATTCCCAGAGCAATCTCAGCGAAATCCCCTTCAGGTAAGTGCACATCTCATGCCGATCTCTCGCAGGTGCTTCAATATTATACATATTTGATTTCATATTTTGGAGCGAGCTAATTTTTTGCTGATTTTTCGCAAAGTTTTGATTTGCCTGAAAGTGAAAGAGCCAAGCTAAAAAAAAAAAAAAAAAAAAACATCGTTTTTATTTTCGGTTTTTCATTGCAATTTACTCAATCTCTCACAATGCGCACGAGACATTTTGAAGCGAAAACAACAAACAACAATGAAATTTGATACCCAGTTGAACAATTGATACAATAACAATTGATTTGATTTGATTTGATTACTATATATCATGTACATCATACGTCACACACGCACCGCAGTAGCGATTCAATTTATCGAGGCGATATGCCACAGCGCCACATGGCGATCATGGATATTGGGATCTATGCGGCTTACGGGAATCGCGAAAGTAGTTTGCAGGCACTTCCGTAAGACATGTTTATTGATTGGTTTTGCGAAACGCTTACCACCTCTACCAACTACAATCTTTTCAATCCTCAAAAATGTATTGCTAGTTTTTTGCTTTCCTTCCATTTGTTTTTGTTTTTGTTTCCATCGTTCGATCTTTGGCCCAGTCCCAACCATTTGATATTTACGTTTTTTACCCTCCGTTTCTTTCAACCTTGTCGCCTTTTCTACCCAATTTCGATTGATTGATTGATTTAAATTTATAACAAATAAGAAAAATAATAAAAATAAAAAAAGGTAAACAGTTGAATTGTCTAAATCTTTAGTTACCAAAAAAAAATTACAATGAATATTGTTCTACCCCAAGCAACATAATTTATTACAGTAACTGGAGTTTTTAAACAGTTATGTTCAGTATGAGAGTTATGTCATTCAATTGCTGGTGGAATGGGCGAAAGGAAATTCTTGTGAAAATTTACTTGTTGTGTAACTTCACCGCAAATCCTTTACTTAACCCGGTACTTCGGTGTTTTTTCTTTTTTTTCTACTTTTAACACATAAATAATATATGGGGGTGCTGCAGATTCACTTTGTTTTTTTGAAATCACTTTTAAAGGCGCTAAAAAGTATGCAATATAAATATTCAATGTATTTTTAGTGCAGACGACAACGCGTCTATTATTTTGTTTCATACTTTAAAGCACCTTTATAAATTATTTCAAAAACTAAGTGATATCTGTAGAACCACCCTTCTCTAGAAGTTTGAATTTTGTTTCAAAGATATAATTAATAATTATAAATGAGAGTTAGCTTTAACTTGGGCAGTGTAAACTGAATCGAGTACCGGGTATCTAAAAGGTCGGACCCTCGACTTTACCCTTCCCACCTGTCGTTTCCTGTTTGATCTGTCGAGCGTGTTCCTTGTTGCCCTCGGTTATTCTATGTGTGACCACTTTCACTGCTGCGATCCTGTTTGCCTCGCCTCTTTTCTTGACTTCATCAACTGTCTCCGAACATATACATAGTTTCTAACGTTCACGTTCCTATGCTCGAATGTTTGCTGTTGTTATATTGTGTGTTTTGTACTATTTCGTCCAAAAAAAAAAAAAAAAAAAAAAAAACCATGGTTCCGGATGCTTCTTCCCAATGCGCCTCTTAACCCTTTTCTGTTACCAATTGTACATATGCATAGATGTAAGTCTACGTGTTGAACACCAGCATTCCTTTTAACCACCGTCTAAGTGTATGGATGAGCATGGCTTGGGGAAACTGCCATAATGTGTGTGTGTGTGTATATTGACCCGCAGAGAAACGCCAAAGACGAAGACCACCGCCCTGGAGCCCACGGAGTCCACGTCGTCGTCCACAGCTCTGGTGATGGCGGCGGCGTCCAGCAGCGCCGTTTGCCCCTGGGACGAGCCAGCCGAGCCAGATCCCCCTCCGCCGGCGACACAGGTGAAGCTATCGGTGTGTCCCTGGGATGTGGACAGTGCCATAGAACCTACTCCTGCCCTCGTTGCAGGAGGAGGTGGAGCAGGAGGAGGAGGAGGATCGTCGTCGAAGATCTCAAGTGCCGCCGTGCAGCCACAGCGGTTGAATAGGTAGGGGCTCCGAACCGGAAGCACCGGCAGCACCGGAAGTTCCGCCAGCAAGTAATTACATTTTATGCGCAGCACTTCCTCGGACAACAGCGACGTAAATGACCGAATGCAGCGCAATTTGGGCATTCGCCATCAGAACACCGTGGACAGTGGCGAAGCAGGCATTAAGCGTCTGATTCCCAACTTTTCAGAGCAGCGTCGGGCATCAGTCTCATTTACTCCCAGGTAAGTCTTCCACACAAATTAAACAAAAATAATATTCAAACCAAAGTTTCACATTGCAATAGATAGTTTTGCTTCTCATTCAGAGCTGTATATCTTAGTGAATCAATTAGAATCAATTAGACGCAAAATATATTAGATTAACAATTAATTAATGATTTCAAATATTGAAATCAACAAAAAAAATATACGATTGAAAACATTAATTTAATATATAAAATCATAATATGAAATACAAAACATAAGAATATTTGTATTGAAAGATTTGTATCGAAATATTTTGTGTTGTATTTTTTATATTTAATATTACAATGCATATTAAATATATAATAGGGCTTTCATTTCAATCAATTATTATTAAATATTTATTTTTCATTCAAAAAATAGTCAAATAACCTATTGAGAAAAAAATTTAGTATTTCCCTACTGAAAAAAAAAAACTAAAAACCCCAATCAATGAACATCAAAGGGAGTTTACTTGAGTTAACAACAGTTACTTATTAGTGTAAGGCTTCTACCCTAGTAGGCTATATCTGATAATGTGTGCCTTTGCAGCCGTACTCCGGACTTCCAGCTAGGCCACACTCCCACGACGACATCCTCGCCCACAGTGGTCACCAGCAGCAGCTCCACAGCGCCGCTGCAGGCTCGCAGTGCCGTCTACGGCAGCGGCAGTGCCATCGCCAAGGATCCGCCGTCGGGCTCAGATCCCGATGCGGATGCGGATGCGGATGCCGAACTGGAGCTGGAGGAGCTCAACAAGCTGTCACTGGGCGGGTCCTCGACCACGGAGTTGCCGCTGCTGGTAGTGCCCACCCCCACGCAGACCCCGCCGCCCATAACCAAGGTCACGCCGCCGCCCGAAGAGAGCACGGTGCCGGCGATGGCCATGGGTTTGACAGACCAGGCCCTGGACACGCCGCCGCAAACCCAACCGAACGAGGCCCAGGCCGCGGTCAAGGAGGTCCAGATCGAACTGATCGAACAGATCGAAGCAGGAACTCCGCCCACCATCAAAGTCCTGGAGCTGGAAGTAAATTTCGGGCCGACAGCAGCAGCAGGAGCAGCAGCCGATCCAGGCCAGGATCGAGCACAGACCACCGAGGATGCCGTGTTGGCGGAAGAGACAGAAGCAGCAGCAGCAGCAGTAGCAGAAGCAGAAGCCGAAAAGCTCGTCGAGATGGAACCGCCGATCCTGGACGAGCTCTCACCCACCACCGACGAGTACCAGGAGGGGCTGCAGTTCGGCGGCGACACCAAGGACGCAGTGGACGACTTTGACAGCATAGACGTTGGCTACATACCGCCAGCACCCACCCCGGCTCCCTCCATGGCGCCCCTGGCCGAACTCGACGTGGACACGGTGGACGATGAGCCATGTGAGCCATGTGAGCCATGCGAACCATGCGAACCGCCACCCACCGCCACTAGCAGTCGGGAAATGGTGGTGGTCAGCACGACCTCGGCCTCGGCCACGGCCACGCCCACATCCAGCAACGAGGAGGCGCGCAAGCGTCGCAAGAAGCGCAACTCGGAGAACAAAAAGCTCAGCTCGCAGGACGAAAAGGACAAGGCTGGCGGCAGCAGCAGTATGGATGCTGCCGATCACAATGCAGTGTGTCCCTGGGAAGACGAGTTAGTATTTAGTAACTAGGTTTTTCAAGTCATGAATAGGTTCAGCTGATGGCCAACTAACCTGATCTAAACGCGACCTCCTTTAACTCATGACTCTTATGGATCATAGCTCTTATACTTGATTCTTTAGAAATTAGATAAGCTCATGTAGTTCATAAAGTAACTATGTGGAGTAGGGTTCACTGGGTGGGATGTTAAAATAGAATAGTTGTCTATTATTTAACAATTGTTAAAAATATACTCTTTTAAATAAGATGATCCGCAACTTACAAACAAATTAGCAAGCCCCTTGCTCTAAAGAATTCGCGGCTTGCGTCTTGACTTAACGGAAGACATTAATTTTAACCGAATATTTCGGGCACTAAAACGCTACTTTTGTGAGAATCGTGTCCTTTTCGCTTTGCTATTATTTGCAAGACTTAACTAATCATGAGTTAAGGGAGATTCAGATGAGATCAAGCATTAGGTTATCACTACATGTATGTATTACCCCCCTATTAACTTTTCATAATCCTCGCCAGGAATGTCAGCACCAACGATGGCACCTTCGTGAAGACATACGCCACACTGGGATACTTATGAATAAAGCCAAATCTGTTCAAAACGGTGGTCAACAAGTTGCTGAAAAGGAAGAAGCCATACAAGAAGTAAGGCCTGGGTAGCTGGATAGCTGAATAGCTGGGTAGCTGGATAGTTTATTATACAGAGTATCTATTATAATACGTACATGCAAACATATTATGTGTAAATGTAAGTATTTCAATAATCGAGTGTATATGTAAATGTTAAATGCTTCTCATGTTCTTGAAACTCAAACTCCACCAAACTCCGAGGCACAGTGTTGGGGGATTATTGCTGAAAACTTCAATCTATAATTAACAGAACAGAAAAACGGTCTATGAATGACACACACACACACACACACAAAAGGAAATATATATACTTTATCTACAGAGACGTACATACTTATTTACAAATCGAAGTGGCTAAGGTGGCTAATTAGAATTACGAAAAACAAACGGCGACAGAGTGGCAGAGGTTACTCAAATGAAATCAAATGAAATGTTAAAACTAACGCCTTCTTCTGATCAGTTGTAAAAAAGGAAAAACATACGGAGCTTAGATTCGGCGGCAGACATACTTTAATGTATACAATGTATATGATCTTACTGCGCATAAGAAACCATTTTCCATACTTTAATCAAAGCTATCTGTATAGAGACCCGTTCAAAGTCGAAACAGTTAAACACAGCAAGTTATAGCCAAGATCGAGAATAATAGACCCAAAATGTGTATGATAAAGTTTAGGTTAAATATTTAATTTGCACACTTGTCAGCGATAGGCCATGGCTCATTCTTGGCCAAGAAAAGTCATATTTATCCCAGCCAAACTGTGCAAATTAATCCTAAAGGGCATTGAGTCGGGGCTGGTAAAGGGCGAATTCTTGTTTAGAAAACCCAAATGCGATTGGCGGTCAGTAGAACTATACTATTTGAAAATGTGATGATCATGTGTTTTGAACACTTATATTGCCCTTTGCCAACCCGCAAGCCCCTTGTCATATTTAAATGGTAGTACAAAGCGTTAAACCAGATGTGAAATGGCCCATATACTCACTATGAATTATACCGAAAAGTCCCTTGGGTACATTAAATGCACAAGTTGCTGCGCAAGTAGTTGTTTTTCATCAGCAGCTAGTTTGCTTTATTTGAGTGAAATCCGTTTCATTTCACGGGTACATGCCAGAACTCACGAGCCCCAATCAAATGTGCAGTGCAAATGAAACACACAGTTGGAAATCTCAGTTATTTATGAGAAATCCCCTCATTTACGTAATAGATACGTCGCCAAAAAACCAAAAAAAAAAAGGTCCCTAAATTATTTCAAATCCAAACTGACTTGCGCGCTTAACTTGTGCGTTTTAAACTATATACTGTCCTACTGACTACCTAGTAATTTTCTCTATTTGATTAGAAATGTATTGAGCTGCCCGCCCAAACAATCGCAGAAATCGAGCTATGCTGTACTACATAGAACACTAACAACCCAAAGCCAACATCGATGGGATTGAACCGTGATGGCCATGGCCCGCATCTTTAAGATCAAATTACACATAGAGTACTGTTCCATTCGAACGTCTTTACCTTAGACACAACACACACAACACACACACAACACACACACAGAACACACACAAACAACAAAATGATTAGAAAATCAAATTAAGATGAAATCCTGGTTGTTCGCGACTAATACCTTTATATGAATCGAAAGATGATATAACTTATCGAAGAACTATTACAATCTAAGTATATTTATATTTTCATTGTGCATATGAATTAGCTACTTACTGTCGAAACCCGTTTTGCTGGTAAACAATCTTTATATGGGATATCTGAATTCTCTTTGTGCTTTCTAAACAAAACAAAACATAAAAGAAAACAAAAAAAACCAAATAAAAAACATTTTTCAACTACTTCAATTAACAAAGCAAAACAAAAACTGTAAACTGTAAACTGTAAAACGATATGTACCAAATGTACCAAAGAAGATGGAGAGTTAAATGCCGAAAACCTAAGCAAATCCAAGTAAATGTTGCATAGATATTACGAAACGAGGCGTACACTTAGAGAAATAGGGACGATGTGCCGAGTGTAGGGCGTGCGTACAAAATATGTACATGAAACCACCGTTAACTTTGCTTAATGCGAGCCGAGCAATTAAAGAGTTAAAACCATAAAAAAAAAAAAAAAAATACAACAAAAAATTAAAAAAAAAAAATACAAAAAAAAAATCAAATAACAAAGTAAATCAGCAGCAGCAATAGTTCCAAATTGTTGTCAAAATATAATAGCAGCTTTTAGAACAACACCAAAGAAGTTGTAGTAAATATGCGGAGGAAAATTGTATTGTTGTTGTTTTTTATGTACATTTACTTTTTTGTATTACCGTTGTTGTAAGTCAAATATGCCAAACAAGAATAGTTTATTAAGAGTTTACAACAAAATTAAAATGCAGGCAAGATATGAATTACTTTAACGCAAATCGCAAGAAAAAGTTCCGAATGTTTTGAGTAGTCAATGGTGAATATCTTCTACTTGCTTATACTAAGTGTTCCCATACATATTTATGGGATCCTTGCCGAAACAAAAACATGAAACAGAAACAAAAACAAAACAGAAACAGAAACCTTTAACAAATAAAACAAGCGCGGCTGTCTACTTTACTTTTCCCGGTACTCAAAAAACTACAAATCATTCACTGATTTAATAATATCACAACAAGTTTAGCTAATGAAAATTACCTGTTATTAGATCGTATTCAATTGTTACCTGATTTTATATGTGTTGACTTAGGCAATTATAAATTATCCGAGTTAATTCGTGGCTTTAAAAATCGATGGCTAATTTTATGAACATTTGATGTGCATTTACAAATTTCCTAACCTATTGCACTTTAAAAAATCGTCCTAGTTATTAGAAATTCGTCATAAATAAGAAGTTCGTAATTTTTAAAATTTTGAATTAAATTGCCTTATTTAAAATACATTCGTTTTTCAATCAATTTTTTATTTTGTTATTAAAAAAGTTTTTTGTCAAATAAATGGAAAATATTTTTCAAATATATTTTTTTAGGGTACAATTTGTATGTTTTGAAAACCACTTTAATTTTTTTATAGAAATTAATTCTAAATAAAAATTTAAATTTAGAGTATGCTTCCTAAATTTCAGAAATATCTTTCTAAAATTCAGAAAATGGTTCTGAAAAGAAAAAATATATTTCTGATGCTTAGAGTAAACTTAGGACAACATTTTAAAGTAAAAAATAAAAGTTGAGCCGACAGTGGCTGGAATTATAAACCAAGAATGTTGAATATGTGTTTTTAGTTGTGCAATATTTGCTTCTTTGAGTACCGGGTAAACATAGAACTAAAATGCCATAAAGGGTCCGATGGATTGATTGAACCGCCACAGCGTCATTTTGATAATAAAAAAAAAAACAAAACAGAAAATAATTCGATAACTAATGTTTAATGAATTACATAAGTACGTACTACTTCACGCGACAGGTGGGTGGCATTTGCCCTACAAGTATTTACTTTAATTTCTGGATAATTAGTGCTCATATCACTGATTAGCGAACAGGAATGCGCAAAACAATATGCTTAATACATAAGATTCCAGAGCTTTTAGTAACGCCATGTAAATTCTGGGTCATGAATACAGTTGTGAAGAGTGTAACCGAGGCGTTTGTTATTATGTATTCAAGTCATTTACTATAAGTGTATACAGCTTATACTATTACAAAAGTGTTAAAAACATGAATTATTTTGAGAAAAACCCAAAAAAAAAAAAAATGAATATACAACAAAAATGTTAGTCGGTAAAACAAATCAAATGTAAAACCATTTAATGTAGACTGTACTAAAGAATTCAAGGAAAATTGAATATCAACACTCCATCACGCAAATAACTAAAAGGAAAATCGCAAATTGAATAGAAGTTGATGGACAAATTATTTGCACAGTGCAGAAAAACGTGTTATAAAATTATTATACTATACAAAAAATATATATTATTGAATTATGCTGATGAAATTAAAAACCATAAAAGTATGTAAAAAAAATTCAAATACAAATGATTTAAATGAAGTACAATAAATATTCAAGTGACGAAAATGTACGTGTGGTTCTATTTATTCGGAAAATCTTATTTTTAATGCGCTCAAGGATATGGGATATGTTTTCTAAAACTTTTGTAGTTTATACTCGACTTATCTGCTTTAAAGTTATAATTTTTGTTTAGTTTTTGGCTTTTTTTGTTAAATTAAAATATTTGAAACATTATAAACATTTGTAAAGCTAGATTAAAATATGTAGCAGATTTCGTCTATAGACAAAGTAATAAATTACTCAAGATAGGGTTTGTATTATACAGTTAGCCACAATTTTATACCCTATCGACTAGATTCGATCAGAAAGTGTAGCTTCAACATGGTTAAAATCCTTCAAATACAGATTTTTTATTTCATTGGAACTTAAAAGTAACTACTGACGCTTTTTTAGTGACTATAAATTAAATAACATATCTTAATACATTAAATTAAAACTCTTTTAATGATTACTTTAAAAAAAAATTGGATATTACACAAAAGTAGGGTTATTTTATTTAAAATTATAAGCTTTGGTAAGTAATTTTAGTGATATTGAATAACTGATTAATTGGGTTCGAGTCTTGGATAACTTTCCGTTAGAGTGACCGTATTTTTGGCTACAGAAGTCTAGCCTTTTGGTATTTTTAGGCGCCTTGCCTGCGGTTGATCGATATCAGGCCTCTATCGATATCGATAAGCAGCGAGTTTGTTGTGGTAAATAAAATTTAAATGAAATAGAACTATTTGTGCTGATCCATGAAGTCGGTGGCCATCCGCCCGAAGCCGCCAGGCTCCGACAACCGCGGAGCCCTGCGTCCGGCTGCAAAGAAGGCCGTGCAGAAGCGGATCTACCACTGCGGCGTCTGCTTGGCGGGATTCCCGCGTCATCTGGCCACCAAGCGGCACGAGGAGCAGTGTGCGGCCAGGCTGCGGCGCCTGTTCATCTGCTGCCACTGCCTGACGCTATACGGCGACGAGGCCCGGCTGGAGCGGCACCGGCAGCGCAAGCACACCGACGGCCAGTTCCTGTGCCTGCAGTGCGCCAAGCGGTACAAATCGGCCACCTTCCTTTACCGCCATGTGGTCAGCTGGCACGGCGAGCAGTCGCTCTTCTACTGTGCCATGTGCGCCGACAACTGCAGCGACGTGAAGACCTTCAGCGGGATGCGGGAGCTGCAGGAGCACGCCGACGAGGTGCACCACCTGCGCTTCCTGGAGTCCACGGCCAGCGAAACAGGTGGGTCGACCCAAATCATTTTATTTGCTATTAAGGAATACATCAGGATTAGGTTAAAGTTATACAATAAGGGACCCTAGGGACTCTATAAGCTGAAGGTCTCTTGCAGCTATAGCTCTAACCACTATTTTTGTTAGCTCTCAGCTTTAACAATAAGTTAGCATTGTTTAAATAAATAGATATACCCTAATAGTAGGGTAGCTTAGTTTGTATTTGTATCATTATATTAAATTCAATTATAGGATAAAGTTATACTAAATATTCAAGTAGGTTATCTAGCTTCCCCAGTTGTGTTCAACATTCTTATAAGGTTTGTGTGTTATTGCCTTCAGCGGAATGTCCTAAAAGTTGTCGCAAAATATTATTCATTTTTCTAATCACAATATTTAATATTATTTTCAAAAACCACGCCTAAATACTAAACTATAATACCTCATTGACCATCCCAACCTAATCGCGGCAGGCAGCCAGGTCGACGAAACCGAGGACCTGGAGATGCTGGAGGAGAATCTCGAGGATCTGCTGCCCAGCGTTGACTGGGACGACGACCTCACCTTCGGCTGGCCCATGGGCCTGGACAAGGAGTCGTGCATTGTGGATGAGACGAAGCCGAACGTCTTTGTGTGTCCCTTCTGCGCCAACGGGTTTTCGGGCAGCTTGTGCTTGGTGCGGCACCTGGAGAGGATTCACGAGAAGAGTCCGCTGGACTGCTGCTACTGCGACAAGAGCCATGGCAGCCGGGATGCCCTGCGGTCCCACCTGCAACGTGTCCACGTGCTGTTGCGCGCCCATGTGTGCAGCGTTTGCCAGGCGGACTTCGCCACCGCCGATCACCTGAAGAAGCACGTGAATAGCCAGCACCTGGACCATCGGCCGCATGTGTGTCCCACCTGCGGCAAGGGCTTCGCCCAGCGCTGCCATCTCACCCAGCACATGGCCACGGATCGCGGCCACGGGCACGGCAAGTTCGTCTGCCAGCTCTGCCTGTGGCCCTTCTTTCGGGCCATCGATCTCGAGCGGCACGTCAACGAGAAGCATCCGTAGAAGGATTAGGAAGACAGTCAATCGATCGGACATTGAAGGTATGTTCGGTTCTATGACTGTTAACGTAATAGAGTTAAAGTTACTTTTTAAAAATTAAGAGAGCTGTGCAAAACATTTTAATTTTATTTACTTCCCCGAATCATAAGTCTTTAATCATTTAAACTAACAATAGTTATCACTTCAAAATACATCAGCTCGAATTACATAAGTACGTTTAGATTACATTTAAGATAATTCTTATGACAAAAGTAATACTACCTCAAACTGACTGATAATATCAAGCAAAAGACAAACAATAAAAAATAATTTTTAAAATAACAAATAAACTGCTGCTTCTGTTTATATGAAGTTAAGAATTGAAACAAGCTTGAAAAATCCATAGAGTCATTTATATTGTTAGTTGGGAATTACCTTACCCCTAAATTTAAAATAACCTAGTAAATTTCTTAGAGCCCAGGGGTAATTTATAATGACGATTGCACCCTTTAACTCTAGAAGGGTATGGAGAAGTCAGTACCGTAGGCCCCAATAGTTAACAGTGGATCCGATCTCTGTTAGTTAACAGCTGAACCGGCCCACAGCAGCAGCCCCAGATCAGAAGAGAGCACTGAGAGCGGGAGAGTGGGAGAGCGCGGAGCTACGACGATCGGTACTGCTACTGCTATTGTTATTTGTTATTGTTATTTGGGATCGTGGATTGTGATAGGGGCACAGTAACTTGGCCCACACCGTTGCGACGACAGTTTTGAACGGAACTTGCTGGTGCTTGGAAGGCAGTGCGGCCGATCTCCGCGAAGTTAACTCCATAATATACCGTCGCGCTCAAATATTTATCACAAAATACAAAAAACATTATTCTGTGTGTTTATTTTTTTCCTGTTTTTTCGTTACGTATTATCTGATTTTTGTGCTGGTGATCCCAAAATAATTTAATTCAGCATATCGTTAAGTGATTTCTTGATTTTCGAGCCGTGTTTGCATACAGTAAGTTATTGAAGCGCGTGCAATAAACAAAAGTTAGTAGCAATAACAAAAATAACAAAAAAGCCAGCGACCTTAAAGTTCGGCTAACATTTAAACTAAAACTGCTTTTTGTTATTGTTTATATGCTTTTCCACTTCTGCCCCATTGAAGCCGGGCCTTTTATAAAGCTCTCTATACGTTTAGCCTCTTGTTTTTTGTTTTTATTTTTTTTTAAATAGCTTTCGACCAAAACCAGAACAAAGTTTTATCATTAACTAATGAAAAAAAAAAACAAATACAGAAACGTACAATTGCAATTAACGTTTTTTGATGTGACTGTTGAGATATTCCAGTGGGTCTGTGGAAAACCCCCTGTGAAAATTGTTGCGCTTGAGTTCGCCCCACAAATAAATAACAAAGTCTAAGCCTGGCTTTAATCGATATTCAAATCAAAGTACGTCAAATCGCGTGCGAGTTGGGGATTACTGAATCACTATTGCATTCGCAAATTAATCCAAGTGAATTTAGCTGAAAATGTATTCGCTGCTTTAAATTACAATATATCAACTTGCTTATGGATTAATAATAATGGATAACTTGCCAATAAAGTTCAAAAATCTATTGACCTATGGAATCGTACATAGAAGCAGTCGGTTATTCACCTTTTTTTAGTCAACAATAATCAGTACTAAACAATAAACCATTTTAAAACAATCTATTCTGATTGATTGTGTTTATAAATGATTTTATGGAATGATATTGCTTGTATGTGTGTGTGTGTATTCTTTATTATTTATTTAATTACGATTTATTAAACCACTTGTTCAAAAAAGTCACATCTAGTACAATATGGGATTATTATATAATGATTTTTATCAGGTTTTATTTTGTAAAACAATCACGTTCGACAGCAAGAAAATGCTCTATAAATTTCTATACAATTCTGATTTCATACAGAACGTGTTAAATTTAGACTATATTGTAGAGTATAAACAAATGTAAACGGGGCTGAGAATGTCAATTGGTTTTATAGTTTTCAAGTTAATTGTAACATGAAGATCAATAAGCGAAACACGTTTCAATAATTCTAATAGCTTTCAAAAATTAATATGAAATAAGTGACTCCAACGTGTTGAAATTTTAAGGCGTTTTATCTTAAACTCACATTCCGGACAGTTCATTTAACTTGTTTGTTACTTTGTCTGAGTAAAAAAAACAATGTAAGTTAATTAAAAGGAGATAAGTTCATATTGTTTCCATTATTTAGTTCTACTTTTAGCAGGGATTTGACTACGAGTTACCTTTAGACTTATACTAAACATATGTGCTGCAGAATGGTAAAATAACTTTTTGTAAATACTTTCTCCAACTGAAAGTTGAAATCGGTTGATCTTTAACTCGCATTCCAGACGTCTCTGTTAACCCGATCCCTTTGGGGGGCCTCAAATCCATAATTTATCTTGTAGAACCCAATGCCCTCCTGTCGCCCCAACTTCTGCCTTCTGTTGTTTGTTGTGATGATGCTCCCCATCAACATCTTTCCATGGATGCAGTGGAATTATCATCATGTCTATATTGTAATTGATTTGCCTGAGCGAATAGCCAGACGAGGAGACAACCACTGGGCCTGTTCCCTGATCTGCCACGCCCCCGCCACCGCCAACGCCCCTCGTCGCAGGCTTATCATTAGCATTCGAGTTTTCCTTTTGTTTTGGAATTCTTTCGCAGGGAGCAATTGCCAGGTCGCGGCACTCCCTTCGTATAATTGTGGACCGCCCAAGTGGTGGGATCTAAATCCCGAGATGATTCCTTTCGATTTCTCGCTTTTTCTTCCTTGATATTATTATTCATATCTTTTTCGATATCTTTGGGTGACGCACTGGAAAACAATGCCTTGAAACTTGGAGAATAAAACCCCCTGTCACCTGCACAAGCATACTTTATATCATTAAGGACAGTTTTATCGACTAAATGATACCTAATACGCGAGCTTTAAAACCTGGTTTCAATGGTTAAAAGTGTAGAATATTTTAAGAAGTAGTCTTTAGTAGTGTAACTAGAACTATAACCCTAATTAAATGAATACACTGCACCAAACATTCATATAAAATGTTTTTAAAAATGTTTGTAAAATTGTTTTGCCCAATGTAGGTATAGAAAATTAGCGGTTATCTAAATTTGTAACTTATTTTTAACGGAGTATTCAAGTAAAGTATGACTCAAAAATCTCTTAAATATATACATACCTTATATTAGATCAATTTATAATACCTCCATTTTTAAAAGAATAATATAGATATGATTTTTAATTAGTTAAGATACCCCTTGCCTGCAAAAAGTAATGGGTACTTAAAACAATCAGTAAGACCAGTAACAAAAGCCTGTCGCTTTCGCAATAAGTATTTATAATTTAAAAACGTGCTGAATTTTGTAATCTGTACGCAGTAAATGTCTCGCGCTCTCCTTTTCGCTCCCTCTGTTCCTGTCTCCCTCTATCGATCTGTATTGGCTGACGAAATGCTTGAATAGCAACAGCCCCTGATAAGCGGGTTAAAGAGACCTTCGATGTGACAGGTTGTGTAATCGTTAGCCTGACAGTATAGCTAGCCACCGATCCTGAGTTGCAAATATTGGGTTTCCCATGTACTTTTAAGCTCTGTTTTTGAAAATCTATCATTTAACCGATTCTCTAAAAGTTTCAAAATTTCATATAGCAGTTTATGTTATCAAAAATATCTTTAGCATTATACTTTATGCGTATTATAAAGTCCTGAGTCGTATATAAAGCATAGTGACAAAATTGTAAATGTTTTAACTCCGCTTTGGCTTACTTTGAGAAGATTTCTGAATTGGATAATAACGTGATCTCTTTGTGGAAATCAATTATCCAAATTCCCCACTGTTAAGTTAACAGCTGCTTTTTAGCATTTAAGCTTGTGCAGCAGCCCCAAAAAAAAAAACACAACAACAAGAGGAGGGCAGAGGAATGTCAAGATGAATCATACAGGTGTGCGTGACACCTGGCAACAGAGAGAAAAAGAGAGGCAAACAGTGGGAGAAATACATAATAATAACAATAAGAGAAACAATAACAACTGTTGGTCTGTTATATCAATCGGCATTTGCTTAACTGTTAAAAAGAGCCAAGAAAAAAGGGGGAAAAAAATAAGAAAAACAGAAAGGAAAACAATGATAGCAGGCGTGAGTGTGGGTGTGTGTTGATTGCACCCAACAAATAAACACTTGTCTGCTCAATACGTATTTATACCCATTACACCTAAAACACAAGTGCAGAAACATATGTACACAAATTAAAAACAAGCGCAAACTCCTCGGGTCCCGTTACAAGGCGAGCTTAAAGCTATTTTAAACACCATCCGATCTTTCTCTCTTGCCTCTTTCTCCCCCTCCCTGACTGCTATCTCCTTTCCTGTGTTGTTGCTCGCACTACTCCCTTTTCGCTTTACTCTTATTCGGCTACCCCTTGAGCACAGAAAGAAATTAGGAGAATTTTACATTAATTTGGTAAAGTTCAATTTGAAACCGCGAATTCTTTAGCTTTAGTGTTCCACAAATGGATCCAATCAAGACATTTTAGTACTGTTGGTTTTGGGTTTCCCTTATGGACAGAAATAAAGTAAGCTTTAAATTTTATTTCAATAAAATAAACTTCGAAAAATAGCCTCTGATAAAGCCTGGATTACTAAATAATAATACCTTGGTGACCTCGACTTCGACTAATGCCTTACAAATTTTCTAAATTAATTCCACTTAAAATAATTTAACAAGTTTCAAAATGTTTTAAAAATTGATAATAATTTTTATATTGAGATCGATAGTGATGGAACACGTAAATATCAAGTTAAATTTGTAAAAATGGAGTTTGGTGACCCCAACCCAATTTCTGTTTAGCCTCTGAGAAAGGCTACTCATGCCGGCAATTCTAGAAGAAACAGTTTACAACCGCGTTATTAAACTTGCAACCAAGGGTATGCTAACCTTCTGATTCTCAATCGGACCTTTCTTCTCATCCCCAATCTTTATTTATTTTCTGGTCCATGGGGGAGCACAATTCCTATGTTTGCGTCTTCCTCTGCTTCCTGATCTTCTGTTTTTTGTTTTGCATTTTTATGAATGAATTGCGATTTTACTCTTGCGTTTTTTGTTCATGCTATGCTAAGCTGATAAAGCGCCTTGATCACTTGTGGCCTAGCTATAGCCATGCTATACATACATATATGCAACAACAATTACTGGGGTCTATCACTATCAACTGGGCGTGCGTTTCGTTATCGACGGCCCAACAACAAGTTGAGCAGCTGAAAGGGAAATGCGAACTGACCTATAATAAGACTTTTCGTATTAAATCAGTACGCAAAAAAGAATAAGAACAGGGCGACGCAAGGGAATGCAATGAATATAAAACAAATAATAAAATGCATTAAATGCCACAGCCACAGTGGAACCTGCACTCAGATTAAAAATTTAACCCATAAAAAATTGTTCTGTATTTAAAGCTGGAATTTTCTAGGACTGTCTCATCTTTATTTTTTACAATAACCGCAAATTCTTAAGTTGAGAACGACACACCTTTTTAGTTTAAATTGTTTATTTTTAATCATTACAGTCTTATTTTATTTCAAGTGCACGATCAGTAACTGAAGTTCAAACCCATATGTACAGGAAATATTAAACTTCGTACGCATTCTGCATACAAAATGAAGAAACAAAGATTTTCCATGCAGACAGGAAATCGGCTAAAGTCTTTGGCCAAAGAATTCCGAATCGAAACTCCATGATTGCCGCTGATTATACAAGAATCCTGTCTGTCGCCTTTTGCCGGCTTTGTGGGCTTTAATGGCCACAATTGTTTCTGATTTATGAGTCAAAGCATGGCCGTAATAAAAGAAGCGGGCGAACAGCCGGCGAACAAACGCGGTTCATTCATAGCCAAAAGTGGCAGTGGCAGTGGCAGTGCATTGTTCAATACCGTGTGAACATCTAAAAATGTGAGGCATTTTGGTTGGCTTATGCACTTTGTGGCACACATCATACCCTACTAATAATTTGTTATACTTTTCCATTTGCAAGCCCATATACTGTTATAATGGTCTTAGATTTTGATTATTTATATTATAAATGACTAGCATTAATATTTTATTTATTTGTTTTTATAAATTTTAACTAGCTTTTTAACGGCCTACAAATCATTACAAATTGCTGATTTATAGCAAAGACTTTCTTTTGAACTTAAACAATTTCTTAAATTTGTTATTTGATAGTTATATTGTTTAAAGTTTTTTTTGTCATTATGAATAAGGCTGCTTTAATATGTAAGTATCAAATACTTGTTGAATTAGTAAGTCATTTAATGGCCCTTAGATAAGTCAAGTTATACTGCTGACTTATTTATGATTTTGATAGTGTTTATCTAGTGGATCATGACTAACGTGTGCCTTCCTGTTAACCTGTTGAAATAGTTATAGTGTTCTAAGTTTTTTCTTTATTATTGTGAAATAATGTGGTTTTATTACTATCAAATATTGGTTTAACTAGTAACCGCTTTGAGCCAGTCATTTGATAATGGCCCTTTAAATTAGCCAAGTTACATTGTTGACTTTCTTTGCTGATTTTGATAGTGCTAAGAGGATGTTTATCTAGTTGATCATGACTAACGTGCGGCTTCCTGTCCTTAGGCGCTTTATTGTCATGCAATCGGCCGACTGATTGTCTCATTGATATGCCTGACGCACGATTTTGTACCCTCGAGTGGTGTGTATGCTTATGATAAGACTTTTTGTATCAATGTCAAGTTAGCCATAAAGAGGTTTTGTTGCCTCGTTGGTCAACATCGCATTCATAACCGAACTGACCCCAATTCGAATGGTAAACGTGCCCGCCCACCTGCCACCAGCCACCTCCACCTGTGTACACTGTACACCTACACCTAAGAATTGACATTGTAAATCGAGAGAGCAGAAGAAGAAAAGCAAATTAGCCACCACACAAATAAGATGTAAACAATACAAATCTCTGACACTGACATTTTCCAACTTGCCCTGTAAATCAACTCAAGTCGTAAATCATTCGGTGGGTAGTCAAAAAAAAAGATGCGTTTTCACACTTTTTACACTCGGAAAAATCATAAAATGTTTTTATAGTTCTAAAGGTTAATAGAGCCTGATAAAAAGTTTACTTTGGTAAAATTATATTAATCTGTAGTTTTATTATAAATCTAAATTCTTATTAACTGACTCATTGTTGTTTTCTTTCGTAAATTGCAGCTTCCGCATTTGATAACTTATATCTTGATGATGTAAAACAATTGTTAGTCTTTAATTCTATGAAATAATAAATGCCAAAAATACGTACTATGACTTTTTTCCAAAAAAAATTATTTAAAACAGGAAGCTATGATTAAGTTCATAGTTTCTTCTTAGTTTAAAACATTCATACATATTTTAGGAGTTATTAATGATACAAAATTCTTAGAATATGAAAAAGATTTAAAATATTCTGTTTCTGTTTTAACTTTTGTTTTTATAACAAAAAGATGTTTTATAAGTAATAGATTTAAAGTTTGTAATACGTTTTAAAAGATATATGTGTGTATCTAGCAATTTCTAATCATTTTTATTTCTTTGCAGAAATTAATTAATTGATTCTGTTACATCAACCGTATTTGGGAGTCAGTTTTGAAAAGGACCGCTTCACCATGTCCCGAAAACGAATTCACGAACTTGTCCTGCCGCTGCTGCTCCTACTCCTGTTCGTCGGCAGAGCAGTGGGCGTGGCTCTCGTATCCCCCAACAATAGGCTCCCGTCGCAGCGCTTCTTCTACGCCGCCGCCCCAATCTCCACATCCTCCTCGCAGACCAAGGTACGTCTGCTCCGCCAGGCGGACGATCCCAATACGGCGCCGGATGCAGTGGAGGGCAGCTGCTGCCAAGGAGCCGCCGCCGCAGCCGGAAAACCACTGACGGTAAGTGGGAATTCGGGCCAATCTTATTGGAACTTAATGATGAAGATCCTGTTAATAAGTCCATCTATTAAATAGGTTGTTTTTTTTTTTTTTTTGAAAGAAAGGATACAAAAGATCCTAACAAAATTTGCTAAAACAACTGTTTAAAAACTACCTTTTTTTAGTAAAGCCTACAAATGTATATTACAAAATCGGAAACTTAAGAAATTGTTTTTCAAAGTTTGAACGTAATAATAGAAACAGGACTTGTGGTTGTATACAGTTCGTGTATTAGAGATTCGTTAAAACAATAAATATTCTATGAAATTCAAACCTTCAAATTATATTCAAACCTTTTAAATTATTGTTAATACATGTAGTTTACTCTAACAAAAAAATATGATGCCATTACCAAAACCACTTTTTAAATGTTGGCTTACGTTAAATTTTTGAGAAAACCCTTTGAAGACTTTTATTTACAAAATATTTCTTATAATATCTGGCGCGATCCCATCTCATGCTGCATCCAGATGGCGCCACTGTGCCGCCTAGAGACACTGCATATTTGGGTCAGCGTCATCGCCGCTGTTTTGTTTGCAGTTTGATAAGGCGCAGTCTCACTGCACAACCCCAACTCGTGGCCCGATCCCAGCCCCCAGCCCCAGCCCCCAGACCCCAAACCCCAATCCCCAATACCCCACCCAAGATCGGGAGCAAACCGTGGACAGACGCCGTTGTCTCAGCCTCTTCTCACGTAGCGAAAAAATGTTGCACATCTAAAACACTGATGTGGTGAATATCAGTGATTCCATGCCCTAGAAAACGTTTATAGTTTATGCCTTAATTTTTGATTTAAACTTGGTTTTGGCAATAAACAGAAATATCTTTGCTTAAAATTCGGTGAAGTATATACAATCACATGATGCACAATACATATGTATACATTATCAAAATAATGAATTTAAATCTTGTTTTCCTTGTAGTTTTATCTGCAGTTTTGAAATGGTAGCATATTTTGATGTTTTTCTTTTATGCAGTATACTACAAATACAATTTTTTTGGATTTTCAATGATTAAAATTTGAGTTTTGCGGAAAACATCTTAGGCAACGAATAATTTTGTGACTCACTGTATCTACATGCATTCAAAACGAATTTCAATGTAGAGATGAATTTCAGTTGAAATTCGTTCTGAATATCAAGATATCTTAAAAAAAAACTTGTACTATGCAATGCTAATTCGTTGATTAATTATAATGATAAATATTTTAGAACTCTTTTTTTTTCTTTATTTTTAAATAGTAATAATTTTCTCCCAGTGCATTTTTGTGCTTCCGTCTGCGTCTTTGGCATTGATAGCGGTGATCGCCTTGATTCCAAAACAAATAGTTCGCATTACGTTTTTAATTGGGCATTACTCAGCGGCCCCCGCATCCACATGCAGTACTTTCTAACCCACCGACCAGAAGATTTGTTTGCGTCAGTGCCAAAATAAACACAAGATTTCCTTTGCCGGCAAAGAAAGCGAAGAAAAAATGCGGCGGAAGGGTTTCGGCATTACGACGGAGTCATATTGGCTGGGTAAACAAGTGGGGGGATCGAAATCGGGATCTGTTTGTGGGTACTCGGCAAATAGCTGCACAGAAGTCAAAACAATAACAGCTACGATACCGGATGGCAATTAGTGTTGGGCCAATTGTTGTTTCACAGAAATGCGATTCGCTTCCTGGAACAGAAAACTCGATCAGATTACGATTATCAGTTGACAAACAGATGGGTTCCATATATCTTTGTTATACCAATTTTAGCTATAGAAAGATACAAGAAATTATAATTACTCTTTCAGCGATATAAATATAATAAATTGAATGAATATAAAATGGGAAGTTATATCTTTATATTTTCCATAAATTTGTTCTTCAAATACTTTTTCTACATCAAATTAAGATACAGACAGGTTATAATACGCACACATACATATCTTAGCTTCTTTTTTGTGATTAATATTATCACTGAAGCTAATTAACTTATAAAATATGCCATTTCCTCGGCGATCGTTTGTCATTTGCCCTTGAACTTTCTCCGTTTTGTGACGCAGTTGTTGCTGTTATTATACGCCTGATCCCCCAGATCGGACAATTAACGGCTTTGAGTCGCAAATGCCGCTAATGAATCATGGCCAGAACATGGATATGTGGCTACCGTCACATCTACGTGCAAATTGGCCGAAACCAAAGCGACCGCGCCGGGAACTCGGCACGTGGGCACGATTCACTTGCTCCTCTTCCGCTTGGAATTGGCTAACAAAATCACTTTTATAAACGGTATAAAATACCTACATAGGTGACGCACGATGGCGTTGATATATATATTTATTTAAACCATTTCTATGCAGTTGACGTCCGTTTCGGAATTCGATCCAAAAGGGGGAATAGTAGTAGCTTATGACTAAGTTCAAATGAATGTTGTGGTGGAAGCTAAACCATCGATAATTTGTCTTACAGCTTCCACTGGCCGTGACCGCCGAGTTGAGCAACGTGACCGCCGATTACGATGTCTCCGGCGAGATGCCATCCTCCAAAGGTATATTGATAATGGATTGGAGTCTTTGCCAACAGATAAATAATGTAATTTGTTGTCTTTCTTATTTGCAGAAAACTTCAAGCGCAGCATCATGAAATGTAAGCAAACAACACAAATATATAACAGATTGAAATATTTAATAATTGCGAATTCTTTAGCCCTTATAATTCCTACTTTACCTATACAAATGAATGAAATAGCAAGCGCAAATTCTTCAGCTTCATTGTGGTGTTATAAAACAGAGGTCTAACTTGTATAGTTGTTTGTTTAACTAGTACAAAGTTATATTACTTTTCTTTAATCGTATCTGTTGGCAACTTTGTTTATTCGTCCTTGTGTTAAAAAAAACACCAAAAACGCGAACTCTTTAGCACCAGAACAATTCATTCGACAGCTAATTTGTACTTTGAATTTTATAAACCAATTATAGAAAGTCCAATTTTTTAATTATATCTAAATTGAGTTTATAATGTTGTCTTAAAACAGTACACAAAACGCGAGTTATTTAGCTGATGATTAATCCTTTATAATCTAATAAAAGAAAATCAATTTTAAACATACATATTTAAACTGATTTTATATTTTTCTTCTTTAGCCACCGTGAGAAACGCGACGCCGGCGAGCTGCTCACCGCAACCGACGATAGTGGAGCTGATGCCGCCGGCGGAGGACAGGGCGAACTACTACTACATGCCCGCCTGCACGCGGATCAGCCGGTGCAATGGCTGCTGCGGCTCCACGCTGATCTCCTGCCAGCCCACGGAGGTGGAGCAGGTGCAGCTGCGGGTGCGCAAGGTGGACCGGGCGGCCACCAGCGGACGCAGGCCATTCACCATCGTCACCGTGGAGCAGCACACGGCGTGCCGCTGCGATTGCCGCACAAAGGCGGAGGACTGCAACGTGTACCAGTCGTACATCAAGGACCTGTGCCGCTGCGAGTGCCACAACACGGACGCCAGGGACAAGTGCCTGGAGCAGGCGGACAGCAAGTACTGGGTGGACGACAACTGTTCCTGCGTGTGCCGCTACAATCAGAGCTGCACCACCGGCACCGTCTTCGACGAGACGCTGTGCAAGTGCACCGACGTGAGTGGCTCCCGATAGGACTCCACCTCCACCTCCACTTCCACCTCCACTCCAACTTCACTCCCCTGAGGCTCCATTAGGATTGGTTTCGATCTGGTCCTGGTCTGGTCTGGGGATCGGTTGTACTCGTCCTTGGTTGGTTTGCGGTTGATACCTGGTGGTGGCTCTCTAGCTTAAGCTTTTCTCTACACACTATCAAGCCAGGCTCCACAAGTTCCTTGAGTATTTATTTTGCTTTATTCAGGATGGTATTTATCTTCTTTTTTTTTTGTTTGTCAATTCATCAGAATATCTGAACAGACTAAAAGAATAGTTACTAAAATTATCAAAGTTTAATAAAACGCAAATTCTTAAGCTAGGTTGTTCTGTTCAATTAGCTGTATTTAATATTTATAATAAAACTATTCGAGAATATATGTACAAACAAAATCTAGCAGTCGTTGATTTCAAAGTGTACCAACCAAATAGAAACTCATTTCCTACAATTTCATAGGTAGATTACAGGTATAATTTTAATGTAGTTAAATGCATAAATAAATTGTTTAAGTCCATTGAATAATATTATATTATTACGTAATTTTTCGGTACACTATTAAGCATGTTTTAATTAGTATACGCAACTGTTACAACTGTTTTGTTTGTATTTATTCAAGTGTTTAAATCTAACTTAGACTGTTTATATAATTCATTTGTTCGACCAACTGTTGAAAGTTTATGGACTAAGGTAAACAATCCAACCCACACTTTATTTATCCCACTTAATTTAAGTTTGTCTTCGTCTTGTCACTTTTTATACGTTTTACTTCTGTTTCTTTTGTGTTTCATTTTAGATCAAAAATGTCGAGTATTATACTTAGAGTCCACAAAACAAAGTACACACTACACAAATTTATTTGATTGAAAACTAAACATTTTGTGATATTGTTAAATTAACTTTTTCGGAAAACTAACTAAAAATTAGCATATTTTATTTAGCAATTGGTTAAGGATACAATAAAAAAAAATCAAAAATGTAAATTATAGCTGAGTTGAGGCAAAAAAAGGGAGATGGGAGTTGCATTGTGTGAGTACTTGTCCTGCTTAAATGCTTATTGAACCCGCAAAGAATTTTTAATTCTTATATCTGCATGTCTAACATTCTTTTAGTTAACTAAACATGTAATTATTTCGATTGCGCCCTTCCCAATTTCCCGCTTGTAATGTTATGCCTGAATTATTGCATATTTGGTCTATTAATTGTATTTATTGATTTTCCTTCATTAGCCAGCCGCACCCATCAATGTTTTGGACCGCAAACGCTTCATTGTCCAGGCCGTACAGGTGGACCCCGATAACACCACCCTGTACAGTGTGTGAGGGCAGTTGAGGGACACCAAGGAGTACGAAGGAGAAACGCCAACTTCCTAGAGGGGAATTCCCGAGTACTGATAAGCAGAAATTACCCAAGAATTGCACTAAGCGTATTGCCTATGTACTTTATAATATTTATAGTTGTCGATTTAACCTAGGCTACCCTTTAAACTAACTTACAGTATTTCTCCATTATGCGGCACAAAATCAAAATCTTTAAGGTGTTTCCCCGAAATCTCTAAAGATTTGTTATCACTTAAAAAATTGTCCAAAAGTATTGCCTAAATTGAAGGGAACTTTGGGACACATTTTCAAGAGATTTCTGTGCAACGCCTGTTTATTAAATTTTATTCATTTGTTTATATTAATTTTTAAGCGCCTTCTACTTTGTCGCGGCCTTGTACACATTTGTTTATTTCTGCTTGTTTAAGTTTTAAATTATCCCAAATTAATTGTACACAAACTTAATGCTTTCCAACAATTCGCCGTACTTCATTTGTGCGTAACAATTTTTTTTTGTATAAAATGTTAGATTTAAGTTTACGTAATGAAAATACAGACAAAGTATTGAATTATTAAATCAAAATGATGTGTTTTTTTTTACTATACTTATACTACACATATATAATACTATATATACTCTTTGTGGAAAACTTTGGCCAGAGAAAGTTTGACAGACAAATAAATATTTCATTAATAAGAATTTTAAAATCCGTTAAATGAATTTTTCAATTCGAATTATTTATGATAGTGCCACCTATGATTCATACATGCAGTAGCATTTTTATGTTAGTTCATCGTTTTCCTAACATTTCCATGTTAGTAAAGCCGTTTCCCAACATTTCCATGTTAGTAAAGCCGTTTCCTAACATTTTTGTTAACAGAGTAGAGATGGGAAAATATCGAGATTTCCCCGCCAAACATCGATGACACCGGTGTTGGCATCGATGTCTCCCCACCTCCAGCGGTGACTTTGCGTGTTTGTGGTGGGTTTGAGTATTGCAGTGAAATGTTAGCGAATCGTCGAACTAACAGCGAAATGTTAGCGAAACGTCGAACTAACAGAGAACACGGGAAATATCGATAGTCCCTGCCAAACATTGATAGGACCGATATTTTGAAAACATCGATGACATAGATTTTTGCATCGATGTTAATTCATCTACCGTCTCTAGCGAAAATTTCATGCGCCAAAAACGTAAACTAAAGGAGTTTTATTGGAATTACTGCGATTTCAAGGACACCAAACTGCCCAATGTGCAGCACCAGGCGCAACTGAGACCGGGGACACCAAATTCCAGAACTGCGGCGGTGCATCCTGCGCGGCGGCGGCTTGGAAAGGAAAACGCAACTTCCACCTTGTGGGTGGTGGTACAGCAACGAAGGAAGAAGAAGAGCAGCAACGCTGCGGTCCAATTTCATAAACAAAAGGATATAAAGCGCATTAAAATAGGATTTCATCGGCCACTGGACAGGATGACCACCTGGAGAAAGTGAGAGTCAGCTTTGCACTTGAGCCAGCTACACAGGAATCCCGAGATTAAGATGCAGGTAAATGGGCGGAACCAAAACAAAACATTGGCAGCTGCTAGCAATTGTATTTTATTTAATTTTTATTGAATTTAGTACAGCGCATACAAGATTCATATTTACTAGTATTATACCGAAATATCTTATCTTATATTCATATGTATGTAAGAAATTGGCATAGTAGGCTCAGATTTCTAAGATCTTGCATTAAAATCCTCTGAAATCTGACAACTCATTTACTTAAGTTTTGATAAGTAATTCACCAAAAACTAAACTATCATATCATCTTTATATCGTTATAAGCGGAGCCACAAAATGAAGGTGATTATAGAAATGGAATAATGACCATCCTTTTTGGCATATTACCAATGCAGACTGGACTTTTCCCGATCCAACACCCATTGCCGAAAGCAGCTAACGAAAGCTATATTTTGTTTTCCAGCAAATGGACGACCCGCCATCGCTGCCCGTGGGCACGGAGGTGAGCGCCAAGTACAAGGGCGCCTTCTGCGAGGCGAAGGTCAGCAAGGTGGTGCGCAACATCAAGGTGAAGGTGGCCTACAAGCAAGGACTGGGCTCTGGCATCGTCTCCGATGACGCCATCAAGGCGCCGACGGGCCAACTGCGCGTGGGTGCCGTCGTGGAGGTGCGCCATCCGGATCGCAAGGAGATCGTGGAGGCCACCATTACCAAGATTCAGGACTGCTCCCAGTACACGGTGGTCTTCGACGACGGGGACATCACCACACTAAGGCGCACGGCCCTGTGCCTGAAGAGCGGTCGCCATTTCAACGAGAGCGAGACGCTGGACCAGCTGCCACTCACCCATCCGGAGCACTTTGGTAATCCTGTGGTGGGCGGACGCAGGGGACGGCGACGAGGTCACCTCAACGAGGACAGCTCCGACGACGACGACGAGAGCGATGCCAAGGAGGTGGTCAACGAGAAGGAGGAGAACATCGGCAAGGTGGTCTGCGTGGAGACGGAGTCCAAGAAGAAGGACAAGGAGAAGTGGTTTCCCGCCCTCGTAGTGGCGCCCACGGCACAGGTGCGTTGTGTTTAGGGGCCAGCATGAAATTAAGAACTGCTAGTATATGTATATATATGTATATATCTTTCAGGCCACCGTGCGCATTCGTGTGAAGGACGAGTACTTGGTGCGTTCGTTCAAGGACGGCCGCTACTATACGGTGCCCAAAAAGGAGGCCACCGAGTTCACCCGCGAAGTGGCCAGCAAACAAGATGTGCCTGCTGTGCAGGCGGCCCTCGAGTTCCTGGACAGCAGCATCCTGCCGGCCCACTGGGACAGGGATTCGCTCTTCGGCCTGTCGAACATCTCCAGCGACGACGAGGGCGAGATTGACTCGGACTCCTCCGACGACGAGCCGCACGAGGAGAAGGATCGCTTTGTGGCGCAGCTGTACAAGTACATGGACGACCGTGGCACGCCGCTGAACAAGGTGCCCTCCATCCAGAGCCGGGACGTCGATCTCTACCGGCTCTTTCGAGCGGTGCAAAAGCGTGGCGGTTACAATCGCGTCACCTCGCAGAACCAGTGGAAACTGATTGCCATGCGCCTGGGCTTCACGCCCTGCACGGTGAGCGTGATGAATCTGGTGAAGCAGGCATACAAGAAGTTCTTGCAGCCGTACGGCGACTTCCACCGCAAACTGGGCTGCTCCATGCTGATGACCTCGCGCAACTCCAATCGCAGCAAGGGCCGCAGCCTGGTGCGCGCCAACTCGGTGGCCTCGCCCAAGCCCATGGAGACCACGAAGACGGAGAGCATCAGCAAACTGGCCCAGCCCAATCAGACCAATGCGACGGCGGTGGCTTCAACTTCGACCTCTGCCGCAGCAGCAGCAGCAGCGGCTGCAGCGACAACTACTCCGGCCAGAGCGGTGTCCAACGCCTCACAGTCCGCTGCCGAGGAGTCGGGCAACACCAGCGAGTCCAGCGTGGTGGTGGAGCCACCCAAGAAGCAGCGCAAGGGCTCCGCGGCCAGCGGTCAGCAGCAGGGCAAGGTCAAGAGTCTGGTGGAGAAGTACGAGGAGAAGAGCTCCACAACAGCGCAGAGCTCTGCGGCAGCATCAGCAGCTACTGGAGGATCGGCGGCAGCCAGTGCATCAACATCTGCAGGCGCAACAGCAACCAATGCAGTGGCCACACACTCCACGTCGGCCAGCTCGTCGTCAGCAACGTCTGGAGGTTCTGCTGCTGCTGCTGCTGCTGCTGCTGCCCTGGCAACTGCTGCAAGCAACAAGGATGCCGAATCGGATCTACCTTTGGCCAAGATCAAGGCAGCGGCTGCGGCGGCCGCTTCCACCAGGCAGCACAGCATGGAGAAGGAGAGCAACGTCAGTTCCGGCAGCAGTGCCTCCGCCTCCGCCTCCAGCAAGGCCAACTCCACGGAGATGCAGCGCAGTCGCGATGCCTCGCCCTCGGGTAAGTCGCAACAAAGTGAATGTTTTAGACTTAGGCTAGATAGGTTGTCTTTTCTTTATTTGTTTGATCTTCGGGGCTCCTCGTTGAGCCTAAACAATCTTCACTTTGACTTTGTGATAGGCATTGGCCAAGACACCGCGCAGATTCCATATGTGCTCGAACTTCTCCGGCTGCACATTGTACGCCGAGTCGACGGCCTTGGCCCAGATCTCCACATCTCCGGCGCGCCTCTGGGCCTGCGAAACGGGCAGGCGGGCTGTCCACAGCGACCAGCCGTAGTGCCTGCCATCCGGACTGTCCTCCTGCTCCAGCTCGGCCACGTGCCAGCTCAGTCCCTCGTCGTTGGTTAGGTCCACGCGCACTATCTTCCGACCGCCGCCGCTCCACGCGTATCCCCGCACCGTGATGTGTCCCTCGCCCTTGGCCTCGTCCTCCTCCACCTTCACCCGCGATCCCGGCTGTGGCGTGCAGATGGCCGAGGTGACCGGCATGGCCTGGATGGCCTCCGACTTGCCAAAGTCCACCGTGTCCCAGTCCGTGCTGGGACTGAAGCCCTTGTAGTCGTTCTGCTGCCAGTGCGAGTCCGATTCCCGGTCCGCCACCACGATCCTCGTCAGCCACTTGACATTGCGGGCGCCCACGGTGCCGGGCACAATCACCCGAATGGGATAGCCGTGGTCCCGACTCAGCGGCTCGTCGTTCATCTCGTAGGCCAGGATCACGTCGCCGCGTGGATCCAGTGCCTTGGCCAGCGGTATGGATGCCCCGTACGGATGCGACGTGGGATCCAGATCGGCGCCCTCGAAGATCACATGCTTGGCCTCGTCCGGCTGGACACCCTGCTGCCGCAGAAGATCGCAGAGTCGGGCGCCCGACCACTTGGCATTGCCCACGGCTCCAGCGCCCCAAGAAAGTCCTAAAATCAAGAGTTATTATAGATTAGTGTTGGGTAAACTCGCTCACTTTGGTGAACAAGTTCAGTTGCTCACTTTTTGTTGAGTGAAAAAAGTCATTCACTTGTTCACTCACTTTGTTCACTCACTTGTTCAGTTGTTCAGTTTCTCAATTCAGTTGCTCACTTATTCATTTGCTTACTTGTTCAGTTGCTCACTTGTTTAGTTGTTCGGTTAATCAATTTCAAATGGAGTATTATTTGAGATCATATACATATTTATTTATGTAATATAAGGAAAGAACTATTCAGCAAATAAAACAATTGAACGAAGAAAGATCTTTAAGCAACTGTTTAACTGAACAAGTGAGCAAAAAAGATCAGTTATTGTGAACATCTTCAGTTTACTCACTTAAGTGAACAACTCATTCATTCATGAGCATCCCAAATCATTCATTGAGAGATCACAAGCAAAAACTCACCCTTTACGGCCTTGACTTTGGTCATCTCGGAGCGACGATTGCCACCGCACATGATGGCCGCCGTCACCGAGTGCTTGGGCAGGGCCTTGATCCTCTCCAGACTTAGAGTCTGCTCCTTTCCGCCACCCTCGATCTCCAGTTCGTAGTCCTCGGTCGAAATCACCGGCACCGGCAGGTGGTTGCGCACATAGAACAGCTCGTTGGGCGTGTAGAAGTGCTCGGCGAGGAGGCCAATTGGTGGCTCCGCGTTGAAGGGCCTCTTGGAGGCGGGCTTGAGCAGGGCATGGCGTGGCGGCTCCTGGGCCCATGGTGAGCCCAGCTCATCGTCCACACTGGCCACCAGTGGACCCTCCAGATTGCCAATGCGAAAGCCCTCGAGAAGTTCGAGCACCTCCAGCGTGTTGTGCTGCTGGTAGATGGCCCAAAACGGATCGATGGCACTGCCGGCGGCCATGAGGATCTTGTCGCCACCCGGATGATTGTCGGCAAAGTCCGTAACATCGTAGACGCCCAGGCCGTAGGTCACCCAAATGCCATTCTCCCGGCAATTGTGCTGCTCCACTTGGTCAACCTTGTAGGTGGGCAGTTCCGGGCGGAGAGTGACATGCCAGAGTCGAGCCACTGCCTCCTGTTGCTCCTCCTTCTGCTCCCCTTTCTGCTCCTGGAGCAGCACTTGGGTGATGTTGCTCCGATGGCTCAGCCAGTGGTAGCCCAAAGTCAGACCACCTGCCCAAAAGGCGGCATACAGCATTTGCTCGGTTCTGCTGCCCATATGGGTCCACTTTTGTCGCTGCTGCTCCTCCTTTTCCTTCTCCCTTTCCCCTTCCCCATTGCTCCGCCGCGCATTGATGGTTGTGAGCAGACGATGCCTCTGGTGGAGCAATCCCGCCCAGCTGCGCCTCAGCAAGCGCATGATTATGTAACCGAGAACTCCGGCAAAGCACTCGTTTCGAAATAGATCCAAATCCAATCCAATCCAATCTCAAGCTTCTTAGCTGTGCTCTCTGCTTCTTGCTGCTCCGGCGAATCTGATTTTCGGTTGATTTATGTGGCCCCCTTAGTGATGTTGATGTGTCTTGTATTTGTCCAGTGGCGACATTGGCCCCGGCACCCTCTGCCCCCCAAATCGGCGTTCGTTTAATTGATAAGCAATCTTAGAAAGCGCTAATTCGACTGTTTACCACCCGCTTGTTGACAACCGAACAGAACAGAACAGAGCATAGCCCCCATACGATATTTGGGGCATTTGGCAACCCTGCTATTTGTTGTTTTTAATACCCTTCCAGAGCCCACATTCATTTTGTTCCAAAGTCTGTTACTCTCAAGTAATTCCAATACTATCTTCTAAATTATGTCACAGAAATTTGTTTGACAACAGAACAGAACATATCGTTCATACGATATTTGGTGCTAAGGTTGTTTTTAATATCCTTTTAAAGTTATAGTACATATTGTTCAAAAGCGTGTTACTCTAAAGTAATTAATAATTCATAAATCTCTTCTAACTAAAGTCATCGAAGTGTTTTTGAAAGAGTTAAGACTTTTGATATGTTGGTATTAAAAAATATAGTTCTTTTAAAAAATGTTGTACTGTTATAACTGCAAGGGTATATCAAATTCGACTTTCTTTCGGTTTTCTTTCCGTTTAGCATGCACGAAGTAGAGAAAGTACTCACACGACGGCAAGCACAACCGCGAGTATCGATACAAGTATCGATACCTCAACAAAAACAGTCGGCCAAGAGTAACTAACTAAATATGCAAGTTAATAAAGGAACTAAGCTCGTTAAACTACTCAATTCTGTAGATAAAAAGCTCTGACAAAAGCACTTGTTGCTTTTTTTTTATTTTTTTTTTGTGTGAAATACAAAGTATATATTTGATAAGGGAAGACATTATCTTTCTTTCTCACTCTAATTCGAGGTATTATGTTGGAATGATATATGTACATAGATAAAGCAAATAAGCTACCTCCTGCTTATTATATAGATAGGTTATATAGATACTTTATTCATCTTATAACCACCTGTTTATTATGAACTTTTGTTTTAGTCTCTTTATTGGGGTAAATTTTTATTAATTAACATGTCTTCTCTTTCTAATTGGATGAGCTTTTCAAAATGCCCTATTGTAGTATATGCAGATAATGCTTTTATGTTTTTCAGTTATTCATTCTCGTAAATTTCATGTTTACCTTCTCTTTCGATCCGAGATATCTCTGAAATATTTATAAATAAAATGCAAAAGTGCGCAAAAGCATGTGTAAATAAATATTAATTGTTTTGAGTGTTTGTTTGTCTGCTTTTGAGATATTTGAATTTTTTTTTGAGTTACCGTTCTGTTTCTCAATCAAAACATTAAATTGGTGAACACAGAAATACAAAAGAAGATCAAAATCCTTATATATAAAGCCTCATAAAATTGAAATATCAAAATATTCAAAATTTTAAGTGCATACCACCAGAGAAATCATTCCTCTAAAAGTATAACTCTTTAAAATCTAATATTAATCTACATTCTGCAAATCGGGATCACCAAAACAGAGTATCACATTTAAAACAAAAATTTTAATGCAGACTACCAGAGAGACACAAACTTATACCTTTTAAAATTGGATTACAAAATTGGCCGCTTTGATCAGGGTCTTTCTGCCAATTGGGGTCACCAAATGTACTATCCTTAGCGCCTTTCAACTTGAATATAACTAAATGGGAAACAAAAGTGCATCCCATCAGATAAATCATTCACAATCTAATTTACATAAGTGTACCTCTTAACAATTGGATTTCAATTTAGTTCGTTTTGGGTCAGGGTCTTTCGGCAAATCGGGGTCACCTAATGTACTATCCTTAATAGAGTGCAATTTTAAATAAGAAACATCTTTATTAAAAACCTTCGCCCAGAATTTGTGTAAGCAACTCCCTCTGAACATTATGACTTCTTTATCGTTTTAGTTGCGGTACCGCCTCCAAGCGCCGCCAGCACATCCTCTCCAGCGGTCGCCACCCAACCGGTGTCCACCAAGAAGGAGAAGCACCAACGCAGCAAGCAGGCGGACAAGGATAAGGACAAGGATAAGGACAAGGATAAAGATAAGGATAAGGACAAAGATAAGGAGAAGGACAAGGATAAGGATAAGGAGAAGGACAAGGATAAGGAGAAGGAGGAGAAGCAAGCGGGCAGCGGGAAGCGCAAGAAGGAGAAGATTAGCGTGGAGAAGATCGACACGGGTGACTTTGTGGTGGGGATCGGGGACAAACTGAAGGTGAACTACCACGAGAAGAAGTCGCCCAGCTCGCATGGCAGCACGTACGAGGCCAAGGTCATCGAGATCAGTGTGCAGCGGGGCGTGCCCATGTACCTGGTGCACTACACGGGCTGGAACAACCGCTACGATGAGTGGGTGCCGCGCGAGCGCATTGCCGAGAACCTGACCAAGGGCTCCAAGCAGAAGACGCGCACCATAAGCACCAGCAGTGCGAACAGTGGCAGTGGCGGCGGCGGCGGAGGCGGTGGCGGTGGTGGTGGCTCCCTTTCGGGACAGGGCTCACTGCCGCCAGGAGTGGCCCAAGGTGGCTCCAAAATACCACCGCCCTCGGCAGGTAATAACTCTGGAACCGGAGAACCCTCGCGAGGATCGCTGGGTGGCGCCAGCTCCACGCCCTCGCTGCTGTCCAGTGTGGTGAAGACGCCCTCGACGGGAGCCGGCGCAGTAGGAGCAGGAGGAGGGGCCAAGCGGGGACGCGGACGCAGCGACTCCATGCCGCCACGCTCCACCACACCCTCGTCGTCGTCATCGGTGGTGGTGGTGCCGACGACGGCGGCGGCGACCCACTCCGGTCGCACCAAATCCCCAGCTGCCTCGCAGTCGCAACTCCAGCAGCAGCAACAGATGAAGAAGCGCCCCACGCGCATTGCTCCGGGAGCCACCACGCCGCGTCGCGTGTCCGATGCCTCGATGGCCTCCGCATCGGACTCGGACTCCGATGAGCCAGTGCGTCGGCCCAAGCGTCAGAGCAGTGCCAAGGAGAAGGCGCCGACGGGCAAGGCGCAGCCGGGTAAGGGACGCGTCTCAAGCCGGGCCTCCTCCACGGCCCCGGCCATGCCCCATGCCCATGCCAGCGATGAGTCCGAGGAGGAGGAGGACGACGATGAGCTAGCTGCTCCGGCCAAGCCACAGCAGGCCTCCTCGGTGCGCGGCTCCCGCGCCGGTGGCAATCGCGCCATGAGCAGTGGTGCCGCCTCCGCCAAGGGACGCGACTACGATCTCAGCGAGATTCGCTCGGAGCTGAAGGGATTCCAGCCGAAGTTGCTCACCCCAACGAATGCTGGCGAGGAGCGCAAGGAGTCGGCGGCCAAGAAGGAGTCGTCGACCGTCGAGCTGCCGGACATCAAGAAGGAGCCCAAGCTAGAGTCCTCGGCCAAGAGCAGCTCCACGGAGCTGTCCTCGGAAACGGAGTCGTACGTGGACGAGGACTCGCAGTCCTCCGACTACCGCAAGCAGCCAAAAGCGTTAGCAGGCGCTGGCGGCAAGAAGGAGCACACACAGTCCAAGCTGCAGCACGAACCAGTGTCCAAGAGGGAGCTCTCGCTCAAAGAGGAGCCACTGAAGGTCGAGCCCAAGGCAGAGCCCAAGGAGGAGGAGTGCTCCAAGAGCAGCAAGCCCTTCCTGTCGGGGGCGGACATCAAACCCACCGCCGCCGCTCTGATAGCTCCGGCTAGATTTGGCAGCACCTCAGCCAGCTCATCAGCAGGTGGCTCATCAGCAGGTGGCTCTTCCACGGCCAAGTACACGTCGGTGATTGTGGAGAAGCCCCTGACCATTGGCGGCAAGAAGTCGACAGCGTCTGTGGCGGACCAGCATGTGCCCAAAAAGGGGGAGCTAATCAAGAAGCAAGCTGGCGGAGTAGGAGCAGCAACAGCTGGCTCTGCGTCGGAGTCCAAGAAGTTTGCCGAGCCGGTGGCCAGCCTGAAGGTGGAGCTGCCGGCAGCCTGCTCGCCCTCGTCCTCCTCCTCGTCCTCCAGTTCCTTCTGCTCCAGTGCATCGGCGGCCAGTTCCAGTTCGGCCACCCGATCGCTGCCCGACATGAGTAAGCTGGAGATCAGCAGTGGCACTGTGACAGCTCCACAGACGCCCTCCCAGCCAGCCGGCAATGCCACGCCCATGAGCCTGGCCAAGGAGTCCAAGTACAGCAGCAGCAGCAGCAGCAGTGGCGGAGGTGGAGCAGGAGGAACACCGTCGAGCTCAGGATTGAGCATGCGCAAACTGCTCTCCTCGGATGTCTACGAGTTCAAGGACACGGAGCCCTTCGAGTTCGAGAAACGCATCTCGCCAATGGCCTCGACTGTGACCGGAGCACCAGTGAGTGCAGCAGCAGGAGCAACTGCCTCCGTAATCACCACAGCAGTGATGGGCACACCGGGTGGCACAGCGGCATCCCCTCCGACGGCAGCTGCTGCGGCAACGGTGGTCAGCTCGGCGGCCAGGAAGCTGGCCCTCAAGGCCAGTGCCATGCAGCAGAGTCTGGAGCAGCACCAGCTGCCTCCGGCTGGGCATGATCGTGGCTACGGTGGTGCCATGGGCACCATGAGCATGGCCACCTCGCTTGCAGCGTCCAAGCCGAAGAAGCGGGGATCTCCCTTGAAGGAGCCAGCCTTGGGCCTGGACAAGCCCAAGATCTACAAGCTGGACAAGGAGCAAGTGCAGCAGCAGCAGCAGCAGCAGTCGTCGGTGGTGGTGGCGGTGGAGCAGAAGGTTCAGCCACTTACGCCGCCCACTTTGAAGGTGCTACAGCCGGCCGGACAAGTGACTCCCTCGTCCTCAGCCAATCCAGTGAAGATGCACACGTCGACGACGACGACGATGACGACGCCACCAGGAGGAGCTGTAACTCTAGCCGCGGGCGGATCCACCCCGACCACAGTCAGTGGACACTCCACTCCTGGCCAACTGGCTCCGCATCATGCCACGCCCTTCGATGCGCTGCGCAAGTCGCCCAGTTTCAATCTCAACATCACCGCCCTGAACGAGGAGCTGGCCCAGACGGTGCAGGAAACCACACGGGCGCTGACGGATGCACTGCAGCCGCCCACAACGCCTGGGCCAGCGGCACCATCGATTGCCGCTCCCGCCACACCAGTGATTGCCCCGCCAGGTCCCAACTGTCCCAGTACCCCACCCAATCCCGTCGTGCTGGCCTCACCCAAACTGAGCACTCCACCCAGCCATGGCAGCCATGGCAATCCCAATCCCGGCAAGCAGAAGCCGCCGCCTGCCCCCCACATTGTGGGCAGCCCCTTCATCGAGACGCGCAACGTGTTCGAGCTGAGCACCTCCAACGAGGGCAGTGGCTACAGCTCCGGTGAGTCCAAGGACAACAAGCTGGAGAAACTGGAGAACGTGAAGATCCTGCTGGCCGGGGCGGCGGGTCCCTTCGACCTGGACGCCGGCAGCTACGAGCAGAAGACCAGCTCCATAGCAGACAAGGTGCTGAAGGCCATCAGCCAGAAGAAGGAGGAGGTGGAGCAGAGCAAGGGCAAGCCACCACCACCGCCGCCAGCGGAAGTGGCCCTTGAGGAGCAGCCTGTGACCACCAGCACGCCGCCAGTGAAGCTGGATCTAAGCAGCAGTGCCATCAAGCTGGACACCCTGAAGCTACTCACTGAGCCACTCAAGATCCAGACGGGTCCGCCGCTGCTGGGTGAGCTGTATAGACCCGGTCCGGCCACCAGCAGTCCGGAGACCAAGTCCATACTGGACTCCTCGCTGCCGGCCAAGAACAGCGAGCTGAGCGAGACCATCCAGAAGCTGGAGTGCGCCATCCAGCAGCGCAAGACGCCGGTGGGCGGAGCCCTCTCGCTGGCCAGCTCCACGGCGGGCACTCCGCCGGCCGCCCATACGCCCAACTCGACGGCCACCGCCGGCGGTGCTGGCTTCTCGGACGAGTCCATGGACAGCACCGACTCCGAGCAGCGGCTGGTCATCGAGGATGTGATTGCCGAGGAGCACACCACCACCACGACGACGGGGGAGCAGAAGAGTCCGGGTTCCGGCCAGGAGGAGGCTCCGATCGGAAGCGGAGCCATCACCTCCAGCCTAATCAGCCAGGTGGTCATGGCCGATGCGGAGGGCACAACCACCACCACCACTAGCAGTGGCACGCCCACGCCTCCGGTCTCCGCCCCCGTTAAATTGGAACCGGTTGGAAGGGTGGCCAATGCGTTGCCCGGCATCCAAGCACCCATTCCGTTGAAGCCCTCGGAGGGCAGCTCCTTTGCTGGGAAACTCACGGTGGTGAATCAGCCGACACCACCGCCGCCGCTGGCCAAGCTGCAGCAGCCGGAGGAGCTGGTGGCTCCCACGTCGAAGGCGGGCATTAGCTCCTTTGGCATACCCATTGTGCTGCCCGAGATTCCCGCCTCCGTGGTGGTGGCCACACCGGCCCTCTTGGTGGCCTCCTCCTCGGTGATGCGTCAATGTCCCGGCTCCACCACGCCCAGCTCCCCGGCGCCCGTCCTGATCTCGCCCAAGGCGGCCTTCCTGGCCGCACCCAAAGTGGCTGCCGCCGAAGTGGGCGGTCTGCTGCTAAAGGCCTACACCGGAACACCGCCCACTGTCATCTCGAACTTCAACCAACAGCAGCAACAGCAGCAGCAGCCGACGACGGCGACGACAACGACGACGACGTCGTCGACTAGTGTGCTCCAAGTGGCCGCCGAGATGCCCGCCAGCTATATAATAGATGCCGAGATCGACGAAGCCCCCAGCAGCAGCAGCAGCAGTGCGCCCATGGTGGCGCGACCCTTTGTGATGCACGCCGTGGCCAAGGAGCTGTACAATGTGGTGGCCCCAGCGGCCAGTTCACCACTGATCAGCGATCCGCACAACGAGTCCATCAATCTGCTGTGCGAGGAGACCATACCGGGCAGTCCGGCGCCCAACTACTGTGGCTCCGACCAGCTGCCGCCAGGCACAGCTCTGGCCATCATGGGCATAACACCTCTGCCCCCAGACACACCGCCGCCCGGCGCCATTGCCACCATCCAGCAGCAGCATCAGCAGCAGTCGGGAGCGGGATCGGGAGCAGTGGCCAAACCGGGTGAGGTGAACCCCTTGGCGGCCAACAGTTCGCCGGATTCGGCCAGCCAAGATGAGAGTGGCGGCGAGGAGCACCAGAAGAAGAGTGCCGAGCACGAGCATGAGCATGAGCACGAGCACGAGGATTCGAGTGGACTGGGAGCGCTGAACAAGCGCAAGCGCACCCGGAAACCGCTGCCGATGAGCGCCCAGGCGGCGGCAGCCGTGACCGCCCAGCTCCAGTCGCTGGGCAAGCGAAGGCGCCAGGTGTCCGGGATGCGCGGCCAGAAGACCACGGCCACCACAGGTACGACTTGTCCGCCTCGAAACACATTATTTAGTATCCTAATTCATATGGTTTATTGAAAGATCTCGAGATTATGATTATTACTTTATATATTTATTGATTATTATTTATGTATTTATTGATTATTATTTATATAATTATTGATTATTATTTATATAATTATTCATTATTATTTAAATAATTATAGATTATTACTTAAATAATTATTCATTATTATTTATATAATTATTGATTATTATTTAAATAATTATTGATTATTATTTATATAATTATTGATTATTATTTAAATAATTATAGATTATTACTTAAATAATTATTCATTATTATTTAAATAATTATTCATTATTATTTATATAATTATTGATAATTATTATATAAAAACAAAAGTAAATTTAAAACAAATGTAGGAAATTGGTAAATTGTTCAAAGAGGGTCAAAATGGAGTTCCTTTTTTTTGTGTGGCGCCATTATGTAATTGATAACTAATGTCATCTTAACTTAACCTTCCAGCTGGCTCCGATACGGACGAGAACTCGGATAACCTAGCGCCGTCGGCGGGACAACAACAGCAGCAGCAGCAGCAACAACAGCAGCAGCAGCAGCGACAGAGTGCCCGCCAGCAACTGTTGCCGCAGGGCAACAACCAGCAACAGCAGCAGCAGCAACAGCAACTCCTGCAGCAGGCGGCGCAGCTGCAGCAGGGCATCCCATCGGGCAACCAGTCGGGAGTGCGTCCATGTCCCTACAACTTCCTCGTGGAGCTGGGTAAGTCCAACTCACAGTGCCTGCTAGCCAGTTCCTAACTTATTCGCCCCTCTTTAACACCAGATCCTGCGCTCAGCTCGGACGAGTGCATCACGATCCTGCGCAAACAGATCCAGGATCTGCGCAAGGCCTTCAACACCATTAAGGGCGAACTGGCGGTCATCGACCGCCGGCGCAAGAAGCTGCGTCGCCGGGAGCGCGAGAAGAAGCAGCAGCAGCTGCAGAGCCAGCAGCAGGGCAAGATCTGTGCCTAGCTCGGAGAGAATCCACGAGGGGATCCACGAGGGGATCCGCCGCCTCCATCGAACAGCGACCACAGCAATTGCAAACGACTTCAAGACCCCTAGAAAAAGCGAATGAAGATCGCTGAAAATGAATTGTAATGAGCAGAAAAATTGGAAATCGTTGGAGTTTTTTTTTTCCATTACTAGTTTGTAGTTCGAGTTCTTTAGGTTTAAGCAACAACACCCCGTCTGTATAAATACATTTCATAAGATGTATGAATTCTTAAGTGACAATAAGGCGTTTTATTTAATTGTTGAATAGATTCCTTAAAATTTTATAAGCAATTTCAATTGAAACGCTTTGTTAGAGTTAAACCATAACCACTTATAGGTAAACCAATTGAAAATTTGATATCTAAAAATTAATCTAAACTTTCGAATATAGATTTGAAATCCATAAATTTAAATCTATGAAATCGGATATCTGTATAAAAAGTTATGGCCCCAGAATTAATTCACATCGAAACCCCTCGCTGATCTTTAAACTTAAAAAATTTGTAGTGCTAAGTTTATATTTTAATTCAGCGATCTGTTGGCTTTCACATTGGAGTTCAAAATGCATTCTTAGGAAACGGCATAGCCTCCCTCGAGGAGGATGTGGTGGCCATTCACGAAGCTGGACTTGCTGCTCAGCAGATAGCCGGTGGCGTCCACCACCTCCTGCACCTCGCAGAAGCGGTTCAGCGGAATGTGGGCCAACAGAGGGCCACTCTTGGCGGGATCCGACCAGTTGTCGGCACCCATCTTGGTCAGCACGACGGTGGGATTGACGGAGTTGACGCGGATCTGGCGCGGACCCAGCTCCAGGGCCAGTGACTTGGTCAGCGAGTCGAGGGCCGCCTTGGTGGCACTGTAGGCGGTGTGGCCGCCAAAGGATCGGCTCGAGGCTATCGAGGACACGTTGACGATGGAGGCACCATCCTTGAGGCGGGGCAGCAGGGCCTGGGTCACATTGAAAACTGCCTTTATGTTCACATCGAAGTGGCTGAAAGTAAGTTTATTTTTGTTTAAATGCCAAGGATAAACTTAATCCTACTACAAGATATACAGAAAATGAGTTTAAATTTAATAATGCAATTATCACTCAAATATGTGAGGTAGTAAAAAAAGGTATTTATAGTATATAATAAAAATTCAAATAAGGAGGCTTAAAAACGTTTGTTTGTAGAAAAATAATTATAAAAAGCTTGATAAGATAACTTTTATGGTGGTGTTTTTTTTTAAACAAACTAACTTAAACACATCTTTTTAACAACAAATCAACCAAATATAAAGTGCAATAAGTTTATGTTTGTAGTAAATCTCCTAAAGGTTCGAATTTTTCTTTAAACTGTTTTCATAAATGAGACCAATTTTTTTTCTAAATTGTAAGGAATAATAATATAAGATTTTAGGTGCAATAAGGTAAACCTACAAAATTTAACTTTTTTAGAAAATTGCTATTTTTTTAAATAATTTTCAATAACGAAGACTTTTTTCCTTTTTATACCCTTGCAGAGGGTATTATAATTTCAGTCAGAAGTTTGCAACGCAGTGAAGGAGACATCTCCGACCCTATAAAGTATATATATTCTTGATCAGCATCACTAGGCGAGTCGATCTAGCCATGTCCGTCTGTCCGTCCGTCTGTCCGTCTGTCCGTCTGTCCGTCCGTTTATATGCAAACTAGTCTCTCAGTTTTAAAGCTATCTGCATGAAACTTTCCCAAAAGTTGTCTTTCTATTGCAGGTAGTATATAAGTCGGAACGAGCCGGATCGGACGACTATAGCATATAGCTCCCATAGGAACAATCGGAAAAATAAAGGAAAAAAAATTATAACTTTGCTGTTTTTTAATTTTTTGTTTAGTTCTTCGACATTTAGTAATGGTTAAATATTTCCGATTTACGGTTTAAATTTCATCAAAATCGGACGACTATAGCATATAGCTCCCATAGGAACAATCAGAAAAATAAATGAAAAAAAATTATAACTTTTCTGTTTTTTAATGTTTTGTTTAGTTCTTCGACATTTAGTAATGGTTAAATATTTTCGATTTACGGTTTAAATTTCATCAAAGTCGGACGACTATATCATATAGCTCCCATAGGAACAATCGGAGAAATAAATGAAAAAAAATTATAACTTTTCTGTTTTTTAATTTTTTGTTTAGTTCTTCGACATATGGCAATGTTTAATTATTTCAGAATTATGGTTTAAATTTTATCAAAATCGGACGTCTATATCTTATAGCTCTTATAGCACTAATAAAAATATATAAAATAACTATCTAAAATTGAGCTGCAAATCATCATAGCTTCACTGTTTTTCAGTATATACTAAAGTAAATCATAATTTAAATGTTTTCAAAAGTATTTAATTCATGCAATAGCTGCAAGGGTATATGAACTTCGGCTTGCCGAAGTTTGCTTTCTTTCTTGTTTTTAATTAAGTAAAATAAACACTAGCTTGGGGTTATTTGAAGTTCTGGTGAGAAACCCGGCTTACATATCGAAATCCTGTTCGGAGAGCTCCGCAAATGGCTTGATGATGGCCACGCCGGCATTGTTGACCAGTCCGTCCAGCAGGGGCACCTTCGCGAGGCCCTCGCGCACCGCCTGCCACCCGCTGAGGTCCAGCAGCAGGGGCTGGATGTGCTCCGGATCGAAGGTGACCAGCTCCTGGAGCTGCTCCGGCTTGCGGGCCACCGCGATGACGTTGGCTCCCGCGGAGGCCAACTGCTTGACCAAGGCCTGCCCAATTCCGGCCCCTGCTCCGGTCACCAAGATCACCTTGCCCGCGAGATCTGCCCACATGGTGATCGCTTAATAGTCTATATACTAATGGAGTGGAAAGTTTCGATCCGAGTGTGCACTCGGAGATCGCTGGCAGAACTAAACTGGAAATAGTGTTTTGCATCTTATCAGGGGCATTAATCGCCGGTCAGAGCTTTCTCCGGAGAATCGAAGATCGGGAGCTTTGGCTCTCTTCGCTAGGGCGTTTAAGGTCGTTTCTAAATCGCAGATCTTCCAGTGGAATGTCTGGAAAGGGGGTGGCTGGGGTTTTAGAGGGACCCCAAAGCTGATAAACAATAAATAGAGCCGCCGATAAGCTTAAGATGCCAGATTCCAAGCTGAACCTGTTTCTTAATTAACTGGAGACTTTATTATCAAGTGGGGCCTGAAAAAAACATACATATCTATGAGCTCAAAATTAACACATGTTATAATTAAAATATTGGAAATTTTCCAAAAAGTATATATTATTCTTAAACTGCTTTGACTGTTTTGAATCCAAAATAACATTTTTTTGATGACCCCGATTCATTTACTTTAAGCTTCAAAAAGAGTTTATTTTGCCTACACTTCAGTCTATAGCTGTATTAATTCAAACCAAACCCTTTCCTGAATTTAAAAATTTAAATAAAGAATATCAAATTCCATGATCTATTTTTTTTTATTTAAATAAAAAATTGCTTAACAATTCCCTGGTCTATCTATGTTTGAGCAAAATAAAAGTACTTAAACATGGCTAATAAGTTCTTAGTTAATTAAGTGCGTGGCTTAATTAATCTATTTAATTTTTTTTTTTTTTTTTAATGCCAATGTGAACCTTTTCAAATGAAAGGGGACACGGCTAATTATATCGATCTATCGATTTGCGGAGTCATCGATGCTTGCGCCTTGTGCAACACTGCCACCGCCGCCGACTTTCCAACACCAAAACAAGCAGTCAACAAATTTTAATTTTATCTTAGAAACTAAATGAATTACTGACTTAAAGCGGCGTAAAGAAATGGCACAAACGCAACCCCCAGGTAGGTGCCCAGTTATCCAATTGATACAGATATATTAAAGTGCCTAAAACAACCATTTAGCAGCCAAGCGGGTGAAGCTGGAGAAGAAGCCGGCAAATCTGGTCGAGGATGATGGTAAATATTGGGGTTTTGCTGGGATCTTAAGATTTAATGGATACTAACGTGCCTTACCATCGACAGAGACACCCTCCGTGTTCAATCCCAAGTACAGGGTGTGTCCCTACCTGGACACCATCAACCGCAACCTGCTGGACTTTGATTTCGAGAAGCTGTGCTCCATTTCGCTGACCAGGATCAATGTGTACGCGTGCCTGGTGTGCGGCAAGTACTTTCAGGGGCGTGGCACCAACACCCACGCCTACACGCACTCCGTGGGCGAGGCGCACCACGTGTTCCTCAATCTGCACACGCTGCGCTTCTACTGCCTGCCGGATAACTATGAGATCATCGACTCCTCGCTGGACGACATCAAGTACGTGCTCAATCCGACGTTCACGCGCCAGGAGATCAGCAAGCTGGACCAGCTGCAGCCGAAGCATTCGCGCACCGTGGACGGAGTGCTCTATTTGCCCGGCGTCGTGGGTCTGAACAACATCAAGGCCAACGACTACTGCAATGTGGTGCTGCACGCCCTCTCGCACGTCGGTCCACTGCGGGACTATTTCCTGCGGGAGCAGAGCTATGCGCATGTCAAGCGGCCACCGGGCGACTCCATGTTCACGCTGGTCCAGCGCTTCGGGGAGCTGATGCGCAAGATGTGGAATCCCCGCAATTTCAAGGCCCATGTATCGCCGCACGAAATGCTACAGGCGGTGGTGCTGTGGTCCAGCAAGCGGTTCCAGATCACCGAGCAGGGCGATCCCATCGATTTCCTGTCCTGGTTCCTCAACACGCTGCATCGCGCCTTGAAGGGCAACAAGCAGCCCAACTCGTCCATACTCTACAAGATCTTTCTGGGCGAGATGCAGATCTATACGCGCAAAATACCACCCGTGGAGCTGGACGACACGGCCAAGGCGCAGCTGCTGGCCACCGACGAGTACAAAGACCAGGTGGAGCACACCAATTTCATCTACCTCACCTGCGATCTGCCGCCGCCGCCGCTGTTCACCGACGAGTTTCGCGAGAACATCATTCCGCAGGTGAATCTCTACCAGCTGCTGGGCAAGTTCAATGGCAGCGCGGAGAAGGAGTACAAGACCTACAAGGACAACTTCATGAAGCGCTTCGAGATCACCCGCCTGCCGCAGTTCATCATTCTGTACATCAAGCGGTTCACCAAGAACACCTTCTTCCTGGAGAAGAATCCCACCATCGTGAACTTCCCCATCAAGTGAGTTTTTATTGGTCTTTGGAATGCTACAATGGTTATGGATGTTTGGCCTTTCAGGAACGTGGACTTTGGCGACATTCTGGGCATGCGGCAGCGCGATAAGGATGTCAAGGACACCAAGTACAATCTGGTGGCCAACATTGTGCACGATGGTGATCCCAAGAAGGGCACCTATCGCGCCCACATCCTGCACAAGGCCAACGGCCAGTGGTACGAGATGCAGGACCTGCATGTCACCGAGATCCTGCCCCAGATGATCACCCTCACCGAGTCCTACATCCAGATCTACGAACGCTGTGCGGACTCCTCGTGATCCCCCTGACTTTTAGTAACTGCTAGCTGTATTTCGATAAACAAACTCCCTGATCCAAAACCAATATATGCCGTAGTCGAGCGTAGCGACTATGAGAGGCCCTCAAATAGGACAACCACTCAACCACTCTCTGTGTGTTTCAGTAATCAGCTTTAATTAAGGGAATTACCTTTGGTTTTGGTTTATATTTAAGTTGCAAGTGCCCAGCATCAGCTGTGCCCCAAAACAGCCCGAGATGCGCATGCGTTGTGCCCACTCCGCGACCAAGTGGGCGGATTGGGGCCACGACCATCAAAAAAAAAATCGATGCTGTCGCCAGTCGTTGGGCGACACAGTGGTTGAAAGGCAGGAAGCATGTCGGAGCAGCCGGACAACAACACCTACGAGCAGGAGTGCCAGCGGGCGGAGCTGCTTGGCCTCCAGCCGCCGGATCCCCAAGAGTTCGAGCGGAAGCGGCAGGCGAGATTGGAGCACGAGATGGCCGAACAGGAGGCCGCCGAGGCGGTGGTATGTAGCTCCCTTTTGGCCCGGGCAAAAACGCCACTGTAAATCGCCACTCTTCAGCTGCTGGAGCAACAAGACGAGAGCCTGGGCCATGTGGGCGGCAAGCTGGGCGAGCTCAACAGCATCCTGTCCAGCACGCAGCAGAAGCTGAATCGCTTCAAGCAGACGGCCTGTGGCAGTCTGACCAACATATTTGCTCGTGGCAGTTCGGGTTCGGTGGATCTGTCGGCTGGCGTGGGCGTGGGCGGATCGGGGGCACCGATAATGGGCGGCCAGGAGGAGCGCAGTCCGCCGGTCCAGGATCAGCCGATGGCCAAGCCACCGCCAACGGCCGAGGAGGTGAGGGCCGCCAAGGCGGCCAAGCAGAAGCGCATGGACTCGCAGCTGGACAAGTTGGATGCGCTGATCAACCAGGCGGACAATGCCCAGATCTCCATGAGCGAGCAGACCCAGCAGATGCGCCGCCTGGCCAAGTGAAGTGCGCGGATTGAAGGTGATTCCCGATTTATCCCAACAATAACAAATCGTTTCCTCTCTGAAGTGACTGCACGGAATCCAACTTTATTTACCCTCAACTTCGCTCCTCAGGTGCAGGTGCGTCTGCGTCGCCTGATCCTGGCCAGACTTGTGCCCTCCTCTTTGTTTGGAACGAATGAACACACGAGTTTCGCTTAAAACTAAACACAAGTTGAGATTACCCAAAGCGTCTTCAATCACAATTGTCGAGTGTGCGCAGACAGTGTGCGCCATGACTGCCACATCATCATCCAGTCCTGGCGCGCACTGTCCTCCCCCACCTCCATCCCGTTGACTTTATACATACATATATAAATAGGTGTCTGCATACATTACATTTACATTGGAGTTTTCAAAAATATAGAGATAGATTTTATCGGCTATTCGTTGTCATAGTTAGTCAATAACTGAATTACAAATGCTGACAATAATAGTTCGGTTGAAATATTTGAGTAGTTGAAACATCATTCTCATAAAATATATAAAGTATTTGAAATCATTTTGTTTTCTTTTTACGTTATGTAAATTATGTACTTGTATATCTTTTTATGTTTTTGTTTTTTTTTTTTTTGGTAAGTCACATTTTGGAAAACTTTTCTATTCAGTTCTTTGGAGATGTAATAAACCAAAATTGAATATTTTGAATATTTCAATGTCACTTTGAATTATTTCATCTCCTGTCTCTTCTTTTCCTTGACAAGTTAAAACTAAAGAGAACATGAAAGTGTAAAGAAAAGCAATAAGAAACTTTTTTGATTAATGTGCACTGTGTTTCGCAACTGTAAGGCCTTGGCCTTTCACTTTTTTCAGCCTTGGCCTTACAGTCACGGGACCCACTGTCTTTGTGCTAGCATAAGGAAGCATTGTCCACCACTTTCACATCGTTTATCCAGCTAATACTTGTTGCAAAAACATAATGTTTGTTAAACTATATCAAAATATATACGACACGATGGTCAAGTAATAAACTTACATTTTTTCTCCACAAAACAGAAGAGGGAGTATTCAATTGGATGGAAATTAAGTTGACTTAAAGCAAGGATAATTCTTTTGCACCTAAGTTACCTACAACAAAGATGAAATCGAAACTGAATTCTACAAATTAGCATAGATTATCAGCTACAAATGAAGCTCCTAATAGGAAAGGATCTTGGATTACCCAAGTGAACATTGATTCTATCAGCTATGTACAACCCACAACGAAAGCAAAGGATTAGGGATTCAGCCTTAGCAGCTTTAGGCTAGGACTACAAACGATTCCAGCTACTTATCCTCCGAGGAGACGGACGAAATGGAGGTGGACATGTTGGGGCAGGAACGCGGCGGCGTGGGGCAGCGTTTGGGGAGCGTCCGCTTGCCGAACGGGAGGACCGCCGACGCCCCCGACGCCGCTGCCGCTTTGGAGTCCGTCTCCGAATCCGAGTGCTCGTCATCGCTCTCGCTGGCATGTCCCGCATCCGTTTCGTACTGATCCTGCTCCTTCTGCTTCTGCTTGTCGTCGCCCGCCAACTGGCTCAGCTGCTCCACGTAGACATCCAAGGTGACGGACACGCCCTCGGGCTGCTCCTCGTCCTCGTAGAAGAAGTACGACAGCTGCAGCTGCTCCTCCGCGCAGTTGACGCGCCAGGCGTGCGGAATCAACTGGCCATTGAGCTCGAGCCGCTGCTGCAGTGCGAGGAACATGTCCGGTGAGATCTCCATTTGGGGCAGCGTCTGCTGGGCCTGCCACTTCTCCAACAGCAACGGCGGCGGATCGGCGCCAAAGATGCCGTAGTACAGCTTGCAGGTGCGGTAGCAGCGCAACCGATTCGAATCCGGGCGGATGCGACGCAGCACCCGCAGCTGCGACTCCACCACGTGCAGGAACATGTACTGGTGCCGCCGGCTGGGCAGCGAGGTGACCAGCAGCGCCCGACTGGTGCTCAAGCAGAGCTGCGGCAGCGGCTGCGGCCACAGCGAGTGGAGCAGCCGCTTGACCAGCTGCGTCAGCGTGGAGCTCTGGAAGAAGTGACGCTCGGGGGCGGCTTGCGGCGCTCCAGCGGGTAGCCAGCGCACTGCATCCGCCCAGAGGCGAGCGGCGGCGCCGTTGAACATGGTCTGGCCCAGGAAACGCATGCAGCGCTGGCAGTACAGATGATCCTCGCGAGTCAGGATGTGCGGATTGCCTGCGTTCAAGTTGATGACCACATAGTTCAGGCCGTAGAAGAGGTCTGCCTCGCCGGGCACCAGGCTGGGCGTCTGGGTCGTCTTGCATCCCTGTCCCTGGTGGCTGTGGCAGAAGAACTCGCTGGGATCCACCACGCAGCTGGGAAACTCCCTCAGCCGGCGATAGGCTTTGGGCTCCACCAGTTCCGCCCGACAGTCGCGGCAGTTGATGGAGATGGCCTCGTCGTCGCGGCAGGAGAGGAGCAGCGGCGCCAGGGGCACCTCCACCGAGCCACCATCCACGGCGGCCAAATCGATTTGGTTGTAGTTGAAGCGAAAGCTTATGTGGCTACCGCTGACCAGGAATGTGGACAGGCAGCCGATGTCCATGCCGAAGTGGTCATGCCGGATGAGCAGCAGATCGTCGGAGTCCTCGCTGTCGCTGTCCGAACTGGAATCCTCCGTATTCTCCTGATTCTCCGGCCTCTGCGGCCTCTCGCTAATGTAAACATTGTGGTCCCGGATGACAAGGCGCGTTTCGTGGCTCTGCGAGATGTGGTGGTCGAATCGCAGGAAGGCGACGCCGCTGCGCAGGTTGGGACGCAGCTCGATGCACAGCCCGGTGATGGGCATCTTGTTCTGGCCCGAGAAACGCTTTGCAAGATCGGGAAGCCACGAAATAGAGCTGGAAATGTTTGGGATCCAGAGTATTTTAGTATAAAATGTATCGGTATTTTAGTATATAAAGTTAGCCAGTACACCATCCATAGTTGGTTCTTATCAATAGTTAGCGGAGACACCCCCTGCATATTTTACAGAGCTAGAGATGGAATAATATCGATGACTTCCTCCTGTTGTTTTGAAAACATCGATCAGCACTGTTAACTTTTCATGTCCTTGCACTATTATTATCCATTATCAGTGTTGCTCGTTTCCCTTTTTTCCCGTCAGATCTGGCTTTTTCACTGCCATCTGCTAAAAAGATACGAAAACAGCGGGCGGCGGAAATTTTTCTTTTGTAGTTAAGCTTTGAAATTTCTTGTCTTTGTTTTTTCGATACTTTCAAACGACTTTTTTATGAAAATAAATCTTTCATTAATTTTATATATTCATGAATTGGCAACAACATTTTGAATTTTATATGTTCTTTCTTAAAAATAGGAGCTTGTCCACAACAGTTGAACACGGTCCTTGGCTAGTCCGACTGAAAACCTTTTCCTCCCGCAATAATTTCTTTGAAAGCATTTTATTATCATTTTCTTGCTTCTGGGAACAGTTCTTTACAATAGAAATAATCACAGAGCTGACGGAGGGTCTTAAGAATTAAATTTATTAAATTCCATTTTCAATCTAACTATCCTAGTGCGACAAGGTTAAGCTTATATTTATTGCACTAATCGAAATGTGTTGAAAATATTAAAATTTTGTTTGATGACTTAAGAAATATATTATTCTAACAAAACTTATATTATATTATATATATTTATTATTTATTGTTAATATTAATGTGTTGCAATAATCTTTCTGATATAACTAATTTTAATTTAGGTAATTTGTTAAATTTAATAATTTTGTTTTAGATACTTTTGACTTTAAATATATTTGGTTATATTTTAAATATTCCTTAATGTTACATTTTTACTGAGTTGCGCACCTAAAAGTTTTTAAGTTATGTGGTAGGCTGTTCCAGAGGCATATAGGATTTATAAAAAATTGTCTATAATTGAATTGTCTAGAATTTAAAAACAATTGTTACATTCCTTACATGAGCGCTGTTAAATAACGAGTGCATTTCAGCAGATGATAAGAATTTTAACAGAAAGTGTGCAAGATTTGGAGTGAGTAGTTAACAGTGGCTAGAAAATATCGCTAGAGGTGGATATATATCAATAGTCCCTGTCAAACATCGGTAGACCGATATTTCGAATTTGCGTGTGTGGGCTTGTGTTTTGCAGTGAAAGTTAGCGAAACGTCGAACTAACAGCGGAGACGGGTAAACACCGATAGCCCCCGTCAAACATCGATAGCACCGATACTTCAAAAACATCGATGACACCAATGTAGGCATCGATGTGCCCCCACCTCTACAAGAGTCGACGATGGGTAAAAACAAAAAAACAAAGCCCGTGTAAAAGTGTCCGAAAACCGTGCGTAGCGTCAAACAAATCGTAACTCGGGCAGCAAACTCAAGCGCCGCACTTTTAGGGGCCGCGTGTGCAGTGGCGATTCAAATGTCGGTAATCGCGAAATCCGCAAAAAAAGGATTTTTTGAAAAACGTTCGCATTAAACGCATTTCGTTTCGTTCACACACACCAACAAACACACACTCGGTCGCAGCAGACAAACACAACGCGCAGCGCATATACACACAAAGAAAAGAAGGCAGTGAAAATCGACAAGCGCACGCATGCACACACACAGACACACACGCAGGCGAAAAAGTGTTGATATATATCCAATATATTGATGTTGTGTGCACCGTTGTTGTTGCTGCTACGGTTGTGTGAGTGAGAGAGGGGTAGAGCAAGTGAGAGAGCGCGCAGGATAAAGCGAAGATGAGCCACAAAGCAAAGGAGTGAAAAAATAATTAACGGCGAAGAGAGTGGAAAGAGGAGAGTTGTGAGTGGAGGAGGAGAGGAAGAGGAGCAGCAGCAACAACAACAACTAACATCTACAACTACAAAATTGGCCCTCTCATTTTGGCAGTCGCATTGCCCCATCTCGCTCCCTCTTTCGGTGGGGGATACGGAAAAGTTCACATGCAACAACAACGACAACAAACAATAGTCGCAGTCGGCGCGGGCAGAGGCAGCGACAGAGGCAGAGGCAGCGACGCACTGAACGTATTTTGTACATATAAACAAAAATAGTTTTTAAACTCCAACAAAAAAAAAAAGTTAAAACTAAAGCCCTTAAGCATAAAAAAATCTACAGTAAATAAGTAATTAAAAAAAGCAAGCGAATCAAGCAGAGAAATAGAGGAAGATAGAGAGGAGAACGCTCAAAAGAAATTCGCCTTTTACACGATTTTAAATTGAGCGTTTTGGCAGAGATCCATTATTATACATCCATCCAAAAAGAGGGAAGAGAAAGGAGAGAGCGAAGTGAGAGAGAGAGCGTAGCGGAGCAAAAACAAACAAACGGAGGAGCAGCTGAACTCCAGAGCAACTGTAAAAACACACAATCTCAGCCTCACGCTGGCGAATCGCAACGGCAGCAACAACAACAGAGGAGGAGGAGGAGGAGGTGGCGACGCTGGGGGCGGGGCAGCTGTAGCCGCCGCTGCCCGCAACAACAACAACGCTAACAACAACAACAACAATGGTGGAGCAGGCGGAGGAGCGGCTGCAGTCGGCGCTGGCGCCGAAGGAGCAGCTGGAGGTGGTGGTGGAGGAGCTGGCGCCGGTGGAGCCGCAGCCAACGAATGGAACCCCGAGGAAATGGACCGCTTCAGCTTCGACGACTCGATCCGCTTCGAGGAAGACTCACTGTGCAGCTGGAGCTCGGAGCCCGAATCGCTGTGCAACAACTGGCGCGGCTGGAAGAAGCCCGCTGCGGGCAGCGGTGCAGGCAGCGGCGGTCTGAGCGGTATGGGAATGGGAGGAGCGGTCGCCGGCGGCGGCGCAGGAGCCCCTCCGTTCGGAGCAGGTGCCTCCTCCGGTTCGTGTACACCGGGCGGCAGTGCAACGGCCATGGCCAACACATCCACCTGCGGCAGATATTATGGTGAGTCTTTAACCCCTCGTCAAACTGATTTTCCAAATGATTAATATAATGAACATGAAATTCAATATTCTTATTAAATATTTAAATAGAATACGTATATTTTTGATATTACTCATTAGTTACCCCAGGATATAAAAATGTGCCTGTATCTTTAAAAACCGCCTTAAACTGTCTGTCCGGTATTTAATATCATCCTAAATTCATAAGGTTTTATAAATATTTATACGTCCTAATGTTCATTAGTTTACTTACTTACTAATTTACTTACGATAAAATCTATTCACAAATGCGCCAGTGGAGTCCATAAGAGAAGTAGTAGGTAACAGTGGAATCAAGTTATACCATAATATGTTTTTTGTTTAAGTGTTTATTGTCTAATTTTTTTTTGTTGTACTCCAAAACTATAAGGTTTGACAGCAACAATTTCAATCCTTAGACCCGTTAATTTTGGGTTTTTAATATAGTTATAGATAGTGACTGCTAGTGAATATTACTTTGGTAATACAATCCTTAAGGTGTCACCCTATTTTTGTAATAGTCCTAGTGAAGAGCTGGCCTGTGCTGCGCTGTCTGCAATTATACGCGTGACCTTTTCGCTGTTGGTAAATTCTGTAAAAGTGGCTAAAGCACAACCAACAAGCTGGCTGTAATTGTTGTTGGTCCGTCTGCAATTGTCTTTTTTATTTCCCCGCCTTCCCCGAAGTCCACTGCTTATCGCTAAAGTCAAAATCACGACTTTGGGCTGCCAACGTTTTATTTTTATTCGTTTTTCCTTCTTACCTTTTTGTTGCGTCGTCTCCTTTGTCTTTTTGAGGCTTATTACGATTGTGTACGGGAGGGCATTGTTTTTGGGCCTGCTGAAAGACGTTTTTACACGTATTCGGCATCCTGTGCGCCGTCACAGTATTATCATCATGTAATATCTGGATATCTGGCTGCGACTGCGCAGTTCGTCCTCTTCCCTGTTTTTCCTTCATTCTTTCTCGTCATTTGCCCATCCACTGCATTCGTTTGCTTCTTTGTGTGCTTGAGTATTATGGCTTTGGGGGAGAAAAAAAGGACTACATTTGGAAAAGGCAGCGAAGGACTACAAAATACCGCAGGAGGAAAGAAGATCCGCCATCCATCTACTTATCTTTCTTCCCTAGCCAGTGTTGCCATGTTGCTATTAGTCATTGTCTTCCATGAATCAAAAACGGTTTTGTTTTTAAAAATATTCTCCATGATGATTAATACACTTTTACATCTATTTAAACATTTTTTACCACCAATGCCATCGTACTTACTTGTATAAATGCTATTCAATTTTACTGCATCAACTGGTCGTGTTATTTGGCGGGGAAATAGCTAGAGTGGTAGGCCTGCGGCTAGGTGTATGTGCAAAGACAAAGCCAGCTGCATTTTCATGCTCGAAAGACATAATAACCGCAACAAAAAACTATATAGCCTCAAAACGATGTCGCTGCTGCTGCCAGCTGAACGATGCCGACGTCGATGTTGAGGCGTCTAGAGCCTCGCTTTGTTGTGTCAAAGAACCTTTTCAAGGATACCACCACAACCTGCCCGAGGGGATGTAATAAAAATAAAGACGACGGGAAGGACAAGAGTCCCATATTCCCTTCACACCTTGCAGCTCCTCCTCCTCTGCGTTTGTTCAGGCTCCTCATATATATTACATAGTTGTGCTTGTAGTTGCATGGAAATTCATTCTGTCATGTGAGTTATGCGGCTTTTCTGTATATTTTGAGGAACTTAAAAGCCTAAAGGTCATAATTTCATGTTCCGGAGACTGATAGCTGGTGTTAAGTACCTGTTATCTGATTATTAACCTCAAACAACAACATTGTAAACATTCCATCAAGATAAGAAGAAAGGTGACCCCGACTTGATTTTAAAGATTCTATAATTGTTTGTGATTTTATTTTCCTTTATCTGCATTCAAATTTTTGTTTTTAGTTTTTGTATCTATTTTTGGTAAATTATTTTTTTTTTTGCGTTTTTAAAAATGAACGTAGAATTTTTAAAACATAGTTCATCAATTTGTTCAATAACAGGTGGTGTAACTTTACGAGTTGAAATAGGGGTGGTGTAGCATATCATAAATCAACCCTATTTAGCTAAGTTATGGTGTGCTCAATATTGGTTTTGGTGACCCCGATCTATTTATTACTATTATAATAATATAATTTAATAGCTTTTAAGCCAAGTATTGATATGGTGACCCCGATCTATTTCATAACTTTTGTATTAATATAACTTAATAACTTTAAAGCCAAGTTATGATATGCCGAATGTTGGTTTTGGCGACCCCGATTTATTTATATTAAGTTCATAGCAGTTTTATTCAGACCTGGGAAACACCCCATATGGAGTGGGTTCGTAGAGTGGGCCTCCGCATGAACGTGGAACGTCGATGCGACGCGATGCAATGACCCCGAATAAACCGAAACCGTGGAATGGTCACGCTGCAGTGCTGACAATGCAGCTCCGCTCTGTGTCCGTGAGAGGTGTGTGTGGTGTTGCGGTGGTGTGCGGGTTGTGTATAGTGGTGTGCGTGCCTTGAGTGGCCGGCGTTGCCGCATGTCATCATCTAATTAGTGGGTCGAGGCCCGCTCGGTGTCAATTTCGAACAGAAACTGAACCGAAACCGAACGACCAACCGACCAGCTGAGGCTGAACTGAACCCACCGGCGGCTCGCTATTTTATTTTTCACTTTTCGCCGTGCATATCAGTTTCATGCACTTCCGTAGCCAAAACAATTGCACCAACATATGCACACGTGCACAAATGCTTGTTAGCACTTTGACCCCCTTTTTTGCGTAGGTTTATTTTGTTTTTGAGCGAGCTTTTTGTGCCGAACAACCTGAATTTGTCGTTGGAAACGCGGCAGGCAAAGCCAAAAATATGAGGGCACAGCAAAAATGTTATTTTCAGCATATTATCATTTAAAAGAAACAGGGAGTTGTTAATGGGAAGGATAGTTACATTGAAAATGAAGTTAGGATTTATGACAATAATTATTTTAAAACCACTTGAAATACTGCCCCCATCTATTACTAAGATCTTGTCAATTATCATGTGCATGTGAAAAATGATTGTTTTTTTTCTAATTGAGCAATCTTCTGTATGGCTACAGAAGTGATTGATTTAGATAAGCTTATTAGACTCTGTGCGGAATACTTGACAATTTTAGTTTTAACATGTGGTATGGGAAGTTTGTGACTTCTAAGATCGAAACTCTGATTATTTTCAAAACATCAGGGAGAGGGTTCTGTGCACATGGCATATACATATATTGGAACCCCCCGCTGGGCCATTTAACATATGTACATACATATGTATGTATTGTATATAGCACTCCGATTGGAGTTGGGGGAGGTAATGGTAATGGTAATGGTAACCGGTGTGACGAATGCATTCGCCGTAGTTCGGCACTTCAGCACCTCCTGCTCAACTTTGGCGAGCCCGTTCAGTAATAACAAAAATAACTGGAGCATGAGGCTTTGCGTTATATGTATGTACATATATTCTCATCTTTATTGTTACATGTTTTGTTATAGTGCGATGCATGGAAATGGAAAACAAATTAAAATGCAAACAAAAACTCCAAAAGGGAATGCAAGAGCAAGCCCAGTTCAAGCAAAGAGGAAACCAGTTTGAAGGGGAAGCAGTAGCCTTGAATCCGCAAAAAAATAAACGAATGTATACACGAATCGGTTATTAAACCTTCTTCAATCAAATCAATGTGACTCATGCGGCCATTCGGAATCGGCTAAACCCTTTACCTGGAGACTCAGCCGATTTTTCATCTGACAAATGCATTTAATTGTTTTCTTTTCTTTCTTCGTTTTACTCCCTTAACCTCGCCAGTCAAATGGAATTTAAATAATTGAAATACAAATATACGTTTAGCTTAAGACAAACATTTTTGGGTTTCTTATACAAAATTTTAGGGTTAGACTTAAAATGCATTGAAATAAACGGGGTGTTTATACAGTTTCTTAGCCTACAACACATATGCATGTTTGTAATTCATTAATTCGTAATTCAATTACCTACAACTATTTATTTAACCGCCGCTGTAGCTGTGTATATGCATAAAGGACAGGCATGAGCAATAAGTTAGCGCTTGCGGAAAATGACTTTGAATAAAATGGTGCCAAAGTGTCTGAAAATTAAGCGACGACAGAGCAAGACAATGGGGGTCGGGTGAGGGGGAAGCACGAAGAATGGGAGCAGGCAAACGAACCGACGAACGAGCGAAAGAAAACAAACAAACAAACAAAACAATGAGCTCCGCCGTTCAGTGCTGACTTTTTGGCTTTTTTATGAGGGTGAATTGGTATTGACTTTAATTGTATACCGTGAGAAATTTTTATGTCCGTTAATCGTAGAGTTAAAGGGTATATTGTATACTTTCTTGTTTTTTTTTAAATACAAATATGAGTACACCAACTTTACTGCAATTACACGATTGTTAGTTGCAAACAGTCTTAAAACTAAATAACAAATCATTAGCTAGTTTTTGAAAGAAGCCTTTTTTTTATCCTTACTAAGACTTATAACAACTGCACGCTATTTTATCAATCAACCAAGAGAAAAGGCTAAAATATAAGATAGAACCCATCAGTTCTGAACTCGATACCCAATTAGTTGACTCATCATGTCCAAGTTGATCGATTATAATTGAAAGTGAAATCCCTGGGATCTGGTTATGCTCCTGCTCGAATATTTAATTCGCGTGGGCGAACTTGAACCTTCTGTTTTTTCTTGGCGCTGCATCATCAGCAACAGAATACACCATACACCATATCCACATACCATATAATAACAAAGCTGGCAATTCTTTGTTTTGCTTTGGGCCCCCTTTTTGTTCTTGTTTGTTTGGCTTTTGTGTTTTGCGTTCTGCGTTTTAAAGGCAATGGGAACGAGACCTTTAAAATGCAGGTCCCCTCTTCCATTGCCATTTGTTTATTTGCATGCCAATTCAGTGGATTTCTGTTTATCTACAACTCAATTGCGCTGCTAAGATAATGACATTGGTTCACGCAGGGAAAAAGTGCGTGGCTAAGAGATTTTCTCAGGCCTTTTCCACGACACAACATCACAGAGAACCGAATAACGCAAAAGTTTATTTATTAAATAACGTTGGCGGAGGGTATTATACATATTAGCGACCGGAAGGTGGAATAAAGCTTTGAAGATTGCACTTTCAATGGAAGCCAGACCTTCTTAGCATAGCCATCGTCCCTATAACTTCTTTTTGAGGGATATTTTTTTAATACATGTCTAATTTTCAGTCAATTTGTTATTTTATTTTGTGTTTTTGATAATAATTTAGGATTTGTAGGATACTTTTGGGTATATAATCTTCATGGGTATGCCAGCATCTTTCTCTTTTTAAAGTTTATTCTATCACATTAAAGTTATATCGAGTATACATGTACCTGATATGAATATGCTAATTTTGTTAGCTTAACTAATTTGTATAGTGAATATGGTGTGGTTATTGCTCATATCTCTGTGTGCGACCCTTACAAAAAACGTCGTTGTTGACCTCTCTTTCGCTGGTCATTGGCCGTTCGCCTCAGAAAAAGTTCTTTAATTAATAAAATGCCCGACATGTGTATCTTGCGTCTGTGTGCATGCATGTGGCTTTTCCCCGCTTTGTTTGTGTTTAATTATGGTGGTAGAAATATGAAATTAGTCATTTGGCAGCTTCTCTAATTAATACATATTTTCATTTGTTTCTCTTTGTTGTTGTAGAGTTTTCAAATAGTTTCTATGCTTAAATTTGTATGTATGTATGTTCATCATTGAATTTATTGATTATTTAAACGTTGAGGTAAAGTAAATTTATTCAATTTCATTAATAGTATTTCACTTATATTTATACATATGTACATATATATGTATTTCTAAAATAAAGTGATTTTTTCTTATTTAGCCAGTACTCCATTATCACTACTTTCGCATAGTATTATATGTTTTATTATATGTTCTTCCAGAAGTTTCCACATTGGCCGAACTGGCAGCCCGCTGTGTGGCCTCCTACATACCGTTCGAACTGGTGGAGCATGTGTATCCGCCGGTGCCGGAGCAGTTGCAGCTGCGCATTGCGTTCTGGAGCTTTCCGGACAACGAGGAGGACATCCGGTTGTATTCCTGCCTGGCCAACAGTTCGGCGGACGAGTTCAATCGCGGCGACTCGTTATTTCGACTCCGTGCTGTCAAGGATCCGCTGCAAATAGGTGCGTTTGTATTACCCTAAGGGATTGTGTATTGTGTATTGTTTATAATGGCTAACCCCATGATTCGAATCCGATTTCGATCCCCAGGCTTTCACCTGTCGGCCAGCGTGGTCAATCAGACGCCACGTACCTACTTCAATGTGGCCGTCACCTTTGACCGCCGTCGCATCTCCTCTTGCAACTGCACCTGCACCTCGTCCGCCTACTGGTGCTCCCACGTGGTCGCCGTCTGTCTGCATCGCATCCATTGCGTAAGTATGCCAGGATTTGAAGAAGTCTGTTGCTTTTTGAAAATGTATTTAAACCTTAAACCTTAAAAGTAATGGTTTTATTATCAATTTATTTTTGTAAAAGTAAAAATGCTCTAATTCTAATATTTATTTTAAAAAATATATAACTTGAAACAAATAAAAAGAGCTAAAGAAGAACTTGTGTAGTTTATAGATCTAGTTTAGTTCAGTTTACAGTTTTGTCAGTTTGCAATTTGAAACTTAAGTTGAATGCCATACTTTAGTTAAATGTAACGAGGGACTTATATATATTATATTACTATATATATATATATAAGAAAAATAATTTTATATATAATAAATATAATCCTAATCGCCTTGCAGCCCCAGGAAGTCTGTCTCCGGGCCCCCGTGTCCGAGTCGCTGACCCGCCTGCAACGCGACCAGCTGCAGAAGTTCGCCCAGTATCTGATCAGCGAGCTGCCCCAACAGATCCTGCCGACGGCGCAGCGGCTGCTGGACGAGCTGCTCAGTGCCCAGCCCACGGCGATCAATACGGTGTGCGGTGCACCCGATCCCACGGCTGGGGCCTCGATCAACGACCAGACCAGCTGGTATCTGGACGAGAAGACGCTGCACAACAACATCAAGCGGATCCTCATCAAGTTCTGTCTGCCCGCCCCGATAGTGTTTAGGTGGGTAGTCTTCGCTTTATCCTCAACTAGTAACATACTCACTCATGCATATATATTCCCTTGGCAGCGATGTCAACTATCTGACGAACTCGGCTCCTCCGGCGGCGGCCGAGTGGAGTTCCCTGCTCCGGCCGCTGCGAGGCCGTGAGCCGGAGGGCATGTGGAATCTGCTGTCGATCGTGCGCGAGATGTACAGGCGCTGTGATCGGAACGCAGTCCGTCTGCTGGAGATCATCACGGAGGAGTGCATGGTCTGCGACCAGATACTCATCTGGTGGTTCCAGACCAAGCTGGCCCTGATGATGGGCTCGCACGGCCACTCGGGCGGCAAACACTCGAACACGCACTCCAACTCGACGGCCCTGCAGCACGCATGCAGTTCGCTGTGCGACGAGATCGTGGCCCTCTGGCGGCTGGCTGCCCTCAATCCCGGCCTGGCGCCGGATGAGCGCGACATGCTGCACGCCCAGTTCACCGCCTGGCACCTGAAGATACTCGACCGGGTGGTCAAGAGCCGCCTGATACCGTCGTCGTTCACCAATAAGCACCAGCAGAACTCGCGGTCCGAGACGGAGCTGTTCATCGGCTTCAAGCCGGCCATCGAGGCGTGCTATCTGGATTGGGAGGGCTATCCCATTCCGGGTGTGACGCACACCCACGACACGAACCCCATCTACTACTCGCCGTTCACCTGCTTCAAGCACACCGACCTCAAGGGCGAGGCCAACAATCCCGGCCAGCTGAACGCCACCCAGGCGCTGATGACGAACAACAAGCACTACAATTACTTCAGTGCCTCCAGTGACCATGGCATGCATGCCGGCGCCTTCAAGCAGAGGCTGGACAGGCCCTTTCGGGAGTCGCGTTTCTATGCGAATGCGGCCGATCTGGAGGGATCAGCAGGCGGAGCAGGAGCAGCCACAGCTCGATTTTCCACAACTCTGGGCGCTGTTGGAGGCGTTGGAGGAGCTGGTGCAGTTGGTCAAATGGGCGGAGCAGCAGCAGGCGGAGGAGGAGGAGGAGGAGTGGGTGCCTCTGTGGGAGCAGCAGCGGCCGAAGTAAATACCGCGCAGCAACAGCAGCTGGCCAGTGGCGTCTCTGGAGTGGGTGCCTCGGTGGCCAACGCCAAGGCGGTGGCAGTTGCAGATGGCAACCGTTCGAGTGCCAGCAGCGAGGGATTCTGCGAGAACGACGATTTCGGCGGCGACACCAGCAGCAGCCACAACTACTGCCCACCGGGACAGGTGGTTGTGCCGGGCCAGAAGTCGACCCTCACGGAATCCGACTCCCAGAGCAGCTTCGATGCCGTCTCGCAGCAGAGCAAGGATGAACCGGCCGTGGGCGGCGTGGGAGTGGCAGTGGGAGTGGCGGGAGTGGGTGTGGGTGTGAGTGTTGAACAAGCCCTCTCCACGTCGGACACCTCGTCGGCCTCATCGGCATCCTCGTCGGCCTCGACGGCGTCGGGCAGCTCGAACAGTTCCACCTCCTCCATGCTGATGGCTGGCCAGGAGGCGACTGTTGGCGTTGGAGGAGTGGGCGCAGTGCAGCAGACACCACGTCGCCTGAGCAAGGATGAGTCCTTTAGCAGCAGCAGTGATGAGTTCAACCAAGGAGCAGTGGGCGGATCATCAGTTGGTGGTGGTTGTGTAGCCGGTGGATCAGTTGGATCAGCAGAAGCAGCAGCGGTGGCAGCAGCAGCGGCAGCAGGAGGAGATCTCACGCCTGTGCCCAGCACCTCGGCAGCTGCCCGAGCAGCCTTGGCCGCCAGCAGCTCCTCCTCCTCGGTGCTCCACCCGGCGATGCCCGGCGGTACGCCGCAACTCGGAAACAGCCCTGCCGGAGGAGTGGGAGTGGGAGGAGGAGGTGGAGGATTGGGAGTCCTGGGACTGGGCGCCACGGTGGACCAGCCCTGCAGTTCATCGGCGCACGCTGCCCGTGTTCTGGCCGCTGCCGTGGCCGCCTCCAGCGACAAGCCGCACGTCTTCTCCAATGTGCGTCCCACCGAGGATGCCTGGGACATACTGCTGGCCCGCGCCGAGGGCCTGCATGCCCACGGACATGGCGGCGAGGCCTGCATCCTGGCCGTGCGCCTGGCCGAACAGATGCTGGCCAATCCGCCCAATCTGCTGCTGGAACTGCCGCCCGCGCCCAAGCGCAAGGGCAAGAAGCAGAACGTGAACCCCATCTCGCACCAGCTGACGGTGGTGGCCTCCGCCACGCTGTCCAAGTGCGCCTTCCTGTGCACCGTGCTGTCGGAGAACTCGGAGCACTACCACATCGGCTTTCGGATATGCCTGTTCGCCCTGGAGATGCCGCGACCGCCGGCCAGCACCAAGCCGCTGGAGGTGAAGCTGGCCAACCAGGAGGCCGACATACTGGCCCTGCTCAAGCGCCTGCCGCTGGGATCGGCCGAGTTGCAGGTGATCCGCGAGCGGGCGGAGCAGCTGCGCAGCGGTACGTTCAAGACACGAGGCGAGGCCTTGCTGCCGATCAACCTGGCCACGTTCATCTTCGACGCCCTGGTCACCTTCAGTCCCGGCGGCGGGGGCTCCGGGCCAATGGGTCCTGCTGGGATGGTGGCGGCGGCTTCCTCTTCCAGCGGAGGGAGTGGCGTTGTGGGCGGCGGAGGAGGTGCGTCAAGCAAATCCATGGTCAATGCAGGCGCTCGTCTGCTGCTCTACAAGCACAACAGCGATGAGAACCTCGGCTTCGATGCTGCAGTGGCGGCGCTCGGCCTGAAGGCCAATGTCTCGGAGGCCGAGCATCCGTTGCTGTGCGAGGGAACGCGACGGCAGCGCGGCGATCTCGCCCTGACCCTGCTCTACCACTACAAGGATGAGCCGCGCAAGATAGCCAAGATCATGGAGAAGCTGCTGGACCGGGACATACACACGCTGCTCAATGCGCCCCTTCTGCCCGCCTACTACTCGAGCAATCCGCCGGTGAGGACGAAGAGCAATCAGCCCACGCGCCGCGAGGAGCACGACTACGGTGGTGGCTCTGGCTCTGGATGTGGCACCTCCTCCAACTGCAATCCGGTGGCCAATATGTGCGAGCTCCTGCCAGCCGACTACGGCAGTGTGGGCGGCAACAGTCGTCCGCACAGTTCGACGAGTGCCGAACTGGAGCTGAGCATGTGCGCCCTTAGCATGGCCAGCAGTGGCAGCCAGTCGGGCGGAGGGCAGGGTATGGTGCCCACACCGAATGCGGCGGGAGGAGGAGGAGGAGGAGGCGGAGGAGGGACCACCGGAGGAACACCCAATTCCAGCAGTACCACGGCCAGTGGCAGCCAGCAGAATCCCAATGGCAATCCCACTGGCAGTGGCAGTGGCGGTGGAGGAGGAGGAGGAGGAAATGGCAACGGCGGAGGTGGAGGAGGCGGTGGCAGCTCCAGCAGCAGCCGCAGCAAGGAGAGTCGCTACAAGGGCAAGCGGGCATACCCCTCGATACCCAACCAGCCGTCGGAGGCCAGTGCCCACTTCATGTTCGAGCTGGCCAAGAATGTGCTGACCAAGGCGGGTGGCAACAGCTCCACCTCGCTGTTCACGCAGGCCAGCACCAGCCAGAACCACCATGGACCGCATCGTGCCCTCCACATGTGCGCCTTCCAGCTGGGCCTCTATGCCCTCGGCCTGCACAACTGCGTGAGTCCCAATTGGCTGTCGCGCACATACTCATCGCACGTCTCCTGGATCCTCGGCCAGGCGATGGAGATCGGGGCGCCCGCGATTAGTTTCCTGATCGACACCTGGGAGGCGCACCTCACGCCGCCCGAGGCGGCCGGCATGGCGGACCGGGCGTCGCGCGGATGGGACAGCAACATGGTCTATCCGGCCGCCGAGCTGGCCCTCTCCGTGCTGCCCCATGCGGCGGCCCTCAATCCGAACGAGATCCAGCGCGCGATCCTGCAGTGCAAGGAGCAGAGCGACCTGATGCTGGAGCGTGCCTGTCTCACCGTCGAAACGGCCGCCAAGGGCGGCGGCGTCTATCCGGAGGTGCTGTTCCAGGTGGCCCGCTACTGGTACGAGCTCTACATGCGCAACACTCCCAACAATAGCGAGCACGAGCCGCACGACGACACCATGGACCATTCGGCGGTCAGTCTGAGTGCTTTGATTGAATCCCAACAGCAGCACGAACTCCAGCAGCAGCAGCAACAGCAGGCGGTGCAGCAGCAACAGCAGCAGCAGCAACAACAACAACAACAACAGCAAGTGGTGCAGCAGCAACAAGTGGTGGTCCAGCAGCAGCAGCAACAGCAGCTGGGCATGCCCAATCCCGGAGTGGGTCCCGGACCCGGACCCGGACTGCCCGTATCGGTGCCACCGCCCGTGGTGGGCTCCGTGCCGAATCCGCAGGCCCAGTTCCAGCCCGTGGGCGTCGCCTCGCTGGCTCCCCTCGGACTTGCCCCCTATCCGCCGTACAGCTTCTGCCAGGGCCTGTACGCGCACCACCACAACCTAAGCTATCCGCCCGGCCAGATGCAGATGTACATCTCGGCGGGACCGCCGCCGCCGCCACAGGCCTACGGTGGCTATCAGCAGGCGCCGCCCCAGCAGCCGCCCAACCAGCAGCAGCAGCAGCAAGTGGTGCAGCAACAAGTGGTACAGCAGCAGCAGCAGCAGCAGGTGGTGCAACAGCAGGTGCAGCAGCAGCAGCAGGTCCAGATGGCGGGACAAGTGCCGCCGGGTCATCCGGGCCAGCAGGGGCATCCGGGGCAGCCGCCGTCCGGCTTCCAGCAGCAACCGCCGCCGGGACCGTTCCAGGCGCTGCCGCCTCAGGCCTACCAGGCGATGCAGGCGGGTCCTCCGGGTCCGCCCATCGGTCCGCCGCAGGGCTACTACGGCCCACCTCCGCCACCGCCTCCGAACGGACCACCCGTTGGTGTGGGTGTGGGCGTTGGCGTTGGCGTGATGCCCATGCGTCAGCATCAGCACCAACATCCCGTGTATCCGTTCATGCAGGCGCCGCCTCCACCGCAGCAGCAGCAACAGCCGCCGCCCTCGCAGCCGCCAGTGCGACAGAGGCAACCGCATCAGTTCACGTGAGTGATCCCGATCCCGATCCCAATACCAATCCCAATCTCAATTCAAGATTTGATTTAAGGTGGTTAAGGAGGGCCAACTTGTTTTGATTTTTTATACCCAACAAAGTATTTACAGCTACAGCTGCGGTCATAAAAATAGTAGCTATTCAGCTTATTATAATAGCAACCAAAACAAGATTTAAATCTACTTTTTCTTGTTTTATAAAGATAATACCATGAAGTAAATGGGGTATAATATTTTAAAATATTTTTATAAATTATGCATCAAAATAAAATTTATTTTAATTTGCAATTTAAGAAATAGGTTAAATATAAAAAAAAATGTATTTCCCAAAGTGCAGATGAACGAGAATTTATGGTTATTTTATTAAATTTCTCTAAAATCATTTACTACAGGATTTTTTAAAGTTTAATTTTATAGATAGTTAAATGTTCAAACATAATGTATGCCTACTTGGCATTTATTTAAGTTAAAGTATACATTTTAAGACTACCATGCCCTATAATTTATTATCATTGTTCTCTCTGTTGCAGACCCACCCAGTTGCGGTATCTGCTGGCCGCCTACAACGTGGGCATGCTGGCCATGGAGACGTTGGCGCGACGTGTCCACGACGACCGGCCGCAGGCAAAGTACGCCCGCAATCCGCCGTACGGCGAGGATGTGAAATGGCTGCTGCGGATCAGCAAGAAGCTGGGCACCCAGTATCTGCACCAGTTCTGCATCTGTGCGGTCAACTCGATCGTCAGTCCGTTCGTCCTGCACGACGTGGCCATCGAATCCGCCCACTATCTGGGCAGGAACAACCACCAGCTGGTGATGCAGCACCTCCGCTCAGCGCTCACGCCGCTCGTCCAGAAGTGCCAGCAAATGTGAGTGATCTTTCACGAACGAACACCATGATCTTTCAACTAATGTGGGCTGTTTTCTTTCTTTCGTTTTTGGTGTTTGTCGATGAACAGGTACATCCAGTGCATCCACCAGAAGCTGTACCATCTGACGCAGGGCGACTACGAGGAGTTTGCCAGCATTGTGGTGGCCGCCCGTGCCGCCTTCCAGATCACGCCGGAGGGCAGTGCCCAGTTCAAGGACTGGCTGCAGTCCATTAAGCGGTAAGCAAAGGCGTGCACTCTGCCGACTATATGGTAATTGCATTCCATCCCCATTGCAGATCCAAATCATGCAAGAAGGAGCTCTGGACCCAGATCAATGCGGCACTGCAGAGCAACTCCAAATGACAAAGACTTGACTCCTGCAATCTGATGACGGCAGTGGGAGCAGCAACATTGGCCACTGTGGCGGCAGCAGCAGCAGCTTCAGCGACAACGGTCACAACAGAATGCAAGTCCACGGCGGCGTCTGGCGGTAGCACCAGCGGCGGCAGCAGCAACAACAACAACAACAACAGCGCTCCCAATCACAACCACATCGGCAGCAGCAGCACCAGCAGCAATGCCACCAACAACAGCAATGCCAGCATTAACATCGGCATCGGCATGGGCATGGGCATGGGAGAATCTGTGGCCGGACACAACCATCATCATCATCACCATCACCACAGGCATCATCATTTGCTGGATACGCCGGCCAGCAGCTCTGCGGGATTAGCAGCACAAGCAGCTGCAGCAGCAACAGCAGCAGCAGCTGCAGCTGCAGCAGGAGGAGGAGCAACAACAACAACAACAGGAGCAGCAATCACAGTGGCAACAACATCAGTTGGCAACCAGCCAGCAGCAACTGTGGCTGCAGCTACAGCTACAGCAGCAGCAGCAGCTGCTTCGGAGCGTATGGAGCGAAGGCCACCGCTGCTGGGAGCACCACCACCAGCACCGCCGCTGTCCGCGATCAGCAACAGCAACGGTCGATCGGCAGCAGCGATCGCTTATCACTCGCTGATGCCGAACTACTATCCCAGCACGCGACAGTTGCATATGCACGGCCATGCCCGGGCTCATGCGCATCCCCCCCAACAGCAGCAGCAGCAGCAGCAACACGGGCATCCGCATCAGCATCCGCATCCCAATCCTCACCAGCAACAGCACCCGCAGCAGCACCTGCAGCAGCAGCAGCAGCACCCGCATCCCCACCAGCATCCGCATCCACATCCCCATCAGTACCAATTGCAGGCGCTAAGCCACTACCATCAGCAACTTTAACAACGTGTCGCGGCGTCTGGTGCGTCTGCTGCTCTTGCTGCAGCGTAATCGCTTAGGCGGCCGGAAGAACATGGCGGCGGAGGAGGAGGACGAGGAGCAGGAGCAGGAGCAGAAGCAGGGGCAGCAGCAACCAGTTGTGCCTGCGGGCGATGATCCTGCAACTTGGCTCTGGCTTTGGCTGCTGGTGTTGCTAGTGCTGCTGCTTGTCCTGGGCTTACCACTGCTGCTGCTCATGCTCCTCTGATCCACATCCACATCCACGGCCATTTCCCGCCCGAGAACCACCGCACTTAGTTCATGTTAAACATAGGTTTTATATTTAACTTGATTTTTTCGTTAGGGTTTTCTTTTTTTATTTTCGTAATTAATCAAGCCTACATTTATCTACATAAAAACGAGCCACTTTTCATCAGTGGTGTGCGTGAGTGTGTGTGTGTGTGTGTGCGTGTGTGCGTGCGTGTGTGCACTTTTAGACTGAGATATCTGCCAACAGCAACAACAACAACAAAAACAAACGACACACCCACACACACACACATGGAACACACCACCCACCCACAACATACCTACAATCATAGAAGATGGAAAAGCTCTGTTTGATTTTTCAGAAATGTGTTCAGTTAAACTAACGTATTAATAGACGGATCTATCAAATAGTTTTCTACACCTACAGCTATATGAAACTCGGACTTATACGTATATGCTTACAACCCCTAACCACCCTACCTAATATATAATTTAAAGTAATGCGACCCTTTTTCATATAACACCAGTTTCGCAATACGCTAAAACACCAACCTTTTCTAGTTTAGGCTAACGACTTTTCATTCGTTGTTTCTATATATTTAATTTGTAGTCTTGCGTAAGCAAAAAGATGAACGATTTATATACCCCTATACATATTTAATACCACCTGTGGTTAAGCAATTTTTTAGGATTTTCAAATTTATTTGACCAGACACACACACGAGCATAATCGATGCAGTGGAAATTCTCGGCTGAGCAGTTTGTTTTTAATATTTAACTAGCTAAAGATCTCAAACAAAAAAATTCGTAATAATTTTTCAATTATGTAAAAAAATGCAAATATGCATTTGAAAAATTAACAAAACAAAAAAAATAAATAACACCGAATGTGGGCGATGTGGAAATGGAAAAGCTTGAAAATCGCTTTGAAAATAACTAAAAAGTTGATTTCAAAACGATTTTACTTGGCCATGTCGATGTTCACTGCCACTGCCCACAAACAGCTGCATCAGAGGGATTGTATTTCTAGGTCTATACAGCTGAAATATAGATAGCAAATATTTAAGACAAACTGCCAGAATTTCTTCAGTTTCGACTGAGGTGAAAATACACTTTTCCTCCGTTTGTCTGTCTCTGTCTTACGATATGATAACGACAGAGCAAAGACAACAAATCGAAAAGATTTCTAGATAAAGTAAATCATTATGTTCACACACACACACAAACGCACTTTTTATGATGTATAACTTTAAAAATTAGTTCTTGTTGGTGAAGCAAAAAGTTTAGCATGAAGGTAGATTATATTTTTACATTTAAACAAAAAAAAACAACAAAAACGAATTAAAAAAATATATTTTTTGCTTTACACATTTTGTTTATACTTTAAAAACCTTTTTAATTATTTTTTTTTAATCAATTAAATTCTTTATATTTATACACAAAAGTAAAAAAAAAAACAAAACAAAAAAAAAGATGAACAAAAATTTTTTTTATTATATACAAATAATGCTGTTTTGAATAAATATGGTTTTTTGGATTTATTTCAAAACGCAAATTAAAAGCGAAAAAAAAACGAAACAAAAAACAAAAACACAAAATAATCAATGTTTGTTTTATTTATGTTGGTTTATTTTCCAGACTTAAATCCTATTTTTGCTGATTTTGTAAGACTTATTTTAAATGAATTGTTATCTTATCAATATAGTTTAAATGTTCTTTGTTTTTATTATCCTTTGCGGTTATACAACCCAATCCAATCATTCCAATCCAACACATCCGAGCATCATCCTAAGTAAAAACTATTAATGGAAACTGCCACTTTCTTATACACGATCGCGACCCCCTGAAAAGTCCTTGAGTGCAGGCGGCCTAGGGCCAAGGTCCTTTGGATCCGTGAATTGGTTTGGATCCTCCGCCGCCGGACGGCCTCAGTCCCCGCATAATGGTTGTAAATACGGACGATGTCTTATATAAGTATTGTAACTCCATTGTGTTTTTGTATTATTACAAGTAGAGAAACCGAAAACCGATTCAGATACGGATTTAAATGAATTGCATCGAGTCCAGATCGGATTCGGATTCAAACTCTGTAAGCAATCGCGTAATTTGTAAACTTTTAGTAGGCAGTGTTTTATACAAAGAAAATAGCAAAGAAAATACCGAAAATAACATAATCTATTTATATAGTGAACAAACGCAATCTGTAAATTAAAATTAACAAGGTGTTTTTAAATTACATTATAATTGACTTTTTCCGTGAAAAATGAAAAACAAGTTTAGAAAAGAAGACACGACTTTCTCGCTTTGTTCACCATTTATATATGTAAAATATCAACAATCCCAATTAGCAAACCGATCGAAGATTAAATGGGAGAAAATAGAATTATAGAAATGAAACCAATAGACAGATGAAGACCATTAACCCATTGACTTGAACCACTCAATAACAATAACTGAAAAGTAAACGAACAAACCAAGAACATACGATTTAAAATAATAATAAATGCAAACATAATGTTAACGTAGCCGATTAGCCTTTAGATCACATATAGCGCATATTTTACACAAGCGTAGTGAACCAATTTCCAAACTAAACTAAAAACTCCCTACACCCCAAAAGAAAAAAAAAAACAGAGTTGCAGAAAGCAACGCATATAACACTATGACCGTAGCCTGAGAGAAACTGCATTTTTGAAGCATTTTATTTTGATTAATATCCCTACTATACAAAAAACATTAAATTTTTTTCAAATAACTTCCCAAATAAATTCAATTAAATAAAACCAAATTTTTCCGTTGAGAAAATTTGCTTATTAACTATTTTCGTGACTTTAGTTCTGAAAATCTTTGAAATCGCCCTGGAACTCAAATTATTTATAACAAAACTGGCACTTTTTTCGAAGTTGAAATTAGAAATGTCCCAAAGTTGTTTGATACATATTTTCCCAATTCTATCCCTCTCAGATATGGTCATAGAATCCCAAATTTCCCCACACAAATCATCATAAAAATATCTTTGCACAGAGGCGTGTATATAGCCATTACACAAGAACACGGAATTCTGGAGCTGATCGGGGTGTGGATATGGTGCGGCTCTATTCAGCCTGCAAATCAGCTTCCCTTTCCGATCTGCACTATATAGACACCTCTCATATATTTACATATACATATTAAAATTGACGCGGACATAAATTATATTAATCTTAAGTCGAAAATAAAGCATTACCTCATACTTTAAAAACTTATGAAGACAGTTACAAGTAGAACACTCGAAAATATATAGATTATATACAATATACACGATAAATATAGGGCATTTTTTTGTAGCAATCGAACTTAGGCTTTATGAAATTCTATCATTTATGAAACGAATTCGATATGATTTTCTTGTTGTGAGAGAGAGAGAGAGAGAGGGAAATAGCGAGGGAAAGTGCAGATATTTGCAGGGGAATCCCGAATTTTCTGGCCTCGTTCATTTGCTCTTTTCGTTACTCGTGGCTCTATGTACATTTTTGCACTGTAAAAACTAAAATATTAAATATATAAATATATTGCTTGCTAAAGAAAAGTTAAAAAACAAAAAAAAACGAATGGAAATCGCGCAAAAACGTTATTTATATATACGCCTACAGAAACATGCAAAAAAAAAACTATTATATACAAAAAATATATACATACACATATAAAAATATATATACAATACTTATTTACATTGCGTATTTTAGCGTTTTATTCGACATCGGAAAATAAATATAAAAACAAAAACAAAAACCAATCGTAGAAACGCTACAGAAGTGTTCTTTTTAACAACAAAAATAAAAATAAATACGGAGAGCGAAATATAGAAAATTAAATTAAGCAACAGAAAATATTTATACACAGAGATGAAGCGGCAAGTTGAAAGCTTAAATATAAACCGATAGGAGAAGAGGAAATATTTAACTGAGTGACTAATTTTACAAAAGAAATGGACGTTTGTTTTTTTATCAATCGCTGTAAATATCAAGCAAAAGAGTAAAACACTTTTCTGGCGGGTTTATCGTTTTCTATTTGTTTTTTCATTTTAAACTGTCTACACTATTCGAACGCAGCCCCCAGCCACGCCCCCCGAAAACTAACACCACTACCATGCAAAGCTTTAATTCATTGCCACACACACTCCCACAACATCCACACACACAGAGCGATGCTAAAGTGCTTTAAGAACTAAAAAACAAACTCAAAAACACACGAAAGTAAATAAATACATTTCTCTTAAGTAAAACTAAAAACTTTTTACGAACAGACGGAAAAAAACACAAGAACAGAAACTCTGCCAAAAATCAAGCTAATAAAAACTAAATGAAAAGCGAAAGTAAGAAAACCGGTATCTTCTATAAAAAATAGCAACAAATTGTAAACATGAAAATAATATGGAACTAACTAATTATACATAAATAATTAAAGGACGAAGAGCAGAACGAATAATAAGAATGGAAATTTAAAACAAAGCTTATTTTATATATTCAAACATACAACAATAACATAAACAAAATGACCATTTATGAACTAAATTATATATGATCAGATTATAAACCGAAGTATAGTGTATATTAATGATTTTTAACCATGTAAAGAAATTGAAAAAGTCTTTTTCGAATTTTATTAATTTTCAAATGGTCCGAAGATCGAGAAGCAGCAGCACACAAAGTTAGTGACGGAGCGAGATGAATAAGGGTTAGAGCAGCGCATTATTATTAACTAATTTATGTAATATGCAATATATCTACTATATTAAAAAAATACATATAAATGAACGAGGAAAATTAAAATATACACCGCAAAGGAGAACATAAAATGAACACATTTTAAAACAATGAAAATGAAACGGAAAAAATTAAAAAAAAAAAACACTAAAATAAAAAAAACTGAAGAAAAAAGAAAAAAACATAAAAGCCGTTGGTTTTTCTTGATGGTTGATATCTATTATCTGATTCTTCCGAATGGGTAAAGTTTTAAAAGTATGGAATGATAACAAAAAGTCAGTGATGAATAAACACTCTTTTATTCATTACAGGCAAAACTAAAAAGCCTTCAAAAATACTATGTTACAAAATAAAGTTGTACCTGAATGCCAGGCGTAGCATATTTACAGGCTAAGGTGAAATTAGTACTCAAATATTTCCTAGGTACGTATGTAACTATCTGGGTATTGTCCAACACCGATTGACAAGGCGAACCATACGATAACACCGATAAGACCAAACTGCCATCACTAACGAACAATCGACTCCAACTGCCAGCACTAAAGCGAACCGAATATTTTGCAAAGCTATTTTGTTGTCATTCTGGATAATGCTATAGAACCGCCCTGAAAAGGATGGCCAATGCAGTGGTGGTGCTGGACAACGGGGCGCACACGGCCAAGGTGGGCCTGGCCAATCAGGACGAGCCGCAGGTGGTGCCCAACTGTATCATGAAGGCGAAGAGCGAGCGACGACGCGCCTTCGTGGGCAACCAGATCGAGGAGTGCCGGGACACCTCGGCGCTGTACTACATTCTGGCGTTTCAGCGCGGCTACCTGCTCAACTGGGACACCCAGAAGACGGTGTGGGACTACATCTTCAGCAAGGACGGCATCGGGTGTACGCTGGAGAACCGCAATATCGTTATCACCGAGCCGCAGATGAACTTCCAGAGCGTCCAGGAGGCCATGCTGGAGATGCTGTTCGAGGAGTACCGGGTGGCCGGTGTGTACAAGACCACCGCCGCTGACCTGGCCGCCTTCAACTACGTTGCTGACAGCGAGGAGCGCACCACAATGCAGTCGCTCAACTGCATCATCATCGACATTGGCTACAGCTTCACCCACATCGTTCCCTTTGTACTGGGACGCCGCGTCCTCGAGGGCATCCGTCGCATCGACATGGGCGGCAAGGCGCTGACCAATCACCTCAAAGAGCTGATCTCCTATCGACACCTAAACGTGATGGACGAGAGCCATGTGGTGAACCAGATCAAGGAGGATGTCTGCTTCGTGGCCGAGGATTTCAAGCAGGCCATGCAGGTGCACCAGGTGGATGAGAAGCGTCGCGAGCTTTCGCTGGACTACGTTCTGCCGGACTTCACCACCGTGCGACGGGGCTATGTTCGTGTGCCGGGCAAGCCGCGCGAGGACGAGGAGCAGCAACAGACGGTGCCGCTGTGCAACGAGCGCTTCACCGTACCCGAGCTGCTCTTCAATCCCTCGGACATCGGGGTGCCGCAGGTGGGCATCCCGGAGGCGGTGGCCGATTGTCTAAAGGCTTGCCCCTGGGAAGCGCACCGCGAACTGCTCCTTAACATCCTGATAGTGGGCGGCAGCGCTCAGTTTCCCGGCTTCTTGCCGCGCCTCAAGCGCGATTTGCGCGCCCTGGTGCCCGACGACCTGGAGGTGTCGCTCATCTGCCCCGAGGATCCGGTGCGCTATGCCTGGTACGGCGGCAAGGAGGTGGCTACCAGTCCCAACTTCGACGAGTTCGTCTACACGCGCGATGACTACGACGAGTACGGCTTTCAGGGCATCAATCAGCGATAGTTGGCCTTCTTTTCGTAGAAATAAAAACCCGTTTCAACAGCGATCTTTGTTAGAACATTCCTTGTCTATATATTGAACTAGGGCTAAGAGGACGAAAGTGCCAGCCTGCGGCCAGGAAGCGGGTGGGTCACTTACCTAGCGCTACAACTAAAATTTAACTATAGAACACAACTTAACATTTAGAATTCGTTTGCGAAGTAAAATTTACATAGGATGCGGTGCTTTTGCCAACACATAAATGAGATAACTAGGTCAGGCCGCGTACTGCATTAAACGTGGTTAATTTAGGTCTGCGAGGCGGGTGCCGGCGGATCTCCTCCGGATCTCCATCGGTTTACATGCTGAACGATTCGCCGCAGCCGCATGTGCCCTTAATGTTCGGATTGTTGAACACGAACTCGCTGGACAGCTTCGATTCCACAAAGTCCATCTCGGTGCCTTTGGGGAGACAAGAAAGTAGATTAGTGGGGGCTACATAATTAATTGCATTTTTGGGGGAACTAACCAAGCAACGAAAGCTGGGCTTTCTTGTCGATGAACACCTTGACGCCATCCTGGATCACCTCCTCGTCCAACTTGTCTGCTGGCAAATGTAAGCAAAGAAAGTGCAGCGTGAGCTCCCCACTGACCAACTCCAAGTGCTCTGTGGCTTACCTTTTTGGCTGGCATAGTCCAGCGTGTAGGAGAGACCATTGCATCCTCGTTGCCGCACGCCCACCTTCAAGCCAACCTGCGAAAGAACCAATTACTAATTTATTATGATAAACTTAATTAAATATTTAACCGTTTCCTTCTGGAATTTCAGTGCAAAGTTAAAAGCTATATACATACATATACATACAAGTTAAAAAATGCATAGGACTTACCAAAAGTTTTTAAATGATCCTAAAATTTTTTCTAATGATTTATATCTCGTCCTGGTTTAAAATATTAAAGTCATAAATTACGTAAATCCCAAATATGATAAAAAGTTTGATATCAAACATTCTGTTCACTTAAGAGTTAAAAAGTGTATTTATTCAGAGCCATAAATGCAATGGTGGGTCTTAAAATTTGCAGAAAGTAGGTAGATTAAAGGTACAAAGACCGCCTTGCTTTCTTATAAAGATATATAAAGCTTAGAACCAAAATACAGCGACTATAAAATGTTGCTATCTAAAATGCGTTTTATTTTGCGATACTATGTGTTTTTGGAACTGGGCAAGGCAATATTTTAAAATATCAGAAGCAGGGCTAATGAAGTCTTAAACCCAACAGATTTAGGGTATTTGATTACAAATATTTAAAGTAAACTACTTAGAACTTAGGAATAGATTGATTTATGAGATCCGAATATGAATAGCAGATTTTAAATGAGGATGTGTATCTGGAAACCCTTTTATCCAAAGTTGACCATATCCAAAACCTTAAAACCAAATGATATGTAGGTGAACGAGAGCACCAAAGGCTCATGGCCATGATGAAGGTTTAGACAATACCCAACCATTGGTTGCCTGGAGTCACTCACCATGTCCGGCTTGTCCTGCAGAAGGGTCTTGATGCGCAGCACCGCCGCGGGAGTCTGAAACGGATCGAAGATGGGAGCATTAGGACCAGAACGACTGGGACTGTTACTTCATCAGCAGCACGCGCCGATTTCACCAGGCTGTGCACTTCTTACCAGGGTCAGAGCGGCCCGCGTCGGGATCAGCTTGCGACCCTTGACCGCCCGCACCGTAGCCGTTGCCACCACACGTGTCGCCATCGCTTCCTGCGCTTTATATAATTTGTTTTCCCTCGACAATTTCCACAAAAATGTTTTGAGTGCTACAATCAGATAGTGCTGACACTACTGTCGATATTGTCACGTGAGATGACATGAGCTGAAGCAATCGATAGCTAGGTACGATAGTACGATTTTTTTTTGAAAATCAACATTTTTTTGCTATTAACTTTGAATGAAAGATAACGAAATAACTAATAAGTTATTTAACTATGTAATACATATAATATATAGTACTTTTAACTTATTAAAGCGACCAATCTTGACTGCTTCATTAATATGAATTACGTATGGTTTTGTAAAGGTCAAAAGTGCCATCCCTAATCCGAACTGTATTTCACACTATTCGGTCGAATTAAATAATACCAATAAAATCATCAATATGTCCGCTCTGAGACAAGTGTACAAAATCAGTAACGGCGTGGCAAGACGCACACTGTATGAAAATACTCGAAAAACGCAAATCAAGGCTATAAACACCGCACAATTCCAGTTGCAATTGCAACATTTTGCTACCAAAACACAAACAGCTGTTTCTGGCAGCAACAACAACAACAACTACACGTGCATTTGCCGCCACTTACACTGCAGCAAACCGGTGGTAAGTTTTTTAAATCTATAGGTATAGCTCTTTAATAATTGGGATGTTACAAAATATAAAAAGTAAGGAAAGTTGCAAGGTTTGAGTAGCTATAGTTTGTATTTTCCACCTTAAATAACTTATATATAAATAAATAAATAAATAAACATCATATTTACTATTTTAAATGTACAATTTTATTTAAATTCTAAAAGGGTGTATTGCTGTTTTAAGTTATTTTTTAATATTACAAAAACGAATTGGACGCTTGAGTTATACTATTCTGCTTAAGGTTAAAATGAGGTACAAATAGCATACATATTCACAAACAAAAAACTTAAATTAGATAAATAGTATTCCCGTCCTTCCCCAGGAAGATGCGGATAAGACGGTGGCCACCAGTAGCGTACCCCTGGCCAAGTTGGAATCCAAGATGCAGCTGATTTACACCTGCAAGGTGTGCCAGACGCGGAACATGAAGACCATTTCGAAGGTGGCCTACCAGCGCGGCGTTGTCATCGTGACCTGCGAGGGCTGCTCCAATCACCACCTGATCGCCGACAATCTGAATTGGTTCACGGATCTGGAGGGCAAGCGCAACATCGAGGAGATTCTGGCGGAGAAGGGCGAGAAGGTTATCCGCCTGACCGACGGTAATTGCGAATTTCTGCCCAAAAACGATTAAAAGTGTGGCGTGCGTGATGTGTTAACTGAATACGAAGGCCACTTTATTGAGCAGCTGCAGCAGCTGGGTCCAAGAACTGGGGGACAGGATGGTGCGTAGCTGCTGGACGAACTGGAGGCGGCACGGCGAATGTGTGGCCACCATTAGGTGGGTCACATAAATGGCCTCGTTCAGGGGCAGTTGCGACGCATCCATGGCCGGAGCGTCCGCACTCATTTGCATCTCATCCAGGTTCAAAAAGGGCAGGTTTCGGCTCCAATGGCCGCTTAGGTAGGCACTCAGGCTGCCAGCCAGACGCTTGTGCTCCAGACAGGCCCAGAATCTCACCTCGCTGCCCGGCTGCGATACGAACAGGTAGATGTTGTGCAGAAAACCGGCGCAGGCTGATGATGGTGACCGCGCTTCCATGAGAGTGTCGCAGATCATGTGACGCAGTAGGTGGCAGTCGGAGTGAATGTCGCTATCCCTCGATTCCCGGAAGAGATGCAGCCACACCTGGAAGCCCACCAGTTTCAGGGCTCGCTGCAGAGCGATTTCCATGTGCTGCAGGCTGGACAAGCGACCGATCCGCTTCACCAGGCGGCGCATATGCTGCAGTTCCAGACTGATGAAATCGCTACTGGTCAGCGCATCCGATCGCCGGATCTCCGACCAGTCCAGATCCTGGATTACGCTCCAGGCTGGCTGAATCTCGGCGAAGGTCCGGTGCATCAGGTGTAGCACCACCGCATGCGTTTCTCCCTTTTTCGTGTTTACAATGGACGTGCACAGCTCCCGGATGCACTGTCTCCGTTCCTCCGGCGTGGAGCTGGCCGCGAAAAAGCCATGCGAGTCGCAGCGTTCCGCCAGGGGCTCGCCAAAGCGATCGTAGCACTCGAACAGGTACAGGTGGGCCTTCAGCAAGGACTCTATGAGGGATTGGCTGAGTCGCAGGTGGCGGTGCTCGGAGCGCATCTCCTCCTGGCAGGAGCACAGCCAGGTAAGCAGCTTGAGGCAGTGCGGCGCCACATCCTCCAGTCCGGTGCTGCTGCTCAAGGTCAGCTCCTTGCTGATAAACAAATCCATTTGCTCTGCAGCTGTTTAAACATCGATGGCACAATCGATTGGAGCGATCGTTTACCGCCAGCCGATGATATCGACAGACGTCATAGTATCGATAGCATGCAACCAGCTGTTCTAACGATGATTTTTCATTCAATTTTAAATTTTGAAAGCCGTTTTGGGAATTGGCAAAAAAAACTGATTATTTCAGAGTTTTTTTGTAGTAAGATTGAAGACAATAAATTTAGTTTTGACACAAAAACCGAATTTTGAAAATCTTTTTTTGAAAGATTTATTTATGTCCAAATTTCTGGCTTTTTTATAAGGGGGTACATCATCATTTTTTGCAGAAATTTGAAAATCTGAAAAAATTTTAACTGTGAATGCCATTTGATTGGAAATTTTATTACGAATTCAACGGTGTATGACATTCCAACATTAGACCATTATTTCCCAGGGTTTTGACACAAAAACCAAGTTTTCAATGTGTTTTTTTGGGGTTTTTGGCGATTTTTCAAACAAAAATATTTCTGAAGAGTCTTTTTGCTGTAACTTTTCCAAAATAGGACCTATAGTCAAAAGAGTTGCTATTTTGAACAGCTGGCAACCTATACCATCCATCCCTGATCGATTGAAAACAATTAATTGAGTTTTGACAAAAAAACCGAATTTGAAAATCGTTTTTTGAAAAATTTATTTTTGTCCAAATTTCTGACTTTTTTGTAAGGGGGTACATCATCATTTTTTGCAGAAATTTGAAAATCTGAACAAATTTTAGCTGAGAATGCCATTCGATTGGAAATTTTATTACGAATTCAACGGTGTATGGCATTCCACATTTGGACCAATGTTTCCAAGGGTTTTGACACAAAAACCAAGTTTTTAATGTGTTTTTTGGGATTTTTAGTGATTTTTCAAACAAAATTATTTCTGAAGAGTCTTTTTGTTGTAACTTTGCCAAAATAAGACCCATAGTCAAAAGAGTTGCAGTTTTGAACAGCTGGCAACCTATACCATCCATCCCTGATCGTTTGAAAACAATTAATTGAGTTTTGACAAAAAAACCGAATTTTGAAAAACGTTTTTTGAAAAATTTATTTTTGTACAAATTTCTGACTTTTTTGTAAGGGGGTACATCATCATTTTTTGCAGAAATTTGAAAATCTGAAAAAATTTTAACTGTGAATGTCATTTGATTGGAAATTTTATTACGAATTCAACGGTGTATGACATTCCAACATTAGACCATTATTTCCCAGGGTTTTGACACAAAAACCAAGTTTTCAATGTGTTTTTTTGGGGTTTTTGGCGATTTTTCAAACAAAAATATTTCTAAAGAGTCTTTTTGCTGTAACTTTTCCAAAATAGGACCTATAGTCAAAAGAGTTGCTATTTTGAACAGCTGGCAACCTATACCATCCATCCCTGTTCGATTGAAAACAATTAATTCAGTTTTGACAAAAAAACCGAATTTTGAAAAACGTTTTTTGAAAAATTTGTTTTTGTCCAAATTTCTGATTTTTTTGTAAGGGGGTACATCATCATTTTTTGCAGAAATTTGAAAATCTGAAAAAATTTTAACTGTGAATGTCATTTGATTGGAAATTTTATTACGAATTCAACGGTGTATGACATTCCAACATTAGACCATTATTTCCCAGGGTTTTGACACAAAAACCAAGTTTTCAATGTGTTTTTTTGGGGTTTTTGGCGATTTTTCAAACAAAAATATTTCTGAAGAGTCTTTTTGCTGTAACTTTTCCAAAATAGGACCTATAGTCAAAAGAGTTGCTATTTTGAACAGCTGGCAACCTATACCATCCATCCCTGTTCGATTGAAAACAATTAATTCAGTTTTGACAAAAAAACCGAATTTTGAAAAACGTTTTTTGAAAAATTTGTTTTTGTCCAAATTTCTGATTTTTTTGTAAGGGGGTACATCATCATTTTTTGCAGAAATTTGAAAATCTGAAAAAATTTTAGCTGTGAATGCCATTCGATTGGAAATTTTATTACGAATTCGACGGTGTATGACATTCCATATTTTGACCATTACTTCTACTTCTCGTTTTGACAAAAACCCTACTTTTGCATTCTTTTTTTAGGGTTTTTGGAGACTTGTCCAAAAACAAAGTTCTTAAGAGTCCTTTTGTTGTAAGTTGGCCAAAATTAGACGTATAGCCATAAGAGTAACTGTTTTGTACAGCTGGCAACCTTTACTATCCATCCAGAGTCGATTTAGAAAAATTGAATATGAGACCAATTTTATGCATTTTTCATAAGGGGTTACGTCATTATTTTTTCCGACGAATCCAACGATGTATGACTTTCCAACATTTGATCATTACTTCCCGATTTTTGAAATGTTTTTTGGGAAAAATTCGACGCTAAAATCAGTTAGTACCCTGCTCTCCAGACAAATTGTTCAGTCGTGACCATGTGAAGAAGTGACTTCTGCAAATGTATTATGATAAATGAGCTTATTCTTACTTTATTCCACATTCTTTAAGTTACATCTGCGGCTCATTATTCCAAAGGTAAACTTAAAATGCATAACATAAGGACTTATCTCTTATATCAAAATACTTTAATCCATTTAATTATTTTCCTTTACTTCCCCCCGTTTATCTTCGGTAAATACACTTAAGTAAACAAGAAACCAAAGTGTATAATCTGTGTGCTTATGTGCATTTGCGTTCTATGTACTACGTTTAATCCTTTGCTATTCGGTTTCGTGTTTATGTAAATAAAAATTTGTGTTATCATTTATATAAATCCTTTTTTTTAATGAAAATGTGCAAAACGACAGGGATTGATTCCAAAAAAAATTATAATAGATGAGTTTCACAGATAAATTTAAATGAAATATGCTTGTTCAGCGTTTGTATCAGTTATTTTAGGGTTGCTTGTTTTTTTTTTTAGGTTTCCTTCGATTTTTTCCGTTTCTTTTGAAAATTTAAGAAAATATATATTGTATATATATAGGCGCGAAAAATTAATAATTAATTCAACATTTTTATATATACTATATAACTATATGTACTGTGTATGTATGCAGTTTCTGTTGCCGCTATCGCACATTTGCAGTGGCTGTTCTGTTCTGTTCAAATCAATTATGCATTTCTCGTCGTGCTGCCCGTGTGGCGTGGCGTATTAGGAATAGTGTTGCGTCCATTGTTTCTGGTTCTGATTCTGGTTCTGATTCTGTTTACTTTGCTTGCTCCTCGGTTGGCCACTGAGGTTCTTGTTTAGGCGAAGCCAAAGCCCTCGGAGCACTCATGTATGGCCTTTAGCAGGCAGCTCCGCAGTTTGTCGTAAGACTTGTACATGGGCAGATCCAGTTGGTTAAAGCTGCAATCGAGAAATGAAATTGTTTGATTATAGAATTGTGAAGTATCATCTTAAAGCACTAAACTAATCCCCATAAATCTAAACTTAAAGCAAAATTATAAATTTATATTGAAAATAAATATTATTGATAATCAATTTATTGATTACTTTTATTTAAGTGTTTATAGCACAACTCTGTACTAATAAAAACAGTCAAAAACAAATCAATACAAAACAAAAATTACATCCACTGATAAAGTTTCTAAAATTAAAATTAAATTAAATTAGAAATTAAAATTTCCATATAAAACCCAAAAAGTCGTTTACACAATAAGTAATCCTTATAATATTTTGGAATTATCTTTAAAACAACTTTAGACGAAGGCCTCGTAGCTTTAGTTTTGTAAACTATACAATTCTTTATAATAAATAAAATAAAAATGATTCTTTACTCACCAGGTATGTGCACAGGGCAACCGATCGGTGGACCGATCGTCCCGGTGGATTTGGAACTTCTGAATCCCGTTCATGCCCTCCAGGGAGCCGAAGCCCTGCAGCGGCACCTTCGAGGTGCCAGTGACGAACTGCAGGAACTTGGCCCGGTCCGCTTGGTCAAAGCTGCGCAATGCACGCCAGAACCATTGAATCTGATGGACGAAATGAGATGGTATCGCCATGGTAAAGGCATGGTTTAGAGCGGGATGGCCAATATCTTACCTGGGCCGATTTGGAGGTGTACTTGTGGTACTCGGTGTTCGCCTTTAGATCTTCAATGTCAATATCCGGCAGACCGGATATGAGAAGCTCCAGTTCCTGTTCGTTGAATATCGAAATTAAATGCTTTGGAATAATGTCGTAGAATCCCTCGAGGAATGCGTCCAATCTGGATAAAGAGAGAGAGAGAGAGAGAGTGTGTGAATCCATGACATGGTCAATCAAGAATATATATATATAGTACTCTATACTTACTGCTGTCGAATGGAGCCGCTCATCTTTAGCTGGCACACCAGCTGCACATACTCGAACTTGTTCTCCTCGGTGACGGCGGTGTCGCGTCCGTTTGGCTTGAGATCACGGATCTGGGTGACACCGAACTCCTGCACCTCGGTGGAGAAGGTCAGCTCGTAGCCCAGTGTGGAGATGTCGTTCTTCATGAGATAGTCGAGGCCCTTGTAGAACTCGTAGTCCTGCGACTCCATGTCCGTGTGCTTCACCTGCTTGCCCAGGATGTGCTTGTAGAAGGATCGGGTGAAGTAGCACTCCAGCAGCTTGTTGTCGTGCACAGCTTTGGCTGTTTTTTTTTTTTTTTCGAGTGAGAAATAACGAACGTGGCATTCAAAAGCTGATATAAAGGATAATAGTCGACAATTGCCTTACCAATTACGCGGCCGACGAACTTGAAGTAGCTCAAGTGATTCGGATTGGCATGGCTGGAGGGATTGATCATGTAGGTGACGCGATCGCCCGGCGACACACAGAACAAGGCATACATCGGATTGAAGATCTCGCGCGAGATGATCACATACCATTCGCGCAACAGGCCGCCAGCATCCTGGCCCTCCTCATCTGTAAATATGGGGAAAATGCATGCACATTAGTCATCATACATCAAATTCGGTCCGTTTTGGGGCAACAAAAACTCACCCTCGAAGACGATGTAGAAGCGGTTCTTCCACTCCTCCGGTCCCAGGCGGTACAGCACGCGGAACGAGTCCTCGAAGACGGTCACGCGACGCACACTGACCGTGTGCTCCTCGCGCCGGATGCCCTCGTCCAGGCGCTCCAGCTCCGTCTGGAAGTACTTGCGCTTGACGTCAAAGTCCAGGATGCGCGTGTGGTCCACCAGCACGGCGAAGGGCCCATCCGACAGGTGAGTGGGCGACTGGCGCAGGATCTGATTGAGCACGGTGCGGTGCTTCTCGGCGAACTGAAGGAACTTCTGGCGGTCCTGCCGCAGCTGCGCCTCGTGGGCGCTCAGCGCTGTGCCCGCAGAGCTGCTGGCCGCCAGCGGCGTGTTTGTGGAGGCATCCTGCATCCGCGGCTCATCTGGTAAAGATCAATAATGTAATGTCAGTTATGATTTAAATTTACTGTATAGACACTAGACTTTCAAAAAATCAATCTATTAAAAATATTAGCTTAATTAATAAATTAAATTATTTATACTTAAAAACAAATATCCTGTGAAATTGGTTTTTAAATTAAATTTTAAACCCGTTTTCAACGAAATGCCATTTTTAAAATAGGTGACAACATAAGTCAACAATTAATTGACCGATCAAATAAACATCTAATAAGCATTCTTGAATATATTTCTTATAAGCCCACGAGATTTTTGATTGATTTAAAATTATAAAAACAATCATTTTGTTCCCCAAAAAAAATGCACTTTTGTAAAAAAAATCCTTAAAATATACTTTTAAAAAGCACTCCCTAAAATCGGTCAATTTCTCATGGGTTGCACCAGTATAGCCCCTGAAATATGCCTTAAACTCACCTTCGAAACTGGCCGAACTGAGGGTGTTGGCGCTGCTCGTGTCGTCCATCGATGGACTGTGCTCCTGGGCCGCAGACGACGCGGATGGTGCACCAAATCCGCCAGCTGCTCGCAGTGCAGAGCCCACCACTCCGGCCAGGGAATTGCGAGACGACTTCTTGGCGGCACCGCGATGCGAGGCGTGGATGAGGAAGAACGCCTCCACGGTGGGCTGCAGCACCAGGACGGCGAACTCGTCCTTGGACTCCTCCAGCGCCACCAGGCACTCGCTGAGCGTGTGCCACAGCACGTCCAGGCACAGGATCTGACTGAGTGTTGGCTTGTTGGACTTGACACCGCCAGCAGTCGCCGCTGACGCGTGGCCGACTCCCGGGGAGTCCCTTGCCTCGTCCTCATCATCGTCATCATCCTCGTCCTCGTCACCAACGCCATCTACATCTGCATCGGCATCACCATCATCGTCGTCGTCATCGTCGTCGTCGTGCATCGCCGTTTGATTGGTTTCCATGGGCGGCGGAGGCGATATGGTGCTGGCCGATCCGGGAGCCATGTCCGAACTGCTGCCACCCGAGGCACCGCCATCGCCCACAATGTCGATGATGTCGTTGTCGTTGTCGTCGTCGTTGTCGCCAGCAGCAGCACCGCTGGCCAGTCCACCACCGCCACCTGCACCGCTGGGCAATCCGTTCTGTGCCTCGTACATATCACGCACCTGCATGAAGATCTTGAGGGTGCGCAGGAAGTAGGGCTGGGCGGAGGAGTTGGACATGAGCTTCTTCATCGACGGCAGCTGCAGCTCGCACGTGGGTTTGGCATTCTTCGGCGCCGAGATGATCACATGCTCCGCGGTGAAGCGATCCTGCATGATGCCCTCGTGGACGGCCAAGTTGGGCAGCAGACTGGCGCCCGAAACAGTGGGTGCTACTCCGGCTACTGCCGCTGCGGCCGCCGCTGCAGCCGCTCCAGATGTGGAGGCAGTCTGCGAGATGCTGCCGGTCACACCGTGGTGGATGTTGTACATGCGTATCTCGTTGAGCAGCATCTGGATGGCCTGACGCACCTCCTCGGCCAGGCCCAGAATGGCGGCGGTCAAGTACTGGATGAAAATCGCATTCGATGCCTGCGAGCATTGCGTGAGGTTGACAATCAGCTTGGCCACGTTGTCCAGGCCCTCGGTGGTGCCGCACTGGTGCGTCAGCACCTCGATGACCAGCTGCAGCTGCGAGAAGTTCTTGGCGTAGATCTTGCGGCGTGGCTTCGACGGCGCCACCGGCAGGGCCACACTCAAGGTGGGCAACTGGGTGCGCTTCACCGTGCTGGCATTTCCATTTCCATTCCCATCACCGGAGGCCGGATTACCGCTGGCCGGAGCCACCTGCTCCTCATTGTTGGCCGTGTGTCCGTCACCAATCTCGCTGGCACTACTGGCCTGCGAACTCTCCGCCGCCGTGGCAGAGGAAGAGGCAGATGCAGATGCAGATGTTGCCGCTCCTGGTCCTGCTCCTGTTCCTGCTACTGGTATGGGTATGAGGGCGGGCATTTGATCGGTGAGCGGCAACTGCTCCTCCTCCTTGGGCAGCTCGGTGCTGAGCGAGGCCAGCAGCTTGACCAGCATGTCCGTGAGATGGGGCGAGCGGCAGATCACCTTGTAGGGCAGCATCTCGAGCAGCTGGCCAAAGGGCGATTCGCTGAACGAGAGGAAATCGGCCGTGTTGGACTGCCACTCCCACGCTGGCTGCGAGGTGAGCGGAAACTGGTCCACATGGGCCAGGCGTACCTGCGTCTGCCGGTCGATGTTCAGCACCACGTCCCAGAAGTTCTTGGCATTCGTCTGGTACGGCACCGAGTGCTGAGCCATGCTGCCGGGAGCGGACACTTTGGCGCTGGCCGCTGCCTTGGCTGCCGCCGCCTTCGATGTGGAGGGCGCCTCATCCAGAGGCGTTGAGGGCTTCGACGGTGCTGATGCTGATGCTGGTGCTGGGTGATCGTCCAGTATGCCACGCAATCGATTGGCCACCTGGTAGCGGCAGAAACGTGAACGGAAGTCGAGTGTGCCACCCGGCGGTACATCATCGGCTGCCAGGCGTCCCGCTACTGATCCGCCGGCCGATCCGCCGGCCGCTCCTCCCGCTCCTCCAACTCCCGCTGCTCCTGCGCCGCCAGCGGTGGGCGAGGGCATGCCAAAGACGGCACTCAAGAGGCGGCGGGCCTTGACCTCGCGATTGTAGGGCACAAAGCTGGATGGATAGTGCTTGGCCAGCACGAACAGCAGATCCAGACAGTTGCGCACTATCATCTGCGCCGCCTGCGGATTGATGCTGATGCTCCGGGCACTGCCCTCGTACAGCCGATTGATCAGGAAGATGTTGCTCTTGTACCCAAAAGCCGCGTCCACGCGCAACTTCAGCCACTCGGGCTTGCCGCCCGCCTGTCCAGCCCCAAAGTTGGCATTGTCCTCGTTCGTCTTCTGCACGATGCTGATCAGGGCGTTGATGATCCAGTCGCGCGTCGGTTCGTGGTGGCACAGGTTGCGGATGACGCGGTGCAGCCGCATGCTGTTCACCTTCTGGTCCTCGACGAACAGGAAGAGCAGCAGGGTGGCCAGCGAGTCCGGATCGAGCAGAATGTTCTCGTCCTCCATCATCAGCAGCGCCAGTGGTTTGCCCATTGTGGGGGCATGGTGTGCGTGCGCGTGGTGGTGCACGATCGTGGTGTGCTGGTGGTGCTGATGGTGCTGCGGCTGGGCATTGCCACTGGCATCGTACCAAATGGAGCTGTGCCAGCGTGCCTCGTCCAGGCTTTGCAGCGTGGTCTGGAAACGGGCTGTTTTTATAAAAAAAAAATAGAAATTGAGGATAGATCAGTGGGTTTTCAAATAGCTGTATCATACACAATTTCCTTTGTTTGTCTCATTTTTAAGAGATTTTACAATTTAAAAACTCAAAAAAATATACAAGAAATAAGAATTAAAAATAGTTTTCGATTAACATCGAAAATAAAAATTGAATTTAAATATCTTTTGAACCGAAAAAGACAGAGAAAATATTGGACTATATATATATTAAATTATATAAAAATATATATTAATACTATTTTGTAAAGCTGATCTATGAGCCACAAGAGTCATGAGTCCCGTGTTTTGGATCAGACCAAGCTGATCATGTTATCTGGCCATGAGCTTGGCCATTCGAATTAAAAATATAACCGACATGAAGCCACCTTTCCAGTCATTCAGCAGTCGTATAACCGAAATACTCACATAAAGCATTGCTGGGCGGATGAGCGTCCATGCGGGCGCCATTGCGTGATTCCCAGTCGCGACGCAGGAACTGCGCCTCGGCAGCCAACTCGGGCGGCAAACTGGCTATCTGCGACTCCTCCATGTCGGTGAGTATCTACATACACATGGATTATAAACATTTAGTTTGTATATTCACTTGACATTCGCAAACGCACACAAACACTTACCGCTTGACGCAAATTCTCGGGCAGGTTCTGGAAGAAGGCGGCCGTGTCGACGGGATCCTCCGGATTGGCGGTCTGTGCCGCCTGGCGCTGCTGCTCGATGCGCTGCTGCATGAGCACCTCCGACTGGATGTTCAGAGGCAGGGCGGCCAGGAACTCCGGATTGACCTCGACCAGCGAGTCGTGGGCTATTTGAATGGCATTCTGCTGCGCCCGCTGCCGGATGCGCTGCATGCGCAGATGCTCCTGGATGACCTCCTCGCGCATATCGCTGGGCAGGGCGGCCAAAAAGGAGGGATCCACGCCCTCGGGCACCTCCAGATCACCGAGTGCGGCCCGAACCTCAGGACTCATGTCGGTTATGGTGGCTGTTGTGCCAGCTGCTGCTGTTCCTGCTCCACCACCTCCACCACCAGATGCTGTGGCAGCATCTTCAGCTGATGCCGAGGTCTGTGTACTGGCCGATGCAGCTCCTGCCGCACCAGACTCCACTGGCGTGGGCTCAGTTGTGGGCGGAGCCTGTGGAATTGGCGGAGCAGCTTCGCGGCTGCCTTCAGCAATTGGATCCGCTTGTGGGTTTGACTCGTTGGCAGCCTCTGTGTTTCCGGCTGCTGGTGCCGCTGTAGCCGCAGGTGACTCCGTGGGGAACACCGTTGGGAACGCAGTGCCGGGCCAGAAATCGTCTTCGTTGAGGACCACCGGCTGCGTGTCACCGGGATGTGGCGGCAGCGGTGGCGACAGCTGCGGCGGCATGTCCAGAAGGCCGGGCAGCACGTCCACATCCACCTCCAGAGAAGGCGGCAGGGCAAAGCCCGCAACATCCGGTGCGCTGACGTTTAGCTGCTCCAGATTTGCACTGGAAATGGGCGTCGGCATGGAGACCAGCGTGGGTGCTGGCGTAGATCCGGCGGAGGCGGCACTGCTGCGGCCGGAAACGGAACTGTGGGCCTGGACCAGACGCTGCAGACGGGCGGGCAGGTCGCGATTGGGCCGGGCATTGATCAGCGCCGATCCCGAGGTGCGCGAGGAGTTCGTGTGTCCGCTGGACACTTGCAAGCGACTGCGGACAGCCTGGCGATCGGCCAACTGGAATCGAAAATGGAAGTGGTTCTGAATCAAGTACTCACACAATATGATAATCTACAATAAAAATCCTTTTTTAAAGAACGCAAATACCTTTAAGCAACCATTCTAACCACCTCTCTAACCCAAAATCATTGAGTTTGTATATTACTACCACTATTATTTTTTACTTACTATAACTTACTAACACCTTCAACTGATTGATGAAGACATCCTATAAGTTTAAGCTATAAAATAAATAAATAAATACGCAATAACCCCCTGAGCCCAGAATTAAGCAAATACTATTTGTTAATAAATAAAATATACAATATGAAATACTATTATTAAGCAAACTTCTTGACCTTTTCTCTAGCCCAAACTTCATCCACTTGTTAAAATTCCTTGAGTTCACAAAAAACACTGATATTATTCACTTACTTTAAGTCATTTAAATCTACAACTTGTTGATTAAGGCATATACTTTAAGATTAAGTTGAAAATATCTTTTAAATAAATATGCATTAAGCAATCAGCCCGAAATTAATGAGCATATACTATAGCTTATTAACTAAAATATAAGTATGTAATCTACCTGCAAGAGTAGCAGCTCCGCCTCATCCAGACGCGAGTGGGGACGCGATGGTCTTCCGCTGGACGGCAGGAGTGGCACTGGCGGATGTCGCTGATGATGGAGCACTGCTACCTGCGGCGCCGACGACGATGCCGATGGCGATCCCGATGGCGGTGCTGGTGCCGAAGAGGACAAGGAGGAGTTTTGCTGAGACTGTGACTGTGGCTGCTGGTCTGCTCCATCGGCTGGAGCTGCTGCTGCTGCTGCCGAGTTGTTGGTGGAGGTGGCACCCTGGCTATCCTGCTCGTTGGTGAGGTCAATCTCGGCGTAGATGTTGAAGGGCAACTGACTGTGCTGGCGCAATCCGCCGCGTTGGCGGGACGCACGTGTCGTGGTCGTCTGCGTCGTCTCCAGGGATCCACCACTGCCGCTTAGGGGCGCTGCAAAAAAAGGATCATTAGTCTGCCATCTATACACTTAGTAGTTTCATCCACTACTCACTGGTTGTGGGTATGTAAGGGCTAGTGGTTGCGCCAGTGGTGGCCGCAGTCTCGCCAGATGCACTGGCCAAACTGCTGGTGGCCCCAAAGCTTGAGGGGATCAGCACGGGAATCGAGCTGCGTCGGGTGCCTCCCGTGGCAGAGGCGGCCACCGGTGGCACCACCACACCGCTGCCTCCCGCTGTCGCATTGGCCAGCAGACTGGAGGCAATCGAGGCTGTTGCTGTGGGCGGCGCCGCTGTGGCCACCGCCGTTGAGTTGGCGGACGTAGTCGCTCCAGGCGGTGCCGCCGCTGTTGTGCTGGCCGTCGTCGTCTGACGGGCGGCTTCCTCCTGCTTGCGCTGCTGGTGCGCCGTCTTCAGCTCCTTGATGAGATGCGGCAGCAGGAAGTGGGCGGCATACAGGCAGGCATCAGTCTGGCTTTCCATGTCAAGAAGCGTGGCCTCCTCCAGCCACCAGTGAAGAGCTGTAATGGGACGGCAAGGTCATTAGTATACTCCTTACCATTTTAGTAAACCCCTTCTAATAACAACAAAATCATTACATTCCTTACAAAAACAAATCTCATATGTATTTAAATTGTAATTTGTAATTTAAATTGTTCAAAATGTTATCTTAAGCTAATTAAATAAACCAGCGGAAGGCCCTAGTCCCTAATGCTCTTCATTTTAGTTTTTACTATAACTTAGCTTTATATAAATAAATAAATACATCAAAATGAATTTAGTGGCATTAAATTAATTTAAAAACAAAAATAAGTAAAAACATTTCAATATCTTTATACCCAACATAGTTTTGTATCAAGATAGAAACAAATCTTTACCAAGGTAAGGTACAAAAGTAAGGTATTAGGTACCAGAAAATGGTACCTACCTACCCACTAATATTATATCGAGGTACTGCCTAACAATCCCCTAAAGTACTCACCATCCTGGGTGAAGGTCTCCATCTGAGTCTCCTCCGTGGGATTCTGATGCGTGGGCATGCACACACAGTACTGCTGGTCCAGATAGAGCAACCGCCGGCGCACGCCGTTCGTGCAGAGCGTGGCGTTCGGATGCTGTCCCGTGGCATTACCGCTGGCACCGCCGCCGGTAACTCCGCCACCGCCTCCAGAGGCAGATACTCCGCCACCGACACCGCCGACGCCGCCTGTAACCGATGGCTGCTCGTCGAGGAGATTGCTCATGTTCTGACCACCACCGACGCCAGCGGCACCACCGCCGCCAGTCCGGTCCAGCTGCGACATGGAGGGCGTGAGGAAGGCGTTCACCTCACCCCCATTGGCATTGCCAGCCGATGCGCCGCTGCCGGAGGCACCACCTCCACCGGTTCCGCCGCCGGACACGCCAATGAAGTTGAAGTCCGGGGCCATCCAGGAGCCGGACGAGGGACGCAGGGCGGCGGAGGCAATGGCTCCGATGCTGGCCGTTGTGCCGCCCGTGGACGAACCTCTGCCGGTGGTCGCCGTCGATCCAGAGATGCCCGCACTGTTGCCGCTGCCGCTGCCACCGTTCACATCGATGTCCAGCGGCTGGGCAATGGAGCTGTTCATGCGGACGCGGAAGCCCACCGGCGGGGTGGGCATCAGACCGCTGCTGCCCAGTCGCTCGTACAGATAGGCCTCCGCCTGGGCGGACGAGGGACCGCCAATGGGGTCCACATCGGGATCGTGGTCGGGATCACCGTCGTCCACGTCGTCGTCCTCCTCGTCGTCCACCTCGTCCACATCGGGATTGGGACGATTGGCGATCTGGTTGTCGCCAGAGGCATTCACCGCTGCACTGCGTCGCGGACGATTGTTGGACGAGACGAGGGCAATGGCTATGTCAATCTGGTGGTCCAGCTCCGCATCCATGACGCTCTCTCTCTCCTCGCGATCCTCGTCGTCGTTGTCTTCGTCATCATCGTCGTCGTCGTCCACATCGTCCTCATCCTCGTCATCGTCATCGTCGTTGTCCACGTCCGCATCGTTGGAGGCCGTCTCCGAGGATTCCGGCTCGTAGATGTGATCGAAGACCTCGATGAACTGGCGCGGTCGCTCCTCGTCCACATCCGTCTCGCTGTGCTCGTCCACATCCTCGTCGGGGGCGTCGTCATCCTCGTCCTCGTCCTCCTCGTTCCGCTCGTCGTTCTCCGTGGAGGCGTCCGAGTCCGAATCGGAGGTGCTCACCTCGCCCAGCAGCGAGGGATTCATGTCGCGGGCGCCACCTCGTGCTCCAGTGTCCGAGGAGGTGGATGCACCATCACTGCCCCCGCCGCCTCCGATTCCATTGTCATTGACGACGCCTGCGTTGGATCCGCCGCTGTTGCCGCCGCCCACGCTGCCTCCATTTCCACTCCCGCCGCCCACATCCACGTCCGGATTGAGGGTGCGCAGGCGGGGATCTCCGCCAGCGGAATTGTTGCCCGAGTTGGCGGAACTGGCCGACGCAATGCTGCCGTTCTGTGCTCCGGTTGAGCCGCTGCCGGCGGCTCCACTGCCCGATCCGGCGCCAGCGCCACTGCGCGAGGCCAGGCGCAGACCTTCGCTCTGCAGGAAGTCGTCCCACAGCTGGTCAAAGTTGAGCACTGGTCGCACCGGTCCTCCGCCGCTGGCCGACGATTGGCCAGCTGCCGATGAGCCCGAACTGACTGTGGCGGGTGGATCGTTGGTGTCGCCGCCATTGCTCCGTTCCTCGACCACGTCGATAACGGCTGCTCCGGTGCCGCCACCTGCTCCCGATCCGGATCCGGATCCCGATCCCGCCAGGCCTCCTCCCGCGCCGCTTCCGAGAACGACCGCTCCACCCAATCCGCCTCCGGGTGCCGACGAGTCCTCCGAGTCCACGGCCATCTCGTCCGAATTGAAGATGAACTCAAAGGCGTGCCGCCTATCGGACAGCACATTGCGGATGATGTCGCGCAGCACATGCTCGCCGCCCATCGCATTGGAGCGCTCCACGGCGGCACTGACGGCGGTGCGTGCGGCCAAGCGGGGATACAGTCGCCGGTTGATGATGGTGCCGTAGGTGTTGCCCGATCCGGGTCCGGTGGCGTTGGCTCCGCCGGCAGCACCGCTGCCATTGCCAGTGCCATTGGCTCCGCCACCGCCGGCGCCCACACCGCCAAAGAGGATGCGCTTCGAGCCGAGCGTTGTGGTGGACACACTGAAGCGCAACAGGATCTCCATGGGACGCAGTATGGCCGCCAGTGTGCTGAGCGTGTTGTGATTGGACAGATCCTTGTACTGGGCCACCTTGGTCAGGTAGGTCATCACGCCCTGGCGCAGCAGCACGCGGTACATGTTGTTGCGGTGCATGTGCACCTTGTCGTACAGCATCGGCGACTCGATGAGATTGGGGAACAGGCTCATCAGCACCTGCAGCCGCGTGTGCTTCTCGGCAGAGTCGGGCTGGGCCAGCGCCCTGGCCACCGCCGCGTGCAGCTCCTCGGCCACGTGCACCTGGACACCCGGCTGTTGGTAGCAGTCCGATAGCGAGCAGACCAGCACCCGGGTCATGGTGCTCACCTCGGGGACATGGTGCCGCTGCGTGATGGGCAGGAAGCGGTCGAGCAGCACGCCCAGGAACGTCTGTTGCGGTGCCGAGATCAGGGGACTGTCCGCCGGCGTGTAAACGTGCGACAGCAGCACGCGCGGCACCAGCGACTGGTAGGCACGGGTCGAGTCCGCCAGCAGCTTCAGCAGCGTGGCCCGCGAGATGGTCGGCTTGGCGTGGGTGTGACCGCTGGTCGGGATGTGCCACGTGCAACAGCACGGCTCGAACTTCTCCGTCGGCTGCGCTTGACCAGCAGCAGCTCCTCCTCCTCCACCTCCGCCTGCTGCGCCCGAGGATTGCTTCTTGCTTGTGACGGGTGCGGGCGTCTCCTGGAAGCGGAAATACAACTAATAACATAGTATTTAGTAAAGATATAGCTTTGGAAACCACATATATTGCGTTTTGATGCGTAGTCATGTCCCATACTTGAGAAGCTATAACTTCCATGGCAAAAAGATAATCTTAGAGATATTAGATACCACCCAATGTAACTAGAACATTTCAAATCATTATCAATCTTTAAGGAACTTTAGTTTATACTATTAGCTTTACGAAAATATACAAAATGTTACCAACACTTGTACCTAACATGAAAAACTTATTTTATTATTTTTAATAGAGCTGTATATACATACAACTCATTTTTTTTTTTTAATATTTGTTTAAAAACTGGTATAAATATGTTAAATGCGAAATTACACAAAAATTGTTCAGAAGTTGTTTCAAAAATATGTTCAATTGCAATTTTCATAAGCTAAAAAACTATTATTATTTTGGCGCCAACTGTATATACATATGCATCGTATAGTATAAACAACATTTTTAAAAAAGTTTTTGTCAAACTTTGTTCGATTGCCACTTTCTTTTAAGAAGAAATATTTAATATATTATTTTGACCACAGCTGTATATAATTTGTTATCAATATATTTTTTGAAAATATTTTATATCTTTGTTAAATGCGGTTTCTTATTTAGTTTATAGTATTAGCATTTCGAAAATGCAAAAAAAATTTTAAGAAATTGTTTCCAAAATGCAATTTTCATAAGCTAAAAAACTATTATTATTATTATTATTATACTCTGATGTTAGAAAAGTTTTTGCCAAACTGTGCACACTATTGCCATTTCCCTAAGCTACAACTCTACTAATTTGTTGACCGCATCTGTATATCAAAATAATACTAAGTACTAAGACTCACCTCATCGTCGTGGCATCCCTGGGCCGTTCCTGGCGGCTGATCCGGCTGCAGCAGCTCGGCGGCGCCCTGGCCGCGATCCGAGGAGCCGGTGCCGCCGTAGTGCCAGCATGGCTGCACCAGTCCGTGCAGCAGATCCTTGAGCACGGCCACCGACGACTGCACCTGCGGATCGTCCTTGAGAAGGTCCTCCTTGCTGGCCGCTGCTCCCGCCGCGGGCGTGGTGGTCTGGGAATGGGGCGTGGCCCCGCCAGCCGCCGCCGTAGGCTGTTGGCCAAACTTGGACTTGACCATGACGCGGGCATCATCGGCCAGCGTGGTGCTGGTGGTGTTCAGCAAGTACTCGCCACGCAACATCTCCTTGGCGGCGGCCACGAAGATCTGCGGATTGCGCGACACCGCCGACGAGACCTGAGTGAGCACGTAGATGAGATCGCGATGGCTGACGGGCACGATGCCGGCGGCACGCATGCCCAGCACCCGCTCCATGGCCTCCTGGAGGACGGGCGGTGCCTCGAGGACGTGGCGCAGTATGATATTGGCGTAGGTGGGGAAGCCCATGAAGCTGCAGGCCTGCTGCAGATGCAGCAGCATGCGGACGCCACCGCGCCGGATGAACACCTGGGCATTGTCGTAGTTGCGCGTCAATCGTGCACACAGTCGCAGCAGCGACAGCTTCGTCTCGTTGAGCATCAAGTGGGAGGGCTGCAGCAGGTCCACAATGCTGCCAATGATGCGGCCGCAGTCGAACTTGCTCAGGCCCACCTGCTCCTCGTTCAGGATGATCTTCTGGGTGCGCTTGGGTATGGGCGGTGAGCCGGAGCCACCTGGCTGACTGTTGGACTTCACCTTGGCGGCGGCTGCAGCGGCCGCACTCTTCTGTCGCGACTTGCTGCGCGTGGTCATGGCGGCGGCTGGTGGGGATCCGCCACTGACTCCTGGATCCTCACTGCTGGCTGCTCCTCCTCCTCCCTCGTCATTGTTGGAGTTCTCCGGCTGCAGCGGCTGCTGCTGCTGCTGTGCCTGTTGTGTGCCAGCATCGGTAAAGTTGACCAGCTGACGCAGCGAAATCAACTCGTCGGAATGCACGGTGCCGTTGCCGTCGGGCGAGGTGCGCACCACACGATTCAGCACATGCTCCACCTTGAGCAGGGCCATCGGGTTGTTCAGCGAGGTGATGGCCTCGCTCAGCTTGAGGGCCGGACAGACGGGGCGATGTGTGCCGGACGCCTCGCTCACCTGCGTCATGCAGTTGAGGCTGACGGTGCAGCGCTGCCGCCCAATGTTGATGTGCAGCCAGCGCTCGCCGGCCGCATAGGCATTCCGGATGAGCTCGTTGTTGGCCTCCGAGTAGGCATTCCATTTGCCCGTGGAGGCGTCGTACCAGCGCCACACATCGCTGCTCACCGCCCGCATGTTGGCCTTGCGCTGCAGTATGTGACTGATGCTATCGATGGCATCGATCAGGTCCACCAGATTCTGCACCCAGCGGGGCACAGTCGCCCGTTGCTGCTGTTGCTGCTGCTGCTGCTCAGTGGACGACTGCTCCAGCATCCATTGGCTCATGCAGTCGAGCAGCTTGACCAGCGAGACCATGGCATCCTGGGCGGTGATGGCCTCCACCAGCGGCCGATGCAGATCACTGTAGTTCTCCTCGAGCAGCAGCGTGGAGGTCTTGAGGCGGACAAACAGCCGGGTGGCCGTCATCCCGGTCAGGCACTCCTCCAAGCGAGAGGCCTTCGATCCGGTGGACGACTTGGTTGCGCCCGGCTCGAACAGCTGCAGGGTGAAGTCCACCCACTGGATGATGTTGCGCACAAAGTTCGTGACGAAGACCTGTTTGTTCAGGTGATTGTGGCGTCGGTAGAGCACGGCTATCAAGTCGGCGGCACTGGTCACCGTGTCCGGTATGGCCTCCATGAACTCGAAGGCCCGCGAGATGGCCTCGTCGCAGAAGCGGTCAAAGATCAGCGATGGCATCAGCTTCAGGTGCTTGTAGTCATAGCTGGAGCTGGCCGAAGCGGAGGATTTGCTCTGCATGGACTCCCCACCGTCGGCGGGCAGATCCATGTCAATGTCCATGGTGGAGGCCGTTGGCGGTGGCGGCGGCGGCGGAGCAGTCGATGGCCCACCGGCCGGCGTCGTTGTAGACAGAGCACTGGCCTCCGGATTGTTCAGCAGATAGTCGGTGGCCTCCTCCAGCGAGGCATTGGTGCGCAGCGCCTCGATCACGTGGTAGTGCATGAAGCCCATGTCGGTCAGCGTCTTGATGTGATCGGCATTGAGGCCGTCGTCCGTGCTGCGGATGTAGAGGTTCTCGAACTTGATCTCCTTCATGCGTGTGTGGTAGCGATCCAGCAGCATCTGGTGCGACTTGATCAGATGCTTGAGTATGAGGATCATGGTCTCGAACATGCTGGGCCCGTAGTTCGGGATGGGGCGTCGGGCCCAGATGCGGCGCAGTGCCTGCATGGCCAGCTGGTGGATGTGGATTAGGTAGAAGACCGGCTCGAACGGCACCGAATCGGGCAGGTAGTTGAGGCGCGGACTCATCGTGTACGGCGACTCCAGCATGGCGCGCGGATTCACCATCTTTTCAAGCAGCTGCAGCCAGGCGTCGAGGAACTCGCCCGTGCCCTCCGGACAGTCACGCTTGTCGTCCTCGTGCGCCTGCATCAGGTCCTCCATCGAGGCCCACTGATCGAATTCGAACTTCTGCGACACATTGTCCAGCGACAGGGCCCAATAGAACATCTCGAAGAAGGCCTTCAGGCCATTCTCGGCGCAGAACTGCGAGATCATCAGGTGGAAGGCGCTGCGCTTGTCGTCGAACAGCATGGGACCGGTGAAGCCCACCGAGCAGATGAGGAAGGTAAGCTTCAGCTTCGGCACCGGCTTGGGCAGGATGCTCTCGTGACTGAAGCCGTTCACCAGGATCGAGCTGAGGATGCGGGCTATTTCGCGCGCCTCTGGCGTAGGAACTTTGTTGATATTACTGATCAGATCGTTGATGCGACGCTGCCGCGTCTGCGGTGATCCCACCGATAGCTTCACCAACGTGCCCAGCAGCTCGGCCAGCGCTCTGCCCAGTCGCGAGCTGGCCGCCAGTAGGGATTTGATGTACCGGAACTGCTCCTCGGGCGTGTACTTGGTCCGGAACTCGGCCGCGCGCTCCAGCTTCCGGGAGAGCTCCGCCTCGGTGAGGGGATCGGCGGTGCCCGCCGCCGCCGACATTTGGGCTGCAATCTCGTCCCAGATCAAATCCGGATGCTGGGTGGGCTCGTCCGAGCACAGGTTCAGCAGGATGGTGCTCTCCCACACCAGCGAGATGTAGAGTTGGACGAGCTGCTGCAGCAGCTGGACGCCGGTCTCGCGATTCACGCCCCAGCGCTTGAGCAGTATGGCCCGCATGTCGTTGGAGGAGTTGCGGCAGAGATGTACCAGCATCACCACATAGCCGTGCACGAAGCTCATGTTGTGCAGTATGGGCGTGTACTCGGCGTTGGCGAAGCCATCCTCCAGTCGTTGGCAGCAGACGAGCTCGGCCAGCAGGACACTGCCGCCGGGAAAGGTGAAGTGCTTGATCAGCGGCTTCAGCTGGGCCACAATGTCGGCCAGCTGCTTGAGCGCCACGTCCAGCACCTTGGTCTCTTGCGCCTGGCTGAGTATGGCCTTGCAGACATTGGCCACCGCCTGCGAGGTGGTGGACACCGGCGAGTCCACCGGCAGATTGGGCAGCGACAGCAGCTGCAGGATGGGCTTCAGGCCGCCTTGCAGCACAAACTCGCGACAGTGGTCGCCGTTCGGACTGTTGCTGAATATCGCCTCGATGAACTTCATCACGTTCAGGATGTAGTCGATGAGTGGTATGGCCTCGCGTTCCGGTGGCGTCACCACTTTGGCGGCCTGCGATGTGGCTGCTGGTGCTCCTCCTCCTCCTCCTCCTCCAACGCCTGCCGTTTGTGTCCTGGGCGTGGTGGCACCGCCGGGAGTCGTCGGTTGCTGCTGTTGCTGCGAGGCCGAGCTCATCTCGTCATCGTCATCGTCGTCATCGCCGCTGCTGTCGTTCGTGTCCGCTGCGCCCTGCAGCACCGAAGTCGAGCCGCCCGAGCCGGCCACCATGACCATGGGCGAGGGTGTGGACGCCACATGACCGTGGGCACCGCCATGGCTGCCGGAACCGGAGCCAGAGCCACTGCTCTCCTTGTTGGCCCGCCAGCAAATGAAGCTGGGATCGGAGCCCAGGCGAACCAACTCGTTCAGCAGCCGAACGATCGCCTCGGTGGCAACGGCCCGCAAGTACGGATGATGCTTGATTAGGTCGTCCATGGCATTGCCCAGATTGGTGGCCGTGTCGCCGAGCGGATCCGAGGAGCGGCGCCGCCGCATGGCCACCAGGTAGTCCGGTGAGAGCAGCACCTTCAGCACCTTGTCGAACGGATCGTAGGAGAGAAACTCGAACAGTCCGCGCTCGTTCAAGCACAGGGCGGAGAACACGTTGGGCAGGGAGCCAAGCACTTCGCGCGTGGCCGGCACATCCTTGTGGAGCAGCGCCTTCAGCATCACACTGGTGATGCCCAGATCCTGCAGCGAGGAGAGCAGCGACGGCTCGTTGAAGACGTACACGGTGACCACATCGGTGGCCAGCAGGAACAGCGACGGGCCGTAGTACTCCGCATTGGCGATGATGTGGCGCAGCGACTGCGTGAGACTCGTCTCCATGATGTTGCGCATGTTGCTAAAGTGGGCATGGTCCTGGATGCTCTTCTTCAGGAAGTTCAGCATCGATTTGAGCAGGGCCGCCCGCTGGGTGACGCAGGAGGGCTTCTTCGGCGCCAGGCTGCTCGGCAGCTGCGACGATAGCTCCGCCTTGCGCTCGGCCAGCGGACGGGCGTAGTAGCTGTTGGAGGGATACATGATGGTTGGTAGTTGGATGGCGGTTCCATCACTGTTGAATAGTCCTAGGATCGGTCCGGATGCGCCAGCAGCTGCTCCACTACTTCCTCCGACGACACCTGTCAGACTGCGTGCTCCACCAATGTCCAGGAGTCCCGCTCCTGAGCCCGATCCTCCTCCTACTCCTCCGCCAATAAGCTCGTGGTAAGCTCTGTAGGCGCTACTGCCGACGCCGCTGACGCCATCACTAGAGTTCTCGCGACGTGGCGATCCGCTTCCACTGGCCACGGAGGCGTTCTCTCCAGCTCCGTCTGAAAAAGAATATCAAAGCTTTAGTTACCAGTGTTTTCGTTTGTTTTCCCCAGCAATTAGCCATTGAGAATTGTTGAGAATGCTCAAGCTATTTGAGATATCACAGAAATAATCAGTAAAATAAGCAGAACATTATAAAATAATGGTGTAATACAAACTATGACGATCATGTAAATCTATTGGAGTTGTTAATGCTCAAGTTATTTGAGATTTCAGGGAAATGCGTAATAAGAGAAACGTTATCAAGGTAGCCAGCCCATGATTACCATATTAAGTACATAAAAGTGTAAGCCATTGCTTATATCTGGGTATCCAAATGCCTGCCTTTCTAATTTACCATTAAAAAAGGTTCGCTTTGGCTGAACATTTGAAGTTTCAATTATTTGAATTTAGGCAGGCACCCCCTCTACCCACCTTCCACATCCTCGTCGGTTTGGTCCAGCGAGGTGTCCAGCTTGTGGTCGTCGCGCAGCGTGGACTCCTTCAGCGTGATGCCGATATCGGCCAACGCCTTGCAACAGCTCTTGATCTCCTTCTCCAGGCGGTCGATGAAGACGTTGAGTCCATTGTTCTGATGGAATCGGGCGATGTCTATGTTGGTGATCAGGTCAATCACTCGCACTGCCCGCGTCACGAACGTGATGTGCTCGAGGTCGACTCCTGGCCAGCTGATGACGCACAGCAGCGACTGCATCATGCCGCTCTTGACCAGAGCGGAGCCGCCCATCTCGTAGCTGGCCAGGTGGTACAGCAGCGAGAAAAGCGAGGTGGCCAGGATGAGCGGATAGCGCTCGGTGAGTCCGTGGGTGGTTAGATTATCGATGCAGTCGCGGACGAGCAGTGGCAACGTGCCGCCCTGCCGCTCGGCACCTGTGTAGTGGACGATCTTCATCAGACGCGACCCGGCCCTGCTGCACCGAAAGCATGAAAAGAAGCCAAGCAGTAATTATCGGGAGGATCCATCAGGCAGGCCGCATCCGATCGCTTACCTTGGCACATTCGGGTTGCGGTCGAAGTGCAGCATCGAGGTTAGTGTGCGCAGCACTGCCGCCCGTATCTCCACCAGGTGCACGTCCTCCTTGTCGATGAGCTCGCACAGCTCCTCGCCGAAGCCGGCGTACAACACCTTGTCCGTGTTGTCCTGCAGGGCATTGGAGTAGATCAGAATGGAGACGGCCTGAAGGCGCGCCTGGACGAACTGGAGACGCAGTTTGTAGTTGTTGAAGCCTGAGATCAAGCGCACCCGATGAGCAATGCGCATCTATGGAGGATATAAGCCAAATTATTTTGAAATTCCACAATTAAATCATTTTTGTTGTTGTTTTAAGTTACTCTTAGTCTGAAAAAACTAAGATAAACAATTAAATCTTATAAAACATCATTTAAACAATGCCTAATAAATTCTGCATTTTTATAAAAACTATATTTAATATTTTAAATGGATTGAGTGGAATAGTAGTTTTTTTTGTATGCTTTGTTTGAAAGATGAAGTTCTAATTTTGAAATATAAATTAACAATTTAATTTTAACAAATATCATTTATTGTATTTATAAATTTTTGTTTCTATATTGTTAATATTGTGATTGTTGTTTATCTAATAAATTATTCACTAATTTAGGCAATTTTATACGAAATATTGTAAAAACTTCGTTTAATATCTTAAATGTACTGATAGTAGTAGTTTTTTTTTAAGAAAAAGGAAGTTCAGCAATATTTTTAATACAAAACGAAGTGCTGGATTGGAAACAAACCTTGATTGCCTCACTGGGCTTTGAGATCTGTCCGGCAATCGTCTTGATCACCTCTGGAGCTGATGCCGTGTGGCAGAGGTCCATCATGTCCGGAATTTCCAGCTGGGCGGCGTGACCGTGCTCGTCCACATAGTCGATGCACAGCTGGTAGAGGAATTCCAGCTTTGGCTCGCCAATGCAGCAGTCCTTGAGCGACAGGCCGTAGTTGGGATCACCCCAGCGCTAAAACAACAAATATTCAGTGTTAAAAACGAATTAAATCTCAACCAATGAGATGACCCACCTCGGCTATATTGAAGAGCTTGACGATCAGAAGCTCCTTCTTTTCGAACGGCAAGCGGGGTATGAAGTTGCTGCGCTTGGAGAACATGTAGAGCAGATTGAGGACGGCCAGGACAATGTCCATGTTCTGGGAGGAGAGCAGCACCGTCAAGTGTTCGATGGAATTGTACAAGTGACGTGAGAACGAGTGCTCGATCAGCAGTGTGGTAAAGTTAAGTACGTGCAGCAGCAGTGTGACATCCTGGGGAGGATAAAATTGATATTTAGGTATAAAATATAATGAATAATTCTGTGAATAAACGAGGATTGAGAGTGCTTATATACGATAACTTCAGTTATAAAAAAAAATATGGTTTGTTTTGTGTTTCACAGTAACAGAATTATATCGAATTATATTTATATTTTCTAAATTTTTATTTGTGATATCTCTTACTATATATTCCGACTTAAAAAAAAAGGAATTCAAAGAAATTGTTTCTTCAAAAATTGTAAAATGTACAATTCAAAATTAATATTCAAAATAATTATGTGAATTTAAAATATAAATACTTGGTAAAGGTAGAGATACCTTCGGAGAAAGTGACCTGTCAAATATTAAATATTTTAATAATCTTTTGAAGAATTGAGAAATCTTGTTGCAATAAGAAAACTTTTACAAAAACAAAGCGAAAAAAAATTGTATAAATTCTTGTAAATCTGGAAAATAGACGAGTATCCTAAGATAATTAATCCAGTTTTTACTACAATGAGTTTTGGGGAAATTCGTTTCAGAGGAAAACCTGGAAAACTAACCGTTGTTCTTACCGTTTCCTGGAAGTTGGTGTCGCACTGCAGCACGAACTCGTTGGCGTTGACATGACGCGAGGCCTCCTCGAGGATCTTGTCGAACCGGTCGAGGATCTCGATCCAGTGATACAGCTCGCACTTGCCGTAGATCCAGACGTGGACGGTGTCGAGGAACTCGAGGAGTTCGGCCCGGGTGCGCCGCTTGGTCAGCTCGTCGATGAGCTCGCGGCACTCGGCCGTTAGCTCCGAGGAGCCCTTCTTTAGTTTCACCGTGTCCACCTTCATCGCGGCAGTTGTTCCTGGAGCTTCTGGAGCAGCAGGTGGCCACCACTGGGCGATGAGTTGGTGGTGGTGGTGCTCCTCCTACTCCTCCTCGTCCTGCTCCTGCTGCCTTTTTCTTCCTCTTCCGGGGCCGTGCGTCGAGTGTGTGTGTCGAATGTGTAGAACGGGTGGTTTTGTGGCGAGTGGTCGTCAATTGTTTATAGGTTGGGCATCGAATGGCGGCTTATGCGTTTATGTCAGCGTGTTATATATACTGAAAGTTCATTTAAATCGGTTATTTATTGTGTTACAACTAATATGAACAAAACAAAACACATGCGTCTGCGAAGATTTAATTGAGAACTCCGATTCTTCTGCTTCCTCTCTCATTCACTTCTCTTTAGCGTGCTTTTTTTTTACAGTTAAAAGGAATGGGGAGGGTAGGTGGTTGGCAGTTGGCTGGCTAACTGCACTTGTCAGCTGAGCCAAGCCAATTGGACAGCATTTTCCAACTGGCAACAGCGCAAAGAACGGCGAAAACACCAAGAAAAACAAAAGGCAAATCAAACAGAGCGCGCGCGCATTAACAGACTTTTGTTGCTGCGTTTTGGGTTATATAGAAATTAGGTGTACGACTTGGATTTCCGATTCAATTGTTGTTTTGCACTATTTTCTTTCACACTCACACACACTTACATGTCAAACGCAACATGTTTGAGCAAAATGTCAAATGAGCGCCAAGCGCAGAAAGGTGCAAGGCGGAGAGAGAAGGAGACAAGAGAAAAGGAGCGGAGGGAGAGCAAAAAAAAGGGAGAAGCAGAGAAATGCGTAAGTCAAGGTTGGCACAACAACAAAACAGGAGACTGCAGCAAACTCCTTTTTTCCTACATACACAAATACATCATAACTACATAATTCAGTATGCGTCTGCATGAAAAACACTCTATTTACGCAAATTTTCCCATAATTCACAATAAACAAGTGAAAATTAGCAATAAACGTATGTATGCATGTATGTGCCTGTTTCACCGAATTTTCATTATTGCAGCCACAACAACAACAAATACTATCGTCTTCTCCCCTCCCCACTGCATTTCTTGTCGCTTTCAGGGCTCTTACAACCAAACACACTTTATTTTCACACGCGAATTAAATAGCGTATATAAAAGTCGGAGAAAAATACCGTAGCTGTAGTATAACACAAAAAAAAAAAGAAAGACACCAGCGAAAAGAAATTGCCACAGTAAGAACAGAAACAATGCAGTGGGTGAGAGTTTGTCTGTGTGCGTGCATGTGTGTGCGGTGTGCTCGAACTTTCGTGTGTGTTCACTCGGAAATGCGACTGGCGATACTCACAATTATATTTAACTGCAGCATATTGCTGCTATTGTATTCCGGTCGAAAACTTTTTAATTTGTTTAATTTAACAATCTCGGTTTTGTGAAATGAAATTTCCACAGACAAATGCAAGCATAAACAGTGTGACCACGCACCGCAATCGTTCCAATCCACGGCCACGATGAATGGCAATCGCTTCTGTATATCGATAGTTTCTGTTATGTTTTATATTTATTTGCAAACAATGGGTGCAAAAACTATTTGAATTTTTGTGAGGTAATAACAAAAAAAATAAAACTGTAAAGAAATCTAAGTTGTAAGTCATAGCCTTGTGATTCAAGCAAAAATAGCTTTGCTTGTAGAAATAGTTTCTATATCGGTGGTACCAATAACTTTAATCTTTATTACAACAGCTAAATTTAAAAATTAAGAAAGTTTGAAATATATCGATTTGTCTTCTAATTTAATGCTATCGGGACTTAAAAATATCGATATCCTGTTTTGACCCTTTTATTTTTAGTACACTTATTTAGTACACTTTATTTTTAGTACATTTTCGGCTTAATTGGTCAAATCAATTTAGTCATTTTAAAAATGTCTATTTCAATACCAGATTAAGCTTTAAGCAATTGACGTTTTTTTTATTATTCACATGAACTTGAGAATTCCTATCATTTAAAAGATTAAGTTTAAATATTGCTTATTTTATTTTTAATGGCTTACATTTTTGAAAACGGATATTTACAATTGTATTTTATTTATCCAGAGGTTCTAAGCTATTTAAAGAGTTATTTTTCTGATGTCCAGATCTTGCTAAGTTAAAATATAGTACACAGTTTTAAGCCTCGAACAATTTTGCTTTACAATTTTTAACGTTCTTACATTTTGAAAGATTTTCATTTGGAGTCACCACAATTTGATCCACTGCGGTTTTTGCTTACAAGGTACATATATATTTTTGTAAAGGTATATTTACATGTTAAACTTAATCGTCAAAAATTGGAATAAACTTACCTACCAACACTGAAGGACAAACAAGTTGGATATAACCCTGGGAAATGGGCTTATCCAGAGCTTCGTGGCTTTTGTAACCGGGATACATCCAGAGCTGAGCACAAGGACCTCATAAACAAACTATTTGGCTTAGATCTAGGCTTAAGGATTAAAAGGTATGCTGGAGCTGCGTACTATTGACCTCGGTGCTCTGAAATTGTCCTGTTTCCGCCTCGAACAGCACCTGCTGGATGCGCAACTTAGCCACGGACCGGGAATACGAGTCCGTGATGGTGCGCAACTGGGAGGCGATGCTCTGGCCGAAGATCATCAGTTCATCATCGCCGGCGGAGTCCAGCCCTGTGTTGTACTTTAGTTTTCGCTGTGCCGGCGTTGTCGGCAGCTGCTGGGGATGACCCTGATGATGATGATGCTGCTGCTGCTGCTGCTGCTGTTGCTGCTGGTCCACCAAACAGAGCGAGGAATCATCGATAATTAGTTCGGCTTTGCCGCCACGAGCGTTTTCCGTGGGCATGGAAATGATGCAGGTGCTGCCCGTCGGTTTGCCATGGTCCGGAGGACATTCCTCCCCCTCGTCATTCTGCTCTTCGTCCTCCTCCTCCAGCGCATCCTCGCTCATGCTGATATCCGCGGCGGCTGTGAAAAGCAGTTTGCTCGAGGGCACCAGCGACTCCTCCGCTTTAACCGGCGTTTGGGGGGCACCAGCATGTTTGTTCTTTGACTGCCGGAGGGTTACAGTACACATTGAACCATGAGAACCAAAATAGACCAAAAAATCTCACCCTTTTGCAGTGCGAGAGCGAAACGGTGCGCAGGAAGGAGTCGGCCAACTTGAACCAGAACAACTTGGGCTCGTAGCTCCTGCCCAGCTCCTTTTCGCGCATCCAGATGCGAAGCTCCTTGGAGTAGACGGTGCGCACGCTCTTGATCTTCAGCTTGATATCCACCACGGTCAACTGGGGTATCTTCAGGGCCCTGATTATCGCCTCGTAGGCTTCTTCCCGGGACACCCGATTCTTGTAGGTGTCCAGCAGCGAGTTGTAAAGGCACGGCTGGCGACGGTACGCCTCCAGGAACTCCGTGATCGGGATCTTGGTGTCGCTCAGCTTCGACATGGCCTACAAACGGCCTTTTTGCGCTCTTGCCCACTCAAAATAAATCGCCAATAAACAAACACAACTTTTGTTTACCCCCGTTTAGTGTGGCCAGCCGGTGAATACACACATAGTGTAGTGCCCAACTCTGCCGATATATCGTATTAATCTATAGGCTTTAGTTCAATTCAAAAACTAAGTTTTTGAAGATTTTTGATTTAGTTTATTTAATCACTTAATTGTTAACGTCTACTTATAAAGCTCTGAGAAGTTGCTAAATACTTAAACTAAATTTGTCAATATTTTTTAGAGTGAGTGATTTTAAAATGAAATTACGTACTGCTCTAGGTTAATATATATATCTGTTTTAAAATATTAAATATATATTTTGATAAATATTATAAGGTGCTGATAGGGAGTGCGAAATTAATACAATTTATATTTGGCAGTCACAAACTAGCACCGATTGTATCGGCTGCCTTGCCATCTCTTGGCCAGTGTGCCCGTTGGCTCAGTGTGACCCTGCCTCATTGGCACCCGAATCCTCTCCCGCTCCGTCCGTTCCGCGCAAAACGCCACCGCCACCACGTGGAGCCTTTCTCCTGTTCTGTTCCGTTCAGTCGTCTCTCTCTTTTTCTACCGAAAACGGTAACAGGCAGCAGGCACTTTTCAGCAGCTGCTCCGTGCGTGCGTGTGTGTGTGCGATCCGACCGATCTGTTCCGTTACGTTCCGTTACCGCTACCGCTACCGCTACCCTCCGCGAGCTGCAGGCGTCCTTGCACATTGTTTAATTATAGGACAACTACAACTCCTTCGCGCGACACTTTCCCGTTCTTAATTACTAGCCAAGTCCACACCAAGGTGAGTAATTGCACACTGTCATCGTCATCTCGCCGTGGAAAATTCAATAATGTGCGCAGCGCAACACACATGCAATTCCCCGTTTCTGCGAATGTGCAAATGTGCCTTACCCTGTCTGTGTGTTGGTGTTTCTGTGTGTGCGTGTTGTAACATCAGTCAAGTGTGTGCGAGGGAGAGGGGCGAGGGGGTGGCAGATCGTGCGCTTCAGTTTTTCCGCCTTTTCATACAGTTTCCCGCTGCCATTATACAGAGGAAGCGTTACCAGGGTGTCTCACTATGAGCCAGTGAATCATTCATCCATTCAGACCATCCCGGCCAGAGGCGGAAGAAGCAGAAGTATGCCCCTCGGCAACAGAGAAAGAGAGAGAGAGGGAGTGTGTGTGTGGGAGAGGGAGGAGGAGAGCGGCACAGTGGAGCGCAGCCAGCACAGTGGAAATTTTTGAGTTTTTGCTGACGCTGTCTAATTTTAAAATTGAGTTCAGATTTTTGTTGAAACAGTTGGCAACACGCTGCGTGTGCATGTGGGAGGGAGAGAGATTCTGCAATCCAGTCAGGTGGCCTTGAACGTGATCCTGGTTCTCTTGGGCAGTGCTGCCCATCGATATAAAGGCGGCAAAGGGCTAAAAACAGTGCTGCCCAATAAAATAACGAATTTGCTAACTTGACCTAAAATTTAAGTTTTGGTAAACATACTTGGGGCAATAAAAAATGTAAATGCATAGTTTTCAGTCTACTTGAGGAATATAATAATTTGCGAAATTTATAAAATATTAGGCTTATTTAAATAACGCATAAGGGTCTTTTACAAAAGTCATTGTGGTGGCAACAACTTTGTGTTTACAAAACTAATAATTTCAATCGATTTTTAGCACTTGCCAATGAATTTTTAAAAGAGTTTATTAAGTTTGAAGGGCAGCTAAATTGCTTTTTCCACAAACTGACAAAATCACATGCCAAAGGTTTTAGTATACCCTGGATCAGCCAACATTAAGGGTCTTTTAAGTGTTCGATTATATATGTTTTGGAAATTTTTGGAGCGTGCTGCAACATGTGTTTTTGATTATCCAAAGCAAATATAGAGAAACTTTTTCTAGTTCGATATAACAAGACAACAGCTTAGATCGGCAATACTTAATCGTTCTAGACACTGGGTTCTTTTGTTTTAATCTCTAAAAGGTAATCGGTAGCGAATAGGAAAAAAAGAACGATAGTGTCTGGCTTTTGTAGATAAGGAAACCACAACATAACTTGGAAACTGTTCCGGTTCTACGACCTTGTAGAATCTCCAACCCTTTTCAGTCACTAGCTCTTAAAATTACCATTTTTAATTTATTTATTTTATATTGCTGTTTAGTAAACTGGCACTTTTTAGTTTAGTCAAATTTTTTTTTAAGTTCCTCCTATAGTTCGATATTTGTAAGCCAAAAATTTAAAAAGTCTGTAGCTCAGATTGCTGTCATTATGCCTACAAACGAGTGTACAAATCACAGAATATCGAAAACCTTTGGCAAAGCAAGACAGAAATAAAATCTTTAAAAGAGAACAAAATACCAGTGAAGTAATAAGATTTGATTTAAACTTAAACCACTTTCAGCCGCAAGCATGTCATCCGCCGCCAAGAAACGCGACGCGCAGAAGAAGAAGGATGCACGGAACAAGAAGATCCAACAGATACCCTCCACGAAGAAGGCCAATGGCCAGCCGGAGCGCGAACTGACCGAGGAGGAGAAGCTGTGCGCCAAGCTGGAGGAGGAGGCCCGGATCAGTGCGGAGGCCCGATCCTGCACCGGATCGCTGGCGGTGCATCCGCGATCCCGCGACGTCAAGATCGCCAACTTCTCGATCACGTTCTTTGGCTCCGAGCTGCTGCAGGACACCATGCTGGAGTTGAACTGCGGACGTCGCTACGGCCTAATTGGCCTCAACGGATGCGGCAAGTCCTCGCTGCTGGCCGTCCTCGGTGGCCGTGAGGTGCCCATACCGCCGCACATCGACATCTTCCATTTGACGCGCGAAATTCCGGCCAGTTCGAAGAGTGCGCTGCAGTGCGTCATGGAGGTGGACGAGGAGCGCATCAAGCTGGAGAAACTGGCCGAGGAGCTGGCCATGAGCGAGGAGGACGATGCCCAGGAGCAGCTGATCGACATTTACGAGCGCCTGGACGACATGTCCGCCGATCTGGCAGAGGTCAAGGCGGCCCGCATCCTACACGGT